CAACAAATCAAGTACCAATATATGCTGGATTTCTAGAGTGACCGGGAAAGTTTCATGTTGACATATTCGTTATTGGCCAGAAATTAAACGGATTGTAGAAGCAAGGGGGAATGAACTGGCTATTCTTAAATAAGCTTGAGCTTGAGATGGCTTTAGAAATAAATTATGATAAAAATCAAACCTGGATAAAGTCTAGTGGCCGGAGAATCTATCACCTTAAAAAACATGTAATCAAAACAACTTTCTAAAATCCCATCTAAAGATTCAATATCATTGGAGACAAGCAGTAGGGTTTCAAGAAGAACTTTTTACGTACAACCAAACTTCATCTCTTCTGCACAATTAGTGTTAAACAATACCCTTGCGAGGTCAGACCGATGTTATCTTTTCTCTAGGCCTTTAAAAAAGTCTCGCACCGCAAAATTTCACTAAAATTGAGAATTTATGATTATAAATTATTCATTAATTTATTCTAGATTATCCCTAGATAAAATGTTTCCTGCACAAAATACGCAAATTTTTGCATTCTGAGTGGAGAATAGCTGCATGATGGACGGCGAAAAGCCTCCCTTTTGTGAAGTACTTTCTTTAGTTTGAAAGGAAACAGTTTTTGCTCAAGATAATTCCTGTGCTTTTCAAGATCATAGCATTTTACACTTCAATATCAATCTTCCTGCAAATTATTGTGTATCAGACCATGAGAAAAGTATTGAGAGGTTAGCAATACTTTGCAAGGTGGTTTTAATCAAAAGTAGAAACGACAATAAATAGATTCTGCTGTAAAGGACTGAATTTTTCTCAGTTAGCAATCATGATCGAATTCACAAAAAGACATTTGCTTATTGGTGAATCTATAGATTGGCAACAAAAATTTCGTTTCCACACTTTGATTCTGTTGTCTTGTTTAGAAGGTTCGAGCTTCTCTCTGGTATTATCAAGATAAAATAAGAGAACTAGTTTTCTTATCTTAAATTAGTATTATGTACTATGTGTTACCGAAATACAATATATGGCTGTTTATAATCATAGATGATTTTAGTGAATGTCAAAATGTAGAAAGGGAGAGTGTAATAAAGGGATATCTTGTTTGCATATTTTCCTATTTATTTGCATAATTTGTTAGGACAAAGTTATTATTCGTTCTATCGCATTTTTCTTTGCCGATTTGTGCTTTCTCACCACCGAATAGAATACAGATAATAAAGATGCTTTTAAGAAGTACCTTCATCATAAGTTGTAATAGAAAAATTAAAAAAAATGAATATTCAACAAATTGCAAAAACAAACAAAAGATTATGAATTTTTTTCTAAGCTTAAGAGAATTCTTAATTGGGCAAGATTCTTTTACGGAGACATATTTCTACTTATAACGCCAGTTATACTAAGCAGAAACATGACTTTAATTGAGTACCGCATACATGCAGTACTATTCGGAAAGTGAGATTGTACAAGTGTGCTGGGTTGTATATAGGATCAATGGGTATATGGATATGGTCACATTGAGAGGAATGACAAAGGCACTGCTCAACAAGCCTAACTTCTAAGTGTCCTAAAAACTTGCTCTGTAAGCTAGGTAGTTGCAAATACGATACAAATTTGAATGGGTGGTGAAGCTAGGTGATTAAAAGAATTGGGTCAGTTGAAAAGATTCTTTTATCAGGGCTGGTGAAACGTATTTGAAAGTGGAGGGGCCAAAAATGAAAGTCTTGAAAGGGGTTAGGTTAGGCCGCCACCATGGTTGGCGGCAAGAAAATGTTAGGATTATTGTATTTTTGGGATGACCAGAGACTGTATCTAAACTGGATTTTTACTGAAGGAAAATCCGAAGCAATATATTTAAGCTTTGTTTAATCAATATGTACACGTTTAACAAATACAGAAGAACTATCAACTAAAATAAAAGAAAATTAAGCAATTTGTCACTTGGGATATTGTTTTGTAACATCTGATCTTAAACATTTCGGAAAAAGGTGCTTTTAACAAAAATCAAAAGTAGTTTTAATAGAATTTACAATAGCGTCTAGATTTTCTTTTTTCGTAGGAATGGACTATCGATACAATCAAATTTTAAAGTTTTCTTGATGTTACTTTTATAGAACAAATCTGCCCATTCTTTCTTTCTTATGTCCTCAAAAATTTTCTTTTCGTCAGTTTCTTTCCCTTCCACATCGCTAGCAATTTCTCTCTTTTTGCAATGTCCCTAGAAATTTACTAAAATGCGTGCGGTACAATATGATGAATTTAAATAACGATCAATGTAGGTAAATTGTACCAGGAAATTTTTTTTTAAAATAATTAACGACGTTTCGAGCATAGCCCGTTATCAAGTCAAAAATTTGTTGTTAACAAATAGACCTTGTGAGCCACTCCGTCAAACGAAACTCCGTCAATTTGTGCTGGCACCAAGTTATTCTGGACTAGGTTTTTCGATCTATTCCTAAGCCAAGCTGTTACTCGTTGTACAACCTAGACAATGACCGATTTCTTTGATCTTATTTCCCATATTCAAATTTATACATGTCTTCTATGGTCAAGACATAGCAACCAAGCTAAAGCTCAAGGCATATGTAAGGGATTACTAAGCACAGTTACTTACAGAACGATATACTACATTTATTTCCACTTTTGCCTAAAATTTTCCTTTAGCTCTGCTTTCGCCGGCCTTGTTTATCGGTTTCGAGTCGCACCAAAGCTTTATTTATAGAAATGGTGCTTGTTTCGTAATAAACAACTATTTAAGAACACGTTTTCACTTAAAATGTTTCCATGAAATTTTCACTTAACAGATGGGCTTCTAGTTGATTATTTTGATATATTCATTTAAAAAAAAAATTAAAACCTTGTATCAACCAGGGTACGGGCTGATTTGTAAATTGTTCTTTCTTTATTCTGTAATACCAAAGAGGGTAGGTAACGCCACTTAAGACTGAATATCATGTTCCTTTTTTTTTGTCTTTGCGTTTTGATGAGATATTTTCATTCCATGAAATGCAGAGAATTTTCTTATATTTCACCTACGAATATTTTCAGCTTACATGCGATGATTTCTAATCTCTGATTTAATCATATGAACTTTTAAATCAAATATTTTACAGAAAGAGAGCATACACGTTTTTTCACGAGAAACTCACTGGTAAAAGGCCAAAAAATTTAAGAAACTTCCACTAGCAAATTAACAATCGCTAAGAAACTTTTCGATTTTTTTTTCTTGCTTGAAATACGGAAGATAACCACTGTGCATGGTTTTATCCCCTACGCAAAATATCTGCATTTCATGACAAATGGCACACTGGTGAAATAAAGTGGTTCAGCACGAAGCTTGGGGAATACCGAGTTTTGTTTCAAGACAAAAGCGAAGACTATATTACTCGTGCCGATATCAATAGAGTAGATGTGATGCTCATCAATTAACGTTAGATATACAACTATATCAAATTGATTTTCCAGCCTAACCTTGTTTTTCACTTGTTTTCCGATGTTTTTGATTCCATACATGCGTTTTTTTCAAATATCAAATTAAGCATTTTTTAAGAAACTTTTACTGGTAAAATGTGTCCACAAATGCCCTAAAATTAAGAAACTCTCACCGGTGAAGCTTCAGCTAGGTTTCTTATAAAAAACATTGAAAATGAGACGGTACAACAGAGGGCAAGGTACCATAACAACCTTGTGGCCCTTGCACTAAATAGTAAGAAAATTGTAACCATTTACATACAAACAAACAAAGTTAAAAATGCGGACTGAATATGTCACAGGATAAAAGCTGAAACAAGGCCCCAACAACACCATAACAAAGCTGGAATAAGATCCAAACAAGACCGGAAAAAAATAGGAACAGGACCGGAATATGACGGTAAAAAGGACGGAACATAACCGGAACAAGATCATAGGAATATGAACGTAGAAGGACGGAATAAGACAGGAACAAGACAGGAACACTACCCAAGCAAAGTAAGATAAAACGTGGAAACCTTTCAAAAATTATATGAAAACGTGAAAAAATGAAATATTTATAAAAATTTTGGACCTTCATACAATGTCCTTTGGATTAAGATGAGAAACTGTATCGATTATCGAATACATGCTTGTCAATTTTTTATCAACCAGACTTTTTCTTTTTCATGAAAAAGCCATTTAAGCAACTTTCCTGTTAGTAAGAGGCAGAATTTTCTTAATCTTCAATCGCTTAGATTCACACTGAGGTAGTTTTTCTGCAATGAACAAACTACCACAATTCTTTTATACAAGGAATGCATCCGTAGAGAACTTTTTTGTTTTCGTTTTGATTGGTGCTGTACTAAAATCAAGAGCAACTTTGTAAGCCAGGCATTTCTAGGCTCTTTTTTTCTTCTTTTGTCCTTTGTCACGGTCTTTTCAAAAGAGCATGCATATTACATGGTGAATGGCCTTTGAGTTGAACACTTCAAAACTAACAAAGGCTCCATAACTTTTTGTTCCCAGGTTTTTTTGTTTATGAATTACTGTTGTTCTGAACACTGAAATGAAATTTGAATTGTTTTGCATTCTAAGAAATCGGCAGGTATTTCCTATTAACCTCCTCTTAATGAGGGTGTTCCCGATTTGTTTTTCGGGAATCGGGAAATACCATTTTGCTTGTCGGGATATATTTGAAACTAATTACGAGCGGAAATAAGGAATGTGGAAAATCTAGCGGAAAACCAGGACCAGACCCTCCTTTATTTGATCTCATTCAGGTTCGACAATTATTAATCTGTTATTCATTTTGGATTGTCCTTGATTTTCAACAGTTCTCGTTAACCCCAGCCTTTTTTAAATAATTGAGTTCTATTTTTTCATATATCGCTTAACACTAAGTAACATATCTTATTTAATTTGATTGTAAATGCGAATAAATGTTTGCACGTAACACCTTATACCTTAAGAAGTTTGCGCTTTTTAAATCTCTGACAGCAAAGTTTATGCATAAATACCTAAAGGTCTAGTTGCTTATTCTATCTGGACTATGGAAAATTAAATTTCATAAAATTATTAACATCAAAGTTAAAACAGTAAAAACTAATTATTGGGAGGACAAAAATATTTTTAATGTGTATCAAATTGACTTCAGATCATAAAGGCGCAATGTTTAAAAGAATATTCTGCTCTGCATTCTACTTAGGATCAATTTAAAGCTAAACTTATCGAGCTAAAAAGATGTATTTTCTAAGGTATCCATTACATGATTATCATCGATGCATTGGCTACGATTTAAAAGATACTACAGTTATGGTTTTAAGTTATTCTCTTTAAGAGATACAAACTCGCAAAAAGTGCTTTAATTTGTTGGTTTGGATTAGTGCCTTGTTGAAGCTAGCGGCAATTTTGGAGAATCATGTTCTTTAGGACAATTGAGGGGGAATAGGGGGAAATTGAGAAGGGAAATTTCAGAGCACCCGGGTTAAAACCTGCGCCAAGGCATTTCATAATTTAGGGAGTAATTGATGGTCTAACTGAGAAATAAAAACGACCACCTGTAAACAATCGATTCATGAAAATCGGGAAAAAATTTGATGATTTAGAAACTTCCGGTTACAATAACTATAAAAACAAATCATTAGACGAGGAATTTAGAAAATTTGTGAGAGGAGAAGACTGACTTAGCAGACACGAAAGAAGCCATCAAGAATGTAAGTCTGAGAATTCATTTAATTTTAATAATATGTCAGCCGATTAAATTTTAGAAAATTGATTTTAATAAGACATTTTTTGTTGGTAAACGCATTCAAGACAAACACCATAGTTCCTGGGAAATAACTTCGTTTACGCAGTAAAAAGGTACAATGATGACTTTACAAATGCCGATTCCGTTTTAAATAACCTTGATTTTTGAAATGTTAGAACTTGGAATCTTATTGTTGGATAAATCATGAAAAAATAGCTTCCATTAATTGGTTTTGTTGTTTCAAATCAATTTTTCACATTGTTGAGTTGTCCTACCTTCTTCAATAAATGAGACGAAGCTAAGAATGCTAGATTAAATGATTAAATTTATAAAGTTTGCTTATCTTGAAAGATTACAGAACGAAAAAGTATTATTGTTTATGGAAAAACTAGTTACACTACTAGAAACGTCTTAGAAAAAATCAAATTCAAGCTCTTTAATCGGCATTGAACAGTTGCCTATTTAGCAAATTATGTGTTTCACGATGCTTAAAATGTCCATACAACTTCGAGATTTTGTGAATAAGACCAATTCTATTTGAGGAAAAATTAGAGCCATTTTTCAGTCATTACAATTCGACGTTTCATTTTTTTTTCAAACTATCAGCTGAATTATCAAAGGGCATTTTCATTTTACAACTTCCAATGAATTACACATTATTTTTAGTTGCAAAAGGCCGCGTTCTAGAGAAAGCATGGAAGGGAAATTTATGCTCCTCACCTTATGTGTTGCGTTCATTAATGTCGAAGGAACAAAGACATACAAGCATGGCACGGTGAAAACGTCGAGCAATGTTCGCAAGGAACTGATTAATATCAAACAGCATATCGACCGAATCGTCAAAATATACGTACGTATTAATCATTAGTTAAGTTAAAGAGTTATGTCTTATTAATTTAATTATTTGTTTACTGTCCTGGGCTAACACTTCAAGCTTTTCTATACAGTGTAGGGTGGTCTGTGCCAATGTTTTGGTTCTGAAGATTCACACTTATGAAGCAATTAACCAACGATGCAGCAAAGGAAACATTAAACGATAAAACATCGATATTACCGTAATGCCTTGAATAAGCGCTCCCCTCGAATAAGCGCCCATCCTTCAACCTTTAGAAACGGGCGATAATTCGAATTCTATTTATCATTATTAAGAAAACATGAAAACAAGTGCTTCAATTTAAAAATACATTCATTTTTTTTAATTACTTCCAATTCTTTTAAATAAGCGCCCGTCTCAATTAAACGCCTCCCTCGATTTAGCGCCCACCCTGGAGCCTGAAAAATCAAATAGGCGCCCGGGTGCTTATTCGAGGCATTAAGTGCTTTATCACGTATAGGCAGAGCCGTACATGTTTCTGGTGTATAGAACAAGTTGATTGCCTCTCCGAGTTTCACGATTTATACGTCATCAAGGAACTCTTCCATCTAATATATTTTCCTTCATCTAGTATATTTATATGTATATTTTGTGCATGTAAGATCATTTAGTAGCATCTGTCTTCAAATGCTCCATTTCAGGATAAAAAGTCTCAGTGTCTTCAGCCACTTGATTTTGGTTTTTTAAAATATTTTAGGCCCAAGAACACTTAATTTGGGTTCAAAGAGATAAGCTTTCAATCAAGAAAAATCTAGCTGTCACATGCAGAAATAGGATTATCAAAGAGAAAATGTCGGTAAGTTTTATATTTCTTTGCGCAAATCGGGCTAAAAAGGATTCTAGTTGAGATGATGACAGAAAATAGTTGAAGAATTTGAACGTCAATATATCATAAAGAAAACAGCTCTGCCTTTATTCAATAATTTATTCAAAGGCAGTTCATTTTAGAAAACTAATGCTTATTTTTATATCAAAATCTGACTGTTTCATAGCTATTTCGACGTCTTTTAATCAGTCTGTGATCTAATATGCTTTTCTTATTAGTTTTTTAACTCTATACATCTTTTACTGTTTCTAATTTACATATTTTTGTTAGATGCAACTTTTTTATCATTCTTTACTTGTTACTCCATATTAATTTCCATTTTCAGGCTATATTTTAAATTATAGAAGCTAATGTATCAATAATCAGCGAGTTTCTGCATGCCTGAATTAGTGACTGAAATGTTGATAATTAAGTTACCTTTCCATCGGTAGACAAAACACAGAGCGAGGGAAATATTAGAGACAATTCAAACAATGGTTAACGAGCTTCAGCAAATGCAAATCGATGAATCGCGCTTACCTAGCGGAAAACAAGATCTTGCAAAAGAGCTGAGGCATTTAGAATTTGACTTGCGAGATATAGCCGAGTCAATGTTCACTAGAACGGTACGTATTGCAGTTTGGAAAAGTAGTTCGAAGATCCTTTTGAATATCATATTCATTCAAGACAAACTGTTGAAAAAAGGAGAGTCAGTATACAAGAACTACGATGATTGACTCGAAATAACTACGACATGAATCCTATTTTTTTTAATTTCTAAGATTTTTCATCGCTCGTCTCTACCATGTTTAACATGATTTTTCAGAGATTAACTTTTAATTTTTATCAAAATTTCAAACAGTACTTTAACCAACTCATTTCGAGACAACGCATCATAGATTGCATCATTGCACTCGTCTCAAAAAAAATTTTTATAAGAACATGACCTTCAAAACTGGTTAAAACTTAAAAAAAATCAGGTATGTCAAACGTAGCCTTGAACATCGTTTGTTTACATTCCACTTTTAAATTATTTGCATGGTCGGTATTATTATCAAAAAATTTGTTATCAAGAGCATTGTAACGTAAATTATTAGCAGGCATGTTATATATTTTGCAGCTATCAGGAAGCATAATCTGCATTCTACATACCCAAAATGTCTTTTATTTGCTTCCAAATAATTGAAGAAAAAACAAAAAAATTTCCGACCACAAAGTTTGGAAAAAATCAACTTTTCCTGAAGCTCGTGCATTGGCCAATGAGAAAACTGCCTTTTGCATATGAAAAACAAGCCATGCTACTTCATTAGACAATGAATTACTTTGAATCTTAAGACCTGCCGATAGGTAATTTAGATGTTCCTAATTTTTTTCAGGTTAAAAGAATCATTGGTCAGAGTTTTGTTCCATATAGTGTTGGCAGTCTTCCAAACAACCCAAGTCCTTACTGCTGTAGGCCGAAAACTGTGAGAGCCATTAATGTTCTTCAGTTACATATGTTGCAAAGCTGCATTTGGGATATCATACGTGCTTTGAAGAAAGAGCTGCATTATTTGGTGAACTGAAGACCCAAATTGTCCTTCATTATCTCTATCTATTTATGAGACAAATTTATTGTCAAGCTTTAGTAGGTTTATCTTTACTACGTTTTAAAAGTATTGGAAAGTCTACATTCCAGAATTTTCTTAACACTTTAGTACAATATAATTTCCCCTGTACTAGTATATAATGATAACATATTTGCTCAACGTATGTATACTGTTCAAATATTGGTAACTTTACTGCTGCATTATCATAATTGATTCTATTTAAAAGTCATAGCTTTTTATTGCATGATATATATTGGAAACTGTTATTATTATCAACAGACCAAATTTCATTTAATTTTCTGCTTCACTATATGGCCACAATTTAAGCTTTTTGTGCATAGTGGAATTGCCTTGTTTTTTGGCATCCTATTAACTCATTATTATCCGGAATCAAAATAAATTTAAAGGCACTTGTGCAACCAGCACTCACTGCAACTATATTTTCAAAACCTGTGTCTATTATTCAACAACATAAAATATACAGCTAATTTCTCCCTGCTACTGCAAAAATCAGCAACCACAAAGCATGCCAGTTGCACAAGAGACTTTCAATGAACAAAATTTTGTTGTTGGGTTGGGATCAATCATTTTTCACAAAGAATTTTCAACATTCTTTGCACCATGAAAAAACTTTTGATGAATGATTAAAGCATACATTAGACATAAATTCTCTTGGCTGATGCTATTTCTAGCAAAACAATATTACTAAAAAAACAGACATTGGAATTAAACATTAATTGGTTGAAATAAATGTAAACATACATATTTCAGAAGATCATGTGTGGATTTCTATACAAGAATACCCGAATAAAATATAGGCATTTTAATCATGAAACTTCATTGCCAAATTCATTCAGCATAATTCATTTTGGTTGCTACTCTGGAATGTTTGTTGGCAAAGAAAGCTGCATTGAATCAAACATGTGCTCCAATGCAGACATCTGTTCTGCAGATTTACCATGACGCTCAGTGCTATACTTCTCAATTATTTCTTGGGCAGCCCAATGAGAATATCTTGTATTATTTTTCTTTGATTTAGGATTGCTTTTCATGTTTGAATTCTGGCTAGAAAAGCATAAGAATAAGCCATACAATGCTCTGATGTTGTTGGGATCTAGTTTATAGGCTTGAGCAAAATACTTTCTACTCAGCTCTATACTGTCGCTGGTGCCAATTGTATAGTGAATTTCTGCATAGCGTTGATGATAGAGATGGTTGTGTGGATGCGTCAAAATCAATTCTTCAAGGCAGAACGCTGCCTTGTGATACTCTTGCAGGCTAATATAGAGATCAGCAAGCTCCATCCATGCTTCTTGGTCACTCATGAAAACATCAAGATATTCTGTCAGCTCTTTTACTGTTTCATAGGGATTATTCTGTGCTTTAGTGACTGCTATGCAACGTTTTCTCACAATAAGGTTTGCAGGATCTTCTGCTAATATGTTTTCGTATATCTTTTTCGCATTTTCCCAGTCCTCCAGCGCCTCTAGTCTCATGCCTCTCAACTTCTTTACCCTAAGACTCCTTGGAAATTGTTTATTCAGTGCTCTCAAGCAGCTTGTTGCTAAGTCTAGTCTGCCACTGTCCAGTGCAGCAACAAAAACCTGCTCATGGATGGTCCATAGTTCATCGCCGAGTTTATTGCCATGTTCAAGCAACAAACACTCTCCGAACTCAACAACTTCGTCGCTGTTTCTATAGCCCTCTTCCCGCCATTCTTTCATTTTTCTCCTCGCAACTTCCACGTCAACAACTTCTTCAGATGATGCCATTTCTCTGTTACTACAAAGATTATTTCCAGTAAAGCTAAAGAGATCCTTGGGCAAAGAAATACCGGTATGTTGACTTCACTGATCAGCGGTTGACTTATTATTCTTCTTCATACAGCAACAACAACAATGTGTGGTGTCATTTTTAACTGGCCTCAGTTTGACACCAGCCATTGAGGTCGGGTAAAGGCAAGAACAGTGGGTAAAGGGAAAATCAGTACGAGGAAAAAGACTATCCATCTTTCAAATTGAATAATTTTTGGAGCCTTAGAGCTGATCGAGAATGGTGGTATGTTTCAACTTAGCAAACATCTCTTCAGACCTGCCTGCTATATCAACATAAATAGGATACTTTCCCTTGAGCTTTGACTCGAGGGGAACTCTTGACACTTCTTGGCTCTTCTTGAAAATGCGTCCATTTTCACCGAAATCTCTTTAATGGGTCCCTGGTATGTCTGAAATCCCTGTTTTGTTGCACTCCACGAGAGAACAATGTATCAATATATATGGCATGCTTTCTTTGGCACTTAGCAGCATGACTCTGTGGAAAATTGCAGCCCAGTTATCGTGTTCTTCTGTTTTGCCACATTAAGACACCATAGCTGATTTCAAACACATTTGCAAAGTGGGGTGTTTTATCAAATTCTTAAGGGTGTGTTCAAAAAGAATTTCCCTGGGTGTAAAACCCTCTTTCAAACCATCTTTGGGGATATTTCAAAAGGCTAAATAAAGTAACGGACGGAATATTTAATGCTATAAAAATGTAATAAAACAAGGAATAGCAGCACAGCTTTATGATAATGTACATAAGGTACAAATATACAAGTATGCAAATTTTGAAGCAAAAAGGTCAATGGCACTTGAATTGGATACAGGTTATTTATTTGGTAACAGAAGGAGGGATAGATTTCCTAGAATAAAATCTTTATGGAAAATTGTAAATTCTATCTCAATGCTGCAGCATAGCTAGTGTTAGGCTGTTTATGAAAGATGCTACAGGATCCTTCTTTTTAAATCATTGGCAAAATTTCAATGTCAGAAACAAAGAAAGTTACCAGTAAAGTGTTTGTAGCATGCACATAAAGTAACAGAAGAAATAGGAATAAAGTGACGGAAGGATGCATCTTAACAGATGTGAACAACTTCAGAATTTTTTCTTTAACCCAACAACTATGACAAATATTAAATGATCTGATACTGTGTAAATCAAACTTTATCCGAAAAACTTTGATGAAAGAAGGAGTAACATCAGATAGAAAGGTTAACAAAGGTCAGCATGCCTTGCACATCTTAACATACATTATTGTAGGTAGAAATTGAACTCCCTCAACAATCTGTGCAAGCCTTAGTTAACAGTACAGTTTTTCAGGGCTGTCAAAAATCTTTAAATACTTTAGAAATCTTAAAATACTTAAGAATACTTGGAACCGTTACAGTGTTAATATTTGCAAGAAATGTACTAAAGCCTTCAAAACAATATCTTGATCAGTTTATCATAATACCATATGAGACAAGTATCACCCTTTTGAATTTCCCAATTTATTTACCAGTTCTGAGACATGAAAATTAAGTAAAATCATGCAAACCTTTCGAAATCATGCACATAAACTTTAAAAGGCCAGGGCCACATGGTACAGAGCACTGAAATCATTGTGGCATTCCAAAATTTTTGCGAAATGACTACCCTTATATTGTATGACAACATCTTTTATAGAATGAGGAGTGAATAATTCTAAAACAGCTACAAATATTAAAAGATAATAAAGTAATGGAAGGAAAAAGCACCAAAAAAGTAACAGAAGGAAAGTTTTAAGATACCCTATACAGTTGAAAGAACACTTTAATTGACAGCAATCTTATTTGATATGTACAGAAAAAGTTCAAATATATGGTACTGTTGAGTTGACTGTTAAGTACCCAGAAGAGAATATTTTTTATATATATAAAGTAATGAAAGGAATTTTATTACTGCAAAGCATAAAATGCTTTTGATTCCTAAATAGAGTAATTGCTATTGTCAGCCCATTATTTAAAAAAGGATGTATCCAATGAAGTAAAGAAAATCTAGAAACTCAAAACCAGTAAGCCAAAGCTGCGCTACTAATTTGTCATGCTTCTCCAAATTCAAAGACCTTCAAAATTCAACAAACAAAAGGCAATAAACAGTCTGACACACTGCCTTTAGCATAACACTATCCGCCAAACCATTTAAATAAGCTAATGGTATTGTAAGTGTCAAGGGAGCTAAATCCTCTTCTGCTCAATGTTTTAAAGCATAATTGCAAATAATTATATATGTGTTTAGAGACTATATTAAAGCTATAGCTGATTGGCCTTGTGGTTATCTGGAACTGCCAGGCTCCCTTTTAATGCTTCTAAGATGACAACGGATAACTTCTTTTTTGGGCTTAGCTAAACTCCTAACCGAGCCTTGATAGCCTAGTAGCAGTGCTATAAACATATTTTGTTTAAGGAATCCATTCTAGTGTAACTCACTTAGCACAAGTTAATTTGCTTTACTATTTTTCTTGACTAATTAAATTTATTTTTCCAAAACAGCTCCCAATCTCATTGTTGAAAAAGGCCCATAACCATCCAATGGTAAGCTACATTTTTAAATTATTTACAGTTATTTTTTACTAAAAGTGACTGTTTACTGAATATTGTTATCTAGTATATATTATATAATGATTTGTAAAATTTTATGAAAATTTATATGTTACTTACTTATAAGGTTTTTCATTTTGATAATTGAGTTCTTAAAATCTAGCCAACATTCACTTAATTTTGCTATTAGAGAATCTTTTGGTGATACAAATCTTGAAATTGGCTTTGAAAAAAGCAAACTTTTGAATAAGCTAAAGCTTTTCGTCTGACACTCTTCAGAGTTTGAAACATCTTAACATAGATTGAAAACTCTACGCTAGGAAATATATATACCCAGTTGTGGATTGAAATAGGCCAAAACTGCTAGATGGATAACTTTATACTTTTGTACTTTTACTTTATACTTTTGTAGCTTGTTGAGTTGAAAAATGGAGAAACATACAATGGACATCTTGTAGCATGTGACAACTGGATGAATATCAATCTGCGAGAAGTTATTTGTACATCAAGGGTATGTCTCAAAAAATTTTAAACTTGAAGTTTAGCATTAAAATTTTATTGTTGGATTCTGTTTTCTATAGAGTAATTTGTTATCTTGGGTAGGCCAAATATTACCCTTTTAGGGCTCGAGCCTTCAAACCTTCAACCCATCTGTAATCTCATATTCCTCCATCTGGCGATAGTTTTCTAAACACAAATGAACTTGCAGCTTTATTCAACAAACTAGATTACTGTCCTTTCTCTTTGATAACTTCCTTTCTCTTAAGGATGGTGAACAGTTTTGGAGGATGCCTGAATGCTATGTACGTGGCAGTACAATAAAATACATGAGAATTCCAGATGAGGTGAGTTCATTTGCTGTATGTGATAAGGGCTGGGAGGGCTGCAGCCTCCCTCATCTTGCAAAATTTGCTGCATTTTGGGAAGTTCTGTCTCATTGAAGCATACCATTCTGGCAAGATCCATCATTAAACTTAAATTAGCTCCTTGTTGTGAAACTGTTTACGTCATAGTAGCCACATATTTTGGATTCCTTTGACGTGGGTGTTTCTCTATTGTTTTTGGCTAAGGATATTTCCAAAATTCCAATTGCTAGATCAGAAAATTTGACAGTCAAGTTTTTGACATCAAGTTTTAAAAGATATTTGAAACAATGCGTTTGTCTTGATCAATTTCAAAACTTTGTAAAAGTTAAAAAATTTAATTTTTCAATTTTCTGGCTACAAAGCTATTATGTTAATGCATACTGTGTTTATATATATATATGTTGTTTAAAATGTATCGTCAGTCGTAAAATAAAGCCATTAGAACAATTTTTAGTAGGCCAAAGTTTAAAAAATTCAGGGGGAGCATACCCCCGGACCACCTCAAAAATATTTGCCTCCGGCTTGCCTTGTTAACTATGCTTCGTTCTGACCCGGGTTCCACAAATCCTCTCCGCGGCCCTGATAGTTTGTAAATTGTGCAATCCGGTTTGGTAAGTGTGTCTAGAAATTTGTGAAATCTCGCAAAATGTTTTGCATCGTCAGTTATTGCTTTTTTTCGACCTTAAGAGTACCTTTCAAAGGTGTATGGTATGTTTAAAAAAGATCAATGGCCGCGGGGAGAGGATGTTCTAGAGTGTTTAGAGTCTAGTGTAAGTTATTTTTACAGTCAATGCAACTGCTGTTGTTTTTTATTTGTAACAGGTAATTGATTTGGTAAAAGAAGATATCCAGGAGAGATCAAAGTCACAAGGTTTGTTTGTTGTAGTTTGTTGTGTTATTTACAGTTGTTTCATTAAGCTTACGAGTGTATAATGATGCGAACCGATTGGCAGTTATTAATTGTGCTGTACTTGCACTGCATTTTCGCTACCTCCATATCGAGGAATGCCTCATTCGGCCACAAAATTCGGCCTGCATCCTTCTAAGATTTTATCAGCCTATAATGTTACATGCTCAGTTTTTTCGTGTTTACCGTAAACAATAAACTGAATTAATCTCATCTCCCTCTGCCGACGTTTATATTCATGCCAATAGCTTGGTTACTTTGAATCCGTATATTAACATTTTGTTGATTTTGATTTTGGGGCAAAGAATATTAAAATTTGTTGGATGATTTTGCTGTGCTTTAAAAATGTTATTAGCCTTGCGGAATCATGGCTGTATTTTTCATAAAATTTGCGGAATTTTTGGTCACGTATTTTCAGAAATGTGCGGAATTATTGGTCCAAATTTTGAACAAAAAAGGGCACGTCTCCGTCTAAAATTAGGCTTAGCTATTTGTTCTGTGTACAGCTCAAGAGATAAAGATCCATATGATGGTTTGTTATACGAAACAAATGATTCGTTATACGTACTATGTTAGTTCATATCTCCAGCGGCTGCCATAGCGCTCAGCGTATACTTTTATCATGTGAGTTGAATTTGCTTTTTATCTGTCAGAGTAGTTTTAGTCGAGGGGCAAATCACTCCAAGAAAATCTCGTACACCTTTTGTAAAAATCCTATTGTTTTATCTAAAAATCCCTAGAAATCCTTTTGTTTTAGGGAAAATCTCGTACGCTATTTGCAAGAGTGAATTGCCCCTCGGTTTTAGTCAGGAAGCTTAATGATTGCTGAGATTCGAAGGACATTTTGATAGAGCTTTTTCAGACCGTTTGGACAGTTAATAGCTAATGGTATAATAGAAAATTCATACTTGATACAGAGTCATTCAAAAATTGGCTGGAATACTTCTTCATCAACCAAGCAAAGGGCAGAAGAATCCAAATTGCAGCATCTAGGCAGATTAAGCCTGGAGATGGGCTTAATAAATTCAATTTTTTTGGAACAGATCTAAAATATTTCTCTTAAACTCCTATGTTTTCTCTCACTACCTGCCCTTGTACGTGTATCCTGCAGGAAAAATCTACCACCACAATGAAAGATTTTCAGTTTATAAAAGATGTTAAGATTTCCGGTGCCAAGTTATAATAAGCGGGCTGGGGAGGTGTGGAGTAAAATGCTGATTGCCAAAGCAACTTTATATGTAGCTATTACAGATCTGGAAGAACAAAGTTTAGAAACAGGATGCAGCTTCCTTGATATATTTGTGTAAACACTCATTTATAGAAAAACATGCTCTACTTCTCAGCTTTACATATGGCATTTTCTTACTTTCCACGTCCAATTAAATAGAGAAATTGAAATTGTCCGAATCTTCGATCTAATTGAATCTTTATTTTTCTAGTTGCAAACTTTTCTGCAACTTGTTTCCTGCAACATATGACAGATATTCACCTTCCTAATTGTACTTGCTCATTTTTGCTCTTAATTTTCAGCGCGAGGTGGTGGACGTGGCGGTGGACGTGGTGGTGGCCGCGGCGGTGGAGGACGTGGAAGAGGTGATAAGGCACGCCGAGGTGGTAGAAAAGACGAGGGCAAAGTCGATCGATAGATGGACAAAGTTCTGTTGTGTTCCCGATGCCCATTATAGGAGAAAGCATATTTCAGCGCAGTATCTCTCTCTATGAAAAACACTGATATATTACATTTAACATAAAACATCGCTCCGCCCTTCAGACAGAAGTTGTTAGAAGTTGCCTTGCTGAGGCAAAAGGGTTGTGACTTGGTTACCTGAATAAGCCTGTTTCGAGGATACTGGCTAAATACTATAAAGCCTGATTTGTTGTAGTATTCGAATGAAACTGTTTTGTGTTGAAAATGCGTTGTTTTCTGATAAGGTAAAGCGAATGAGGTCATTATTGTGACTTTTATTATATCCTGTTATTGGTGCTTGTCATAATACCACCCAAGTCCATTATAATTGGTTGTAAATTGGGAGACGCCCAAGGTGGTGCCGCATAAAGCATTTCTACTGCACTTGCCCGAACCAACCATTGTTTTGATATTTTGTTGAAACAAACGCTGAGAATGTTACCCTGGGTGCCAGAGTCGTTCGTCCAAACTTTGCTGAACATCATATTTGGCTTAAAAAGGCTAATTAAAACCAACAACTAAACTAAACAATATAGCTAGATAAAATGATTAACAAAATAACAAGATAATATACGATATTGTGCTAAATCGACGAATCCGACGTTACTTATGCACAGATCACAGAGGCATTTTAATTCAGTGAAGGTCTTTATTATAATTCATGTTTTATCATAGTGAAAACTGCCAAAGATTTAGCATTTTTCATTCCATTTGGGACATTGTTCCAAATTTCACCCCATCATTACGAGTCAGTATCAAATCCGTAAATTTTATAATTTGGCTCTAAGCTTTTAAATTTTGCAATATTAAGTTACCGTATATCCTCGAATCCCCCCCTCCCCCTCGAAAAAGCCCCCACCCTAGAACTACAAATTGTCAATAAGGTCCCCCTCCTCGAATAAGCCCCCACTGTTACCGTAAATTCTCAAATTGGACTCCTCAATTCGATGATTTTTGCCACCTGAGGTTGCCTATGGCGTTTTATTGAATTACCACAACAAATTCATACTTTTGGTAGTAACTAATTAAATGCTCATAAAGAAATTTCTACTAAAATAAACGAGGTCTTTTAATAATGTTTTCTTAATGTCTACAATAATTTTATAAGCCCCCTCCTTATATAAGCCCCCTCCTTATATAAGCCTCCCTCGAATAAGCCCCATCCAAAAATATCAAAAATAAATAAGCCCCCAGTGGACTAATTCGGGGATTTACGGTATATATACATCAAATGGGCGAAAATGTTTCCAACATAAAGATTTGATTTACACCATTTCATGTTTTGTGGCAAGCTATTGCAGAGGTATAGTTGCTTTGCTTTTTCCAGTAATGAAAGAGTTACGCTGTTCTAAGGGCTCTTTCGTGTATCCTCTTGATTTTGCTGCTAATTTTCCTACTACAAAATGTTAAAATAAGGGGACAGTAATTGAAATATGATATGACAAATGATTTCAACATTGGTATTCTTACAAGACAGTTTACCTTTTTACTTACATTCGTTTATAATGGTTTCATTGACTTTTACTTCAACTGTTTGTGATTTAAAATGATTAACTAGAAAGGTTACGAGTTTGTATTTCTCTTCATTCAGTACCATAAGATTGATTCAGAAAAATGTTCTCATGCTGTTGCTACAACCCCAGGCCCGTCGAGAGGGGGCAGGGAGGCACAACAGAACCTATTTTCCAAGGGGCATATCACCACCTGGAAATCCCAAACACGTTTGGCAAAACTCCTTTTGTTTTCGAGAAAAATCCTCGAAAAATCCTTAGAAATCTGATTGTTTTGAAGTCCCATATGAATTTTGCAGAGAGTGACACCCCTCGGTATTTTCGTTGCTAATTGTTGATAAACCCTTCAAATCCTGAACTTTACCCACAGAAAGTCGGATCTTTTGCAAAACCAAAAAACAGTGGCAAAGCCAAAGGGCAGGCTGGTCTTTTGCAGACTCACCAACAATCTTCAGTGATATGTTTTTCCCATAATGAAAAAATAACTATAAGAAAGAAAATATCCCTTCTCTACGTCCCTCTCTATCATCTTCAGATATTCGCTATTCTGCGGTGGAGCGCATTTATTTATGGAGCAGTGGTTCACTGCTGATTATGATTATGATCAAGGTCAGGCTCCCAGAAATTCGCCTGACTAACATCATACACTCCATTTTTTATAAGAACCAGTAAATTTGAGTTCAGGCTGATTGTTCTTAATTTTTCCGAAAATCTGAGGCTGGATTGTTCTTAATTTGTTCTTAAATTTATAGGTTATAAGCAGTGCGATTTCTAGCTTTTCGTTCTGGGGAGGTGTTCAGACCTCTTTTTCCAACAAAGTGAACAAAGTGCGTAGAGACAAACTCAATTTGCCGCCATGTTTTAATATTCACCGAAAAAGCACCCACACATGGCTGAAAATCCTCGTTTTTTAGATAAAACGTTGTTCAAAATTTCATTTTACAGTAGCTCAGCCTCAGCTTGTTCTCAATTTGTTCTTAAATTTTGACCCATTTTGAGGCTCGTGTTCTTATAAAATTGTTCTTATAAAAAAAAGAGTGTAGTTTCCCCCAATGGAGCTAGGTGATTGGCCAGAGGTTTCACGCGAACAGATTGTTTCTGACATTTTGGTCAGGGTATTTCGGAAAGGCCTGACCAATTGTTCAGGAAACAATAAGTTCGAGGGTAATAATTCTTGCCTCTGTCTTGAAAACAATCAAGAGTCTTACTTCATTGGCTAGGGATACAATCTTGTGTGTTTGGCAGAAATAACATTGACCTGAAGAAAAGACTGGATCGAACAACCTATTGTTCTCCTACATCAACACGATGAAGCTGATCGAGCCTCTCCATCTTGAGACCTCTCGCGCCTAAAGCTTTGGGCTTCCATTTGTTAAAATGGTGCACACACAGTGCTGTGCCTTAAGTTGTGCATTAACCATTAAATTCTAGAAGATATAAACAGGCCTAGGAAAATAAGTGAACAGTGAATTCTTTGTTACATAAGCTTAGTACTTTGGCAAAAATTTTTAATGTCACTTACGAATGATGCAAGTTTTTGTTTCAACGGCTACTTTAAATTTTGCTATGAAAAAGCAAGTTGAACTGAAACCAACATGATTGCTCTCTAGTCTCATACAACACAGCGAGGTCTCAAGATGGATGCTGCAATGTGGAATCAACGCTGGGCTGGAGAAGCTCGATCCAGTCTTTTTTTAGATCGGTGAGAAATATAAATTTGGTCAGGCTCATTCGAAATGGCCTGACCTTGTTTAGGAATTCCCTTCAATGCACATTTTGTCAAAAAGTTGTTATGGCTCACAAATCTGAGGCGAAGCGTGGTTCAATTTTGCGACACTTTTACTGTAATTTGCAAAGAGGGAAGTCAAGGCATGGAAGCATTTCCAGTGCAAGTTATTTTCGCTCATTTGTCTGTGAAACCTTCTGATGTTAGGCTATCAATCAGGTTTCAAGTTTCATATAGGTAATTATCAATACATCCTACATTCAATTCTACACAACTACAATACAATTAAAAAAGTACGACGCTAAAATTAAATACAACGGTGCTACAAACTAAAGAAAGGAAAAGACATTACATGATTGTATATAAGATAGATTTATTAAGGAGGATAGGCCCATGTTGCACATGACTGCTACGAAAATGCCACTAACGACTGTGTTTTGCTGGCCCTCAAAGAACATCAGTCGTGTGGAAAGGAACTTTGTTGATATATTTGCTACCTGTCAGGCTTATCACGGTGAAATTTGCCGCTCAATCAAAGCATCGATTTTCTAACGTTGTTTGGACCTTCTTGATAGGCTGATCATGTTTAACGCGGAGCGAAAGTGTGTTATTACACTGCAGTTCACAATAACATATATTTTGTTGATTTATGTTAATGTGTGGAAATATCAACTTAAACAGTGTGAATAGTATGTTGTTGACTAACGAATCATCACAGACAAAAGGCATCTTTTGTGTACTTGTTGAGAGCCAGGGGGAAGCGTAATGAAAATAAGAAAATCATTTCTGTGTGATTTTCTTGCATTTATTCTAAAAAAATTCTAAATTGCTGTACTAGCCAATAATCAGAAGCCAGTCATTCTGTAAATTCTACTTACTTTTGGTTGACATTACCATATGAAAATTAAACTTTCTACAGAGTTCTTTTACCATCGCTTACTGCTGATAGCTCACAAAATGAGCTAAATTTGTTGGAAAATTGTTCCGATTCCCTTGTTCCACCATGAATAATCCGTGAAAATTGTTCCACCATGAGTAAATTTTAACAAACTAGAAGTAGGTGTTTTATCATTGGGCGTGGTCAAAAAGGGCGTGGCATAATGTTTCTGAGCCTGACCGTCCCACCAAACCTGGCTTCGCCACTGCCAAAGAAACATATGACATTCTTTATTTATGAGGTTCTCTGAAGTTTTGCTAAGTTCTTTTTGGGCGAAACTGGGGAATCCAGGTAGGATAATCCGATTAACTTCGTGTCATACACGTCAAGAATTTTTTTTACTATTAACGGATCACAGGTCCCCTAAGGTTAGGGAACGCTCTCCTATCAATATGACATCCAGCAAAACTTGATACCTGTCATGATTCGTCATGTCCCTCTTTTTCTTGCATTTGAAAGTTCATTTTCGGTTCCTTTTTAGGGGTTTTTTAGCTATTCATAAATTTTATTGGGGTCAAATCCAGAACTTTCCCCTAGACCAGGGGTTCTCAATTATTTTGTAAAATGTTCGCTTAAATCGATTGATTCTCAGGACCTTTAAAAAGCAGAGGATGGCCAATAAATGATGCGACGTAAATCGGTTAAATCTTTCCTTCTTTTCTTTCGATAAAATCGTCCCGGCAGCTACATAACTTGCATGCTAACAACGGCATAATGATTAACGCGTGACATGGGCATAATCTTTCACAAGAACTATCCCAGAGGTCTTCCAAAACTGATATATCTTCTATAAATATCTCAAAACGACGAAGGCGACAAGATCTTTCACAAGCATCTTGCCCCTAAAATGGTGCATGCCTAAACTGCTTTCTCTTGCTGCTACTTTTCCATAATTCTTACTGCCTAAGATGAGGTACGGGGCCCCCATATATACTGAACTAAAAACAATAGACATACGTAAAAGAAACGGTGAAAGGAAGTAATCTACTTAGTAACGAGCGGGGTGGGGTAGCGCGATATCCTAAAATACTGGGTTGCTATGGCGATCTACTTAACATGCTGATAATTGACGTAGGTATGAAGTTGCTCATAATATTACAAAGATTATCCTAATACACGTGATAGAAAAATGCGGAACGAGCAAGGAAAGTTACAGATAAACAAGAGTGATTAGGTAAGGAAAATCAAACGAATGGACTAGAGAGAAAGGCCTAAAATTAGCAGTATTACAATTTTATGTGCCGGGCCAGAAAAACATATAGATTTTCTTCAGGAGCCAGTTGGTTTTCAACTTTTACATACCTTGTGTAGGCTGCTCAAAATTAAACTCGGATCTCATTTACCAGGCTAAGTTAGTGATAAGATAGACAGGCCTTTTATTTCGTGCCTGCCTATCTTATCTACCTTCGCATAAAGCCAAAAAATAGTTTTCACAAAGGTTTGTAACTTTATGTTTCTTGTACCAGGCTGAATCAGAAGATCGTTCTTTGCTATTTTTACAGCGTATTTTAAAGAAAGGCCAAAATCTTATGTTTGTGGATGTATTTAGTCAAGGCCGCCACCATGGTTGGCGCCAAGAAAAATATTAATATAGGAATGACCAGAAACAACACCTCACATAGATTTTAAAGGGAGAAAATTCAAGGTAATTTTCTTAAAGTTTTCTTAACTAGGTCCCATAGTTTTGTGTGACAAGCAGGCTGCTCGACGGACTCCGGGAAATCTTGCGGCAAAAAATCGATACTGATTTGTGTGTTTGTTGTTGTTTATTCTCGTCGCGTTGCGGTGTTCCTTAGGCTGCGTTTACACGGGGCCGGCCGAATATTTGGTCGGCCAAAAATTTGACCTGCTTTTGAAGCCGGCCACAAATGAGGTCACTTAGGCGTTGCGTTTACACGGGGCCGCTCAAGTGACCTTATTCTTATGACTTGAGCAATGTGTCAAAAACTTGAAGCCAAAAATCATTGTTAACAAAGAGCTAACAAAACAACTTCTTTCATTCTCTGTTCTCCTGGGCTCTCTTCACAAAATTATGTTTAAAGAGGATGGCTGACATAACTGCTATCAATGATTGGAAATTTGCGATGTTTGCTATGCTTTTTATTTTTTAATTTCAAAATGAGTCTTTCGACGAAAGTCGTTCATATTTTCAGAAAAGCACAAGCTACAAACGCAAATTTCAATTTCCCATTTTGTGTTTGCCTCCGTAGCACGTATCAACACTTTCTTTTTGGTACCGTGCAAATATTTACACGAGGCCGTTCGCGAATTCGGCCGGCCAAGTTTCAAGAAGGACGCTTTCCTAGGGCTGCGTTTACACGGGGCCGGCCGAATATTTGGTCGGTCAAATATTTGGTCACTTAGGCCTTGCGTTTACACGGGGCCGGCTAAACGACCTCAAATTAGGTCACTTAGGCGCGCAAATATTCGGCCACCTAGGAAAGCGTCCTTCTTGAAACTTGGCCGGCCGAATTCGCGAGCGGCCTCGTGTAAACGGTTATGGCCGGCCAAATATTTGCACGGTACCAAAAAGAGGGTGTCGATGCGTCCTACGGAGGCAAATACAAAATGGGAAATTGAAATTTTGGGGCCAAAATTAATGTATTGTTGTTGGTCAGAGTCACTGGTTATATTTTGCGTTTGTAGCTTGTGCTTTTCTGAAAATATGAACGACTTTCGTCGAAAGACTCATTTTGAAATTAAAAAATAAAAAGCATAGCAAACATCGCAAATTTTCAATCATTGATAGCAGTTATGTCAGCCATCCTCTTCAAACAGAATTTTGCGAAGAGAGCACACGAGAACAGAGAATGAGAGAAGTTGTTTTGTTAGCTCTTTGTTCACAATGATTTTTGGCTTCAAGTTTTTGACACATTGCATAAGTCATAAGAATTAGGTCGCTTGAGCAGCCCCGCGTAAACGCAACGCCTTAGTGACCTCATTTGTGGCCGGCTTCAAAAGTAGGCTAAATTTTTGGCCGACCAAATATTCGGCCGGCCCCGTGTAAACGCAGCCTAGGTGGCCGAATATTTGCACGCCTAAGTGACCTAATTTGAGGTCGTTTAGCCGTCCCCGTGTAAACGCAAGGCCTAAGTGACCAAATATTTGACCGACCAAATATTCGGCCGGCCCCGTGTAAACGCAGCCTTGTACACTCTTTTTTATAAGAACCAGTAAATTCAAGTTCAGGCTGACGGTTCTGAATTTTTTCGAAAACCTGAGGCTGGATTGTTTTTAATTTGTTCTTAAATTAAGAGGGTGTAGGCAGTGCTATTGCTAGCTTTTTCTCTCTAAGAAAAAAGAGTGTACACTACTATTCCATAGATTTACCTGTTGATATAAAAAGGGAAACGCTATAAAACGATAAAATGATTAAATAAAGCACTTCCTACTGTATTTAGGTACTCCCTTTTGGACTAATAGCTGTCCATGAAACGCATTTAAAGTTTACTACAAAAAAAATATCAGAGGGGACAAAAGAGAACCAAAGATAAATCGAATTCCAAATTTTGAAAATGTTAGCAAAAAATATTTTCGAGGTAAAAGGCATTCAGCAGCCGGATGAAATTTTGCAGCGGGCCGGAGTTTAAGAGCGGCTGCCCTAGACTGTCTTCTCAGGGAAGTGCACACAAGGATCGTTGACTGGCATTGCTGGCATCTGTCAAAAGCGGAAGCACGTGACACAGGGAGCTAGTATTTCCCGCATGCCTTCCTTACTTTGGGAGGCTTTGTAAACAGGAGCGGTTTCTTGCTCTATTGTGAATGGCCGTTGAAATCACTAGCAACAAAGTTCCCGCTGGATTCTACCGACTTGTTTAAACCTTACATAGGGTCAGCAAATCGTTTTTGATCTTCGCCAAAAGAAGGAGCTCCCAAGATGAATGTATCGCGAATCTTTGTACTGGGTTTCATCTTGTGTTGCTGCGCTTCCTCGATTCTAGGTAAGAGATTTTTCGTAAATTCATTCAAATCTGCAATGTTTTTTAGAGAAGGGTATGTTTTATTGCACCACTTTGTAATAAACGGAATTTCCTTCTTTCATAAGGGTTTGCAAGTCATCGTTCAGTTGATACCATGATACCGTTTCTCGGTGGAACGGGCTCTGTTTTCCTAACCAAGAACTTTTGCCGCAATCGATCACAAATTATTTCTTCTTGCGACCAAGACAGAGATGTAGAGCTATCAAAACAAGGGGGCCCTTGCGGGAAATTTTCCTAAAAAACAATAGCAAAAGTAGAAATTGGCTACTTATCGGCATTAACAAAGGGGGATCAATCCCCTGACAGAACACCCCTGTTTTGAAGAATTGAAAATATGATGCTCCTAGATATGTGTTTTGTTGCGTCAAATAAAAGTGACGCGTTTTTGTGGACTCCTTTTTAGATGCTTTAAATGAAACAGTATTTGAACTTCGAGCCCACAGTTGAATGTTATAGAGACTACCATATCGTGTTGCGTCTACACCATCTTATTGTTTTGCAGCATGTGATTAATCCTGCACTTATTTACTGAATGCCCTTCACGACAGCACCATTGAAAATCTTCTTGACAGTGTCAATTACTTTGCTTGTGCAAGACGCTACCTGCCATTGCGTGACAAGAACAAATACGAAGAGCATTTCATAGCCAACTACATTCCCTTGCGAATATTTTACGACCATACTAGTTGTACGGCATACCGTAAAAACAAAGCCCTAAGACCCAGGACCCTTTAGTACTCATATTAAAAAGGACCCTTAACACCAGAAGGGTCTTTACTGCGATAAGACAAAGGTTGATCACTGTTGACTATCATCATCGCACCATGAGAGAGTAATGTTCAATCAAAATCTACAATTACATCAGTGTTAAACTGCTCCCTTTGCTTTGTGAATTCAGAAAAGGTTATAGCACAGAACACGCTTTATTGAGCGTCTCCATTATCACAGAGCAATTCAGCGTCTCCATTATCAAAACTTGTCAATAATAGAAAAAAACCTTTAAATGAAATGAGTTAGAAGCAGCAACAGTGTTAAAACCCCATTATGTTTGTCAAACAGAGCTAGTAGCTTTAGGTAATTTTCTAGTTAGTTAACAAAACAATTTCCAAGTCTTTACATCTGTAAAAGGGTCGATTATGGAGCTATAGTAAATTTTTTGGAAATTTCAGTTTCTTTGGACAATTTCAGTTTCTTTGGACAACACTAGCAAGCAAAGTCAGAAACAACCTTAATGCAATGAAAACATTGGGAAATAAGCGTTGCAAATTCAAATGCTTAAGCTTGTTCAACAGCTGTAATGGTTGATGCTCCTTAAAAAAAAATGACTACCCGGTGATGTTAGGAGATATGTCATCCCTTTTTGCTGCCCAGAATTTTGCTCTTTTTTGCTAGGTCATCTTCCTTCAACCTTGTGTATAAACAAAGAATACTGAACCCCTCCCATATCTCGCCAATTGACGTGAATCACCTGATCGTTTTTGCTGTAACACTATCAATAATAACAATGCCGACATTATCTTGAATTTTACCAAAGGCCTTTTCCTGGTTTCACTTGCAGACAGAGACAAACTTGACTGATTTCAGTTGGTCTTAAATTTTTTGAGACATCTAGCCCCTCGTCTAAACGAGCTTCTTCCAAGATCAAATCAACTAGTTTTTTATTGACATTTAAGGGTTCCATTCTGATTGCTAGATGTAAAGTTTTTCAAATTATTTGAATAGTGAAAATATATTTGGTGCAGCGTGTCCGTTTTGATCAAATTTAGTATTTAAACGTTTTTCATTTCCTAAGATTTTTAAATCATGTAAAGAATCACATATTTTATATTTTATAGAAATACGCATGCATTGTGACGATAGAATACCAGTTATACTTAAACTATATTGAAAATAATAAAGAAGTAATAGCCACCATCGCAATTTAAGCAACCAAAATGGCCGCAATTTTAGCAACCATTGTCTCAAACATTTTCCCCGGACCCCTTAAAAGGGTCGCCTCCAGTGTGCCTTGCTTTTTTCTTTTGTTTTGACCCGGGGCTCAGAAATCCTCTCCGCGGCCCTGTATACTTCTACTAGCCAAATTGAAATCTTATGGCTTCAGCAACAACGCAATGGAATTTATGTATAGTTATCTAGATAAAGGAGTACAACAAGTAAATATAAGCTCAGATTTTTGTGATTGGATGGAAACAAAGCAAGGAGCTCCTCAAGGATCAATCTTAGGCCCGTTGCTTTTCAATATTTTCATCAACGATATTTTTCTGCATTTGAACAAAAGCAACTTATGTAACTATGCAGATGATAATACAATTTGGCTGTCAAGTACTGATATGAATGAACTAACTGACGTTTCAGAATCGGAAGCAGCTATTTTGAATGAATGGTTTTATGAAAACTTTTAGGTGCTCAATGATAAAAGCATACTTAATAACATTTGAAGCCAATTGATCCAATTCTGAGGAATCTAAAATTCAAATAAATGGTTCTATTATGTTAGAATGTTAAACTTTTGGGAGTAACACTAGACCACCAACTTAGATTAGAAGAACACATTAGAGTATTTTGTGAAGAAGCCGGGAAAAAGGTTAATGCTCTAACCAGGATTGCTTCGTATATGGTCGAATCTAAGCGAATTCTTTTAATGAAAAAGTTCATATTATTATATCTTAATTACTGTCCTCTTATTTGGATGTTTTGCAGTAGGAAAAGTAATAACCGGATAAACCAGATTCATGAAAGAGCAATTAGAATAGCTCATGATGATTATGAATCAACTTTTGAACAACTTTTAAAAAAGAATAAAACAATAACTTCTCATAAGAAAAATTTACAATATCTTGCGATAGAAATTTACAAAATATTTAACGGTTTGAATTCACATTTTATGGATGAAATATTTTCCATAAATGAATGCCCATATTACTTAAGAAACTCCCAATTCAAAAAAGCGGAGCCACATAAGAAATTTATGTATTTTACCGTATCATACGGATGTAGCCAAATATGGAACTCAGTTCCAAATAAGATAAAGTACTCCCCTTCTTTACAAATATTCAAGGAAAAAATCTCAGAATTAACATCGTTTAATTGTACTTTCAATCTTTGCAAGGAATACTTTAGCAACATCGGTTATATTTGATTTACATTATACTTAGCGTTGGAGATTTAAGTTAGTTGGTTTTATTTAGCTTGAGTAGCTAAAATTGCATAGCTAAAAATTGTACCAACTTTAAATAAAGAAGAAAAAATGAGGAGTTAAAAATGACACTGCAAGATCGTTTTTGCCACACAGAATTTGAAACTTATGTGTATTTTAATATGCCAGTAGTTGAAAAGTGGCATACCCGGACGCTCGTCCGGGTATCATTGAATGACTGGAATCGAAAGAGAGAAAGCAAAAACAATCAGAGAAAGAGAAAAATCAGTCTTTTTTTCTTGATTTGGTGTTGGAAAGCAAAATTCCTTTTTGTTTTACTGATCGATTCCTACATTTTGCAAAAAAACTATTCCAGACGGTCGATTTTTTACAACACCACAATATTGAAATCACAACTCTACAAAATATGTTTAAAATACCACAAAATAGTAACAAAACCACATTAGAATAACCCCTGGGCTGGGAGAACTTCCTCAAAGGAAGTTCTTGAAAGATCATTGCTCTCAGGAGATCAAAGAGGTGCCTCAATCCCACAACCCTTTTTTCTCTCTAGATTTTATAAACTTTGAAATGCTCTACCATCTTCCTATTGCCCAGACTCTTACAACCTGTCTTTATTCAAAAATCAGTAAATCAAAAAACTTGATCTTTCCCCCCTCTCTTCCTCATCCCTCTTCCCTTTCCCTTTTAAAGCTTAGCTATAGGCAATTGAGCCTTTCCCTAGCACTGCCATATTGGTGTTTCTTTTCGCATGTTTCTTGGTAACACGCTTCAGAAACTTTATTCAGAAACCTAACATAGCTGATCTGATTCTATATTTGTAATGTATTCAGTATACAAATAGTTATAATTCTATGGCGAAGATAGACCTTTAATAGCTTAACTATTTTGACAATGTCCTTTAACAAACGGTAGTTGCAGATTTGAGATTTTAAAAGAAAACTGCGCCAGATATTGAAGTCTAGTGTTACTGGCACGAATAGAGTCATCATTCACCGATCATAAACCTAGGTATCATATGCTTGGGCGTCACTTGCACTATGAGATACAAATTTGAGATGGTATTGTAATTGCGGTTTTTCTGATGAAATGCGATCTGAAGTTCCGTTAATGGGTCGTCCTTTGTGGGGCTTTACAATCATGTGGCTTTACTTAACTTGTGTAAAGGTCAGTTTACACGATCATATTCAGGTCACATTTGCATCACATATTTTATGTGATCGTGTAAACGACCTTGCAAGTTGCTTGAAGTTGTACAAAGCAGCAAGAATTAATCCTTTTTAATTGCCTGTTAATTCGATGTCACAGATTTTTCATTTGACCAGTGATCAAATGCAAATGTCTGTGATGCAATTTTTTCGAAGGCACCGACAAGTCTTTGCTGTCCTGGGTAGATCGGGAACTGAGGGAATCTTTAGGTGAAAAATGATGGGGATGCGCCATTGTTAATGGGGTGTATAGTTCCTCTGGGTTTTACATAAAACCCACGATTCCTTGCCATGTTGCGCTTCTTAAACAAGAAGTTTTTCCCATTTCTCTGTTGGTCTTTACCTTAAGATGTACAGGACGTATCCTGTTTGACTTTCGTTCGTTAAGTTTCAAAATCATTCGTTAAGTTTCAAAATTATGACACGTATTTCCACAAGTCTGGGTCTTTGCTCTTTTGGTAAAAATGTATACCCATAATTCCAGGTACCTAAATCTTTTTTGGAAATTTACCCATAATTCTGAACCTTTTAAAAGAACGTGCCTTTAGTATGGTACATCTCCGCTATAATATACCTATCATGTTAACCATGGAGATATTTACTCTTTTGTTCAGACGCTTTTTGCCAACAAAGTGAGAAAGATCCATTAAGCACCTCTAGATGGCAAAGAACTTTTAAAGGGGTTTCACAACTCTGCCCAAAAATACTCTTAATAGTACCTCAGCCACAGTTTGTTCTTAATTTTTTAACCTTTGACAAATTTTAAGACCTGTATCTCCTAAAACTATCTCTCTTACAAGATAAAGAGTGTATATCAGTAATAGTTGGTGAAGGAAGGAGTTTTGAGTCTGAAGGTGTGCCAAAAGTACGAGCTTAAGTATGAATTTCGTTCTTAAGATTGATCATGTTTATTATCAGTAGGCTCGATAAAAGCATTTTTGATATTAATTTTTTATTTTCTCAAATTCGGTCCTATTGTAGGCGAAAAGGCGTCTGAAATATACAAGAGACAAGAGAAGGATCCCTGGTTTATGGACGGAGTTAAATTCATTGAAGATGGTGTTAAACTGAAGCAAATAAAAACGAAGGCGAAGAATGTAATTTTGTTTTTGGGAGATGGCATGGGAGTCAGCACCGTAACGGCTGCAAGGATTTTGCAAGGACAGCTGCAAAAGAAAACCGGTATGGTTTGATAATTTAATGTGCATTTGCATGTGTGCGGAAAGCAAAATTTGATCTATTGCTGAAACTTCAAACCCCAATCAGAGATTTTGTTTGCTAAAAGATTTTGATGGATCAAGCTCAGATTCAAGACCATTTTTATTTCCTTATAGAACTTTCTTTCGAAAATTGTTAATTTCTATAGCTGTGAATGATTGAATTGTAGCTAGAAATGATTTTCAATTTAAGACAAGCTGACACATACAATTTAGAAAAGAAACGTTTATGAGGTCCTTGGGCAAATGCAGCTCATTCAATAAAATTTTGAGACAAATAGATACTTGTACTCAACAAGAAGTATAGAAATATAACAAAATACAGTATACAATGCAATTAAAGATTCAACAAATATGTTGAAAAGAGATAAGATGGTATACAAGTCTGCCTTTTAATGCAAATTTAGGTCCACATTTTTCTTGCCACTCCTTGCCCGCAAAATCATTAATAATAATAATAATAATGAATAATAATAACGAATTATTTAACAGGATAAAAACTTCAACAATTACGAAATTGCTCTTATCAATGTTTATCCTGTCAAAAGAAAGGTGCTTAAAAGGAAGATATATAAATATATTAAAACTGCAGGTCTCAAAAAATTAAAATCAAATTATTGTGTCATTGTTTGAGCCTGAACGACACCACTGCTCATGCTGTTTGATTCTAGTTTTAGGAAACATTGAATAAACCCTAGTATAAGCTCCTCTCGAATTTCAGATTTGTTTTGAATTTGACACATCTGTCGTGTCATGGAGAATGTGAATAACGATTTCATGCATATATGCAACATGACACTAATGAATGAAGCTGTGTCGGTTTGAACAACTTGTCATGGTGTCGCTTTACAAATGGATCTAAGGAGAAGGAGCAAGCTATTGTTGTGTGACCTTTTTATGGGACACCATCTGGGGAGTCAAACATTGATGCTCTTTTAGAAAGTGATATGATATGATATCATTGGAGTGTCAATGCCCCCTCCCCAGCTCATTCCAGCTACCCGAGAAAAGGAACAAAAATTGATACAATAAAATAGTTCTATAATTCTTATTGCATCAATTCTTCCCCCTGATGAAGAGTTATGCTCGAAAAGTCGTACTAATAATTCATTTCTTGTACAAAGTCGTTATTTTATTGTATCAATTTTTGTTCATTACTCGACGTACCACACGCGCAACTCCATTGATTACCTGAGAAAAGGCCCTGTGAGGGGTTCTACGACTTCTTGACTTCATCTAAGCAAGAAACCTTGGAGGTTATTCTCTTCTGTTTCAGAGCAGACGATGAAGAATGCAACAAACATCGAATTGCTTCACAAATATGGCATTCCTGTGACTGTCCTTGGCTATTATTAATGTACAATCCTTGCCAAAAGTCTTGGTACACCAAGCTAAAATTTTGCATAACTTCAGTAGCATCCCCCTCTCCCCCTTGAAACAATGTTGAATAACAACAGTTTCAAAGCTTGAAATTCGTCTAATGTCAGTTTATTAGCTAGGGTAAGTAATAGGCTTTTCAGCCAACATTGTTTTTGGGGGGAGGGGGGATATTTCTGTATCTTACAGCCGGAAACCTTTATTTCATCAAAATCTTTCATTGGTCGCAGGGTGTTCCAAGGACTTTTGTCAAGGATTGTATCTGCAAAATTTTACTTTTTAGAGGCAAAGGAGCTCCTTCTTTTACATGCCTTTCATTCTGATTTCAGGGGAAGAACATATTCTGAGCTGGGAGAGGTTTCCAAACGTAGCTCTGTCAAAGACATACAACACAGATCAACAAACTCCCGACTCTGCAGGAACTGCGACAGCATTTATGACTGGTGTGAAAGCAAAAGCTGGTAAGTGACTAAGAATGTCTTTAGATGCCAAATGAAAGATCATGTTTGGAATTAAAAACAATCCCCCATTCAGAGTTGGTACTGATGAACTTAATAGAGAGATATTAACAATCAAAAAGGGGAGGAGATGAAAAATATCATCACCGTGGGTCCGGGATTATTCTATATTGAATTGAAAACCACGATAATGCAAAATTTCATATATACATTGACATGCGTGCCGTATATTTACATGAAGTAATGAGTGCTTTGAAGTGCGCTTGTCAAATACATTTGTTACATCTTGTTTGCATTGTCTATAGCACATATTATTAAACTGACATTTATATCACGTGAGTAAAAAAGTAACAAAGAGTTCTTTATTTGCACTCAGGTACAACTAATAGTTTTCTTAAATGTACTTTGTTCTGTTAAAGCCTTTGGAACCGTAAAATTTGAAGATTCCCATTTTTCGTGCTATTTTAAGGAAGGGCTAAAGTCGAAAGTACTTCGATTCTTAAAAGATATTAAAGTAGAACTCAGCGTTATTTAATTTTTTTTTGTATTTTTACAGGCGTGATTTCTGTCGACGACAAAGCAGATTATGCATCATGTGAAAAGTCGTTCGGTACCAGTGTCCTATCGATTGCAGAGATGGCAGAGCTAAAGGGTTTGGCCACAGGAGTTGTGACTACTGCGCGCATAACTCATGCCACCCCAGCAACTGCGTATTCACATACTTCATCGAGAAGGTGGGAAAGCGATGGGTCACTGCCAGATAAGAGATGTAAAGACATAGGTTAGTCTTGACGTCTTTAGGGGATAAATTGGGTGCTTGTTTGCGTTTTAAAAAGCATCTCTGGGTAGGGTGCTGCACCCCTCCCTTCCAATTTTGTATTTGTTGGCAAATGCCAAATATTGTCTAGATTCTCTAAGTTCATTATCTGTTGCTATAGTGTTTGAGTGTTTGAAGAAGTATCAGGAGTGTTAAACACCCATATAGAATTCTAAAGTGAAACATCACCAGAAACCAATTTTAGAATTTTCGAATTTTAACCACCTAACATAAAAGATCACCATGAAATACTTTCAAATATGCAAAATTGGCTAAATATGTCTAAAATCGGTTGAGATAATGCCAATGAAAGATTTAAAGTTTGCTAACGAATTACTGTTAATTTGGCTCTGTTCCTAAAGTTATGAACAGAGACCGAAATACAGAGGATTGATGGGGAAAAAGCTAAGACACATGCTCTTTCAGGTTATGGGATCCAAATTACCAAAAGTTACATCTTAAAAGTGCCATTATAAATAAATAAATCAAATAGGAGCAATTTTTCTCTTGTAATAATGGTTTTGTGATCATCAGATGTCAGTAACCACACCTTTAGGTTACCATACCATAATCCATAACGTTTTGTTTTTCAGCACGTCAGTTAATCGAGTTTTCACATGGTGATGGTCTTGAAATTGCAATGGGAGGAGGAAGATATAACTTCATGCCGGATAACGAAACAGACCCTGAGTATCCAACAAAGAAGGGAAATAGGAAAGATGGAAGAAATCTTATCAACGAATGGAAAGCAAAATCCAATGGAGGACAAAAATGGGATTACGTTTGGAACGATTCACAGTTTCAGCAGTTAGATGTCAACAAGGTCGATCATGTTCTAGGTGGGCTATTTTGATGAATTTGTAACGATAAGGATTCTTGTCATGACGGTGAAGAACCAGTTAATAACCAAGCTCGTTAGTGGAGCGATGGGCTAGGCCAACGGGCCTAAGCCCCAAATAGATAGCACACAAGAGATACTCGTTCTTTGATGTTATCTCTATTGTCAAAACAGTAAGACTAAATTATTCTAAGTTAGATTACATTATATTAAAACACAAACAAAGGAACACTGTGAAACATATTTCCCGGAAAGGGAGTTACTAACACAACAGCGCGACAAACAAACCTGTGACATTAACACGCAACATAATCAAAGATCTAGCTGAACATAATAATAATAATTACTGACGTTTACTAATGTTAAAACGTTACAAATTGCTAGGCATTTGATTTCAGGTGTACAAAGGTCCTAGATTAGAGTCAATTTTTCCTAGATGCTCCACTATCCTCCTTCGTACGTTTCTAAATCTTCATTACAAGAGGTAGCACAATAATTTTGACTGGCATGAAATACAGCACAATTTCCCACGAAGATATCAATAACATTTTAGCAGCTTCTTTGCTACTGGTCGATAGAAGATTTGAGGACTTGAGCAAGGACCCATTTCGAACCCAATTATTGAAATTGTCATCAACATATCAAAAATGAAATCATGGTTTTAGTTTGATAATCAATGGAATTGTGCGTGTTGTACGTTGAGTAATAAACAAAAATCGATGCAATATAATAACTTTGTACAAGAAATGAATACTTAGTACGATGTTTCGAGCATAACTCTTCATCAGGTAGTTTTAATTTGTCTTCTAGCCTTGGTTCCTGCAGGAGTAATTAAGCGATGACTGCTGAAAATAAGGAGCCAATCAAACGCAGCTTCTCTTTCTCGAGACATTTTGGAGTAAATTTCTTTCCTCTATCTTCATTATCTGATATTTCATTCTCAGAATAATCCGAGAAAAAAGTGTCAAATTTTTTTTAAATTTTTTCCGTACGAAACTCATAACTTGCTTATAAGGTACCCCTCAAGATTTTATAAGGTACCCACTCGGAACCAGGTGGTAGTGACAACTCCTTGTCTTATCTTCCCCTGTTTGGATTTCAGATTTTTATTCACAAATTGGTCTTTTGTTTTTTACCTTCTGTGCCTATAAAAACAAAAACTAGATGGAGGGGTCTGGTCTTACACATCCTTGAAAATTCTGTATAATTAAACTAGAGAGATCCTTCAGCGTAATCCTACCCACAAAATCATTTAAGTGTTCATAGTGCTAATTTTGCTATTTCTGACAACCAATTATAATATCTATAGTTATCTTATTTTCGTACTTTTCAATGTTTAGGTTTGTTTGAACCTAGTCATATGCAATATTCTGTCAATCGACTGGCTGATGCAGCAGGAGAGCCCTCACTTACCAACATGACAGAATTCGCCATCAAAATGCTCAGCAAAAATAAAAATGGTTTTTTCTTGCTAGTCGAAGGTGAGTCTTAAAGACATTTTACCATTCTTAAAGAATGCATTCATGAGAATGACAAATATGGGATGGATGACTGGATCACAAAGTTAAGCTTAAAGGTTTTCGTTAAAAATGCTATCAAAAATATTAAACAGTGCTTTTGAGGCGATGCATGTGCATTCCAACATCTGCCCCACCAACTTTTCAATTCATGTTGTCGTTTGATATAAATTTGTTTTCGTTTGTTATTCTGAAGGCGGTCGTATTGATCACGGGCACCATTCTTCGAAAGCTCACTTGGCCTTGCATGATGCGGTGGAAATGGCAAATGCCGTTGCGAAGGCGGTATCCATGACCAAAGAAGGTTTGTTTCTTTATTTTGCACTGGAGGAAAGAACTCTACATTCGGTTATTATGGAACTCTTTGTTGTACTCTAAGGTCGAGAATCGACGTTTACTCTCTGGCTTGCTCGGGATTTCTGAAGACTTCATCAACTAAATCAATTTCCCTCTATCCCATTTTTACATTTCCTTAAATTCATTTGAGTTTTCGATAAACCTGTCTCGTAATTCTTCATTTAATCTAATATACCTCGTTTGTAAATTATTCCTCAAATATAGCATAACGTCATTTTGCAAACCTTCAATATATTATAATATTGACACTTTTTTCATTTTTTACTTTCAAAGAGGAAACATTGATTGTTGTAACTGCGGATCATTCACATACATTTGTTATTGCTGGGTATCCAAAGCGAGGCAATCCTATCCTCGGTCTGGTTGATGAAACTGGTGCCAAAGTTACCGGCTATGTCAAGGACAAGAAGTCTTATACAACTCTTGGTTACATGAACGGCCCGGGTGCTAAAGTCAATGCCACTCGAGACGATCCAGCAAAAGATGACGTTAAAAGTGCTGATTACAGGCAACAGAGTTTGGTTCCAATGGATTCGGAAACGCATAGCGGCGAGGACGTTGGTAAGAAGCAAAAACACATAAATTTAACCTAACTCTAAGCTACAAGAAACAAAAAAGTCCTGAATACCAAAAGCGGGAAATAATGCGATGTATTTGGTATTTTTATTTGAATGCTTAATAGGTTGATAGAGAGGAAACGTGAGCTCGAGAGCAAAACTGTAATAGTATCACTTACTAAGGCTTTTAAAGATGTCCAAGTAATTAGGTTACGATTTTCATCCCATTTTTTGTCTTGTTCCTTTCAGGAGTGTACGCACGTGGCCCAAGGGCGCATCTCATTCATGGAGTCTTAGAACAGAATGCAATATTTCATGTTATGGATTATGCACTTTGCTTGTCTGATAGCAAGAAAACATTATGCGAAGATCAAAGCCGTGTCACCAATTCTGCATTTTCGAGCAATGTATCAAGAAATTTTCTTCATATTCTAATGCCAGCTCTAACTTTTTTGTTTTTGTCAAGATTGATCATTATATAGATTCACATAGCTTGCTGAAGTTTAGAAGCATTTAGTGCATAAAAGAGAGCAGTAATCAAAGCAGACGAAACTACACCTGCCAGTCCCGTTAAGATAAACTTTAATTGTTCAACCTTGTAATACTCAAGTCATTACTTGTTTTACAAATCCTTGTTTAAGGCTCTCGAGCAGATGTTAGTGCCAAAATAAATGAACAAATTCAACCATCAGGTTCTAGGGTGGGAATATAAAAGTTAATGGCCTACAAATATGAAGCTTATTTTATCCTGACATTGAATTTCGTGCAAACCTCTCCCTACCTTGTGCAAATCGTGATATTAGACTGCAGGTGATAGCGATAAGGGGGGGGGAGGGAGTGGGGGTAGAGATTTGCTCTTGAGATCGAAAAGGTGTAAGATTTTTTTTTCTAATTACGCTCTTAATTGCAATTTTTTTTAGATTTTGCGTATCCTTCGTTTTAATTAATTTTGCACGCTACAGTGCATACGAAGATCATACCTTATATGCGATTATTAGAATTATTAGATTTACTATCATGATGAAATCATAGATATATATATATATATAGATAAAGCACAAGCAGCAAATTTTTCATGTTTACTACATGATTTATTACTGCTCTGATTTTAATCTTTTATTTGTAGTAAGGAAAAGATTTTTTAACCAGTTGTGCTAATATTATAAAACTTTGCACTGTAGTTTCAACTGTAAACGTCATTATCACAATGAAGAATAAAATTGTTTGCGTGAGCCAAATTTTCTGTTGTTCTTCTATTAAACATTGCTTTGAAGTAAAATCTTCATCGTTGATTTATTGCGGTTAGCGAGAGGCAGGAGACATCAGGGCTTCAAGAACTCCATAACTGAGGATGTCATTTATAATGGCCATAGAAAGAGGAGTCTTTGAGAATTTCCTTGGAAAATCATAAAAGAATAAACGAGCTTCTGACAAGAAATTGCTTAAAAAAGGGCTGAATGAAAGGTTTGAACCAATAGCAAGGTTAAGTTTGTGCAAATTGAAAATTTCATTTTATTTGTGAAAAATATTTTGAAGCCAAGTTCATTTAGTCACGTGTAAAGAGGCCTCACTTTCAGTCTATAACCCTATCAATTTTGTTTACACACTTGATAAAATGTATTTTTTACAACTTTTCAACATTCTTAATCAAAGCAAACTTTTCTAAAAAGTTTCCTGCTCTAAATAGGTATGTGAAAACAAAACAGACGTTTACATTGAACATAGAACTTTATTAAAGTTAACATCTTTCGAATTGTCTTCAGATAACACCATTTGACACGACAAACTGCGCTGACTTTTTAAATTGATCCTAATATCAGAGCCCGCGCCACTGGGGGAGCCGGGGTGGCCATGGCCCCCCCCCCACTTTTTTGCGAAACAAGTAGTTTTAAATCTGCAATAAAAGGCGAAAGAAGCCTTGGCCCCCTACGTTTTTAGCCTTGCCCCCCCCCCACTTTAAAATTCGTGGCGCAGGCCCTGAATATACGTTCTTACCCTTTTTCCATTTCAAGATCTTTGACGGTACGGAAGCCCTCAATACAGTGTTCACATTCCAGAAAGGTGCCTTTGAGTGATTGCAGTAAGTAAAGGCAGTGGGTAAGGTCGCAAAATATCTTAAGAATCTCTCTACTTTTCTTCCTTTTCCTTTCAAAAAAAGCTTCGATGAAATGCTGGGGAAAGATTCAACTTTTGGTTAAATAATTCCTAGTAAACGCTCACGCCATATAAAGAAAATATGTTTTAGTATAAAAGAAGTTATACATAGAAGATTTCCAGAGTGTTTTTAATAGGAAGAATCTCTATGTTAAACCCTATGCTGGTTTAAGAGGTATAAAGCCTTATAATCTTTTCAAATAACGTATTGCTTTGGAACATGAATTCTTTAAATAAGGAATATTTTGACTCGATTCTAAGATAATCTTAGGCAGTAGATATTCTAAGATTTTGCAGCTTTACTCAAGGCAGTAGTTTCTTAATTTCTCACTTGATTGTAATTTTCAGGACAGGCATATCTTTTTTCATGTCATGCTAGATCTTAGATCAAGCATTTATAGATAAACCAAGTCATTCAGTGTTGCAAAATGCAATTGCGCTCGGTGTTTTGAAACATTATATTGAAACGCATTACTAATTGTTGCCAATTTTGGTACTAGAAGTGCAAAAAGCTCCATTTAGCTTATTCTTAAGTCTATATATTTAACCCGCTTATCTGGTATAGTTTGAACATAAGAGGTATTCAAAGGGGCCTGTCTTTTAGAACAACACTTGACTAATTACTAATATTGTGTTCAAATTTGTCAAAAATTGAAAATATTTGGTATATTGTTGTCGGAAAAACTCAGTTTTTCGCCCTTCCTACGAGGTTTCCTATCTACTTCACTGTTTATAATCCATGAAAATTGAAAAGAAATGTGAATGAATTGCTAAGCACCAACACAAAAAGGGACTATACAAAGTTTTCACAAATAAATATACTCCGCTTACGCCATATCTTTTTCCCTATAGGCAAGATCACACTGCTCTTCTTATAACTTTTGCTCAGTTTTGATGGTAAGCTCTTTCTCAGGGACGGAGTTAGCGGGGGGGGGTGTAGGGAGTGCGACACCCCCAAATAGTTATATGTCCCTCGGTAAATTTTGTTTCATTCGGTAAAAGTAGTAACAAATTAACGCCAAGATTTTACTTTATTTGTTTTTTATCAGTATTTATCTTCTTATTGGTAGCGTAGCGGGGGGGGGGGGATATTCTCAAATATATTTTAAGCTAATCTCAAGAACATCGTCGCAAATATTTTCTTGTCGCTTCGCTCGCAGGAGAGCTTCAGTGTTTAGCAATTTCCCTCGTTTTGGGGTTTTGTATAGAAAAGTCTTTCACGTTCTTGAGACATTCCTGATCAAATAGAAACTAAAATGATAAAGACGTCCAATCCTAAACAAACTTTGGAAAATCACTTTTTACGCGTAAAATTTCCTCGCCTTAAAGAACTCAGGATATAAACGTTAGTGGAATTGTGAAGGAAATAGACAGTTGTAGAATATGGTCAGCCACAAACGCTGCATATGACGTTGTATAAAGGGAAATTGTCACGTAAAAATGCCATGGCTTTTCCAAACGCATTTCCAAGATGGGTGTTTTCCCAAATTCTTAGGGGTCTGGTCAGCAAAAATATTTCCCTCTTTGGCCTACCAATCTTCCAACCCTGACTACTCCACTGCTTCTTATCGTCTTTACCTTCAAGATAAAAACCAAATTTTTAAAGTTGGCGTTTCGATCATTTACCAGTGACCTGAATGGTGTGGCACCAAAATTAGTGTCTAACACCCCCCACCCCCAATCATTGTTGCTTAAATCCGCCCCTGCAGTCTTTCTGATGGTATCATTAGATTTAGAAAATTCGAAAGTCTAAATTTTGCTGGCCTTCACTTTTCATGCTTCAGGAAATGCGACTTCCGGTCATTTGCCAAAATGTTGCCAAGGCTTAAAAGGATCAGTGGCCTTTACTCTTATGATTTAAACCAGGGGTCGGCAACCCGCGGCCCGCGGGCCACATGCGGCTCGCAAGGTACTTTTGTGTTGCCCGGAAGGCCCCTGTTAACCTGCAAATAATGTGGCCCAATGCACGAGTGTCAGCTCGATATTGATTCAGTGATCTTAGATTCTTGCCTAGATTAGCATTTCTCGTTAACATTACTAGTCACTCGAACAGGCTGAACAAGAAGATTCAAGGCCATTGTCAATTTGTGAATGTCATGTATGAACATGTCATGTTCCTGCTTATGCTACATCTTTGGAAAACTCAGCTGAATCAATGGAACTTGGTTCACTTTCCATCTTCAAATGGAGTTCATCGAGCTGCAGGGTACCAATGAATTGAAACAGAAATACAAGGAAACTCAGATAATAACGTTTTATATGGAGTATCTCCATGGCGAAAGTCTCTTCTCAAAGATGAAGCATGCGAAGAGTCGACTGCGATCTCGCATGACTGATCAGCACCTTGAAGGCAACTTGCGGCTACCAACATCAACAATTCTGCCAAATATTGAGAAGTTGGCCAAGGACGTGCAGCACCAAGTTGCCCATTAGCTTCTTGTAATACACTGAACAGTGAACATGTACTTTACCAGTGGCGGACCATTGGACCTACCGGGAAAAGCAAGCAAAAGGGCGCCAATAGGTGCTTAAGTTTATTAACTTTTGGGCTTGTAAAACGGGCCCGGAAAAAACTTTCTTAGCTCATCAAACAGTTATATATAAAGTTTTTCAGCACATCTTTGAAAAATGTAAAGGGGTGCCTCAGCACCTGCTAGCTTAAGGACTGTGCTAGTCATTAGTCAATTGGCAAATAGTCTGCTAGATAGCTAGTGAAATCCTTTACTACCCCCTCAACAGATATCGAATTAATGTATGGCGTACTTGCTTTAAAAAAATACACGCTAATCAGGTTTGTAGTGAAAGTAGGCTTTCTGACTGCTTCCACATTTACTGCTGTCAATAAAACAAAATATGAACAATTTTTTGGCGCTACCAAATTTGAAAATTGCTTTGAAAAAGCAAACAATTTATCTATACTAAAAACTTTTGAACCTCTTCAGAGTATAGAATGTCAGAATTAGGGTCTGAAAGAACAAGATGAAGAATAAATACCAATTTGTGGATCGAATTTTCCATCTTGTTCTTTTGGACCATTTTTTGACACTTTATACTCTGAGGAGTTTCAAACAACAAAGCTGTCATTTACATAACAAAGTATGTTTTTTACAAGATTTTCAGAAAATCTTGCAGAATTTGTTGATCAACATTTTGTCTTTTTATTGTTAATTAACAATAGCAAAGATTGGAAAACTTTGCAATTGACCTTAATATGGCTCAACTTAAAGGTGAAGCTAAACTTTTTATGCAAACGTACTTTGGATAAGAGGTCAATTGATGATTGTAATCAATTTTAATTCTGTGCGAAGATTATTTGCCTTTTGAAAGTTTTCAAGTTATTAAAAAAATAACTTGGGGAAGAGGGCACACCGGGAAATTTCCCGGTGTCCCGGTGTCCCGGTAGGCCAGTCCGCTTCTGTACTTTACATCTATGTTTGTATTTACGTACAGCTTCCACGTTACAGTATATTTTCCGATAAATACATTTTTATTGATTAGATTAGTAGTTAGGTAGAATTGGTATATATTAAAATTATACTGTTTTTTGAGTTGCGGCCCTCGTATGCATTTCAAAAATCAAATTTGGCCCCCGGTTTTATAAAGGTTGCTGACCCCTGATTTAAACTTTAAAAACTTAGGTTAGGCTGGTTGCTAGATGGTTACCGTCTTTACTCGAGTGAGTGCCGCTCCTGTCAGGGCCGCCGGAGCCAAGGGGGCCACGGGGGCAAAGGCCCCCCTGTTTGCAAAAAGTATAAAAAGTGCCCTTTTTTGATAAATAAATTGCGTGTATTTTTTCAATACCAGATATTCTTCCTTAAGAAACTAAGTAAAATAACATAACTCTGGGCGTTGTTGGAGGACCGTTTACTGGATTTCCTTAAATCTTTACTTGGTCTTGATGCAAAAAACTCAACCTTCTGTTGGTGAATGATATCAACTGTGAAGGAGACTGCCATTTTCGCGAGAAAATTTCCTGAGTATGACTTCAGCAACAAACACATTAGTGAAGGTTCGGCATCAAGTCCCCGGCGGGCACAGTCAGTTGGTGCAATGTATATCGTGTGTGTTCCTGAAAGTAAAAACTGGACCACTATCTCTGATTCTGGGTTAAGTAAAATGTACCCTCTCTTCGACTTTGCCAAAATTGTGAAACTTTTTTCACTGAGATTATTGAAGCTTGAGCAGGAATGTTTTATACCAATTCATGTTAGAACCATTCCTTTTCTTAAACTTGTTAGAACCATTCCTTATCTAGGCAAGTTAAAAAGCAGAGTTCACTAAATTTGATTTTAACAACAACCCTTTATAGTTCTTAATGTATATTAACAAAATCAGACAGCTGTAAAGCTATACCTGCAACATATGCTTACTTCACAACATTGTGTTAGATGTTTTTATGAAGACATGAGAAAGTTGTGCCCCTGCAATGAGTACATGCTAGCAGTAAAGGGTCTTTAAACAAAGACTTAAATTTCTTATCTAGGATTAGAACAACATACAAGATTAGATGCTAAATTTGTTATACTTCCCTATAATTCCTGCCCTTTTGTGCTTCCTCTGACTGATTAAAAAAGCAATCCTATTTTCAAGATTCTATGTCCCAGCATTCTAGTTTTCAGACCACCCTTCTTTCTCAGAGTTTTTCGGAACTCACATGTAATACGTTTGACCAACTGATTGAGCCCTCCAGGATAAAGAGTTGGTTCATAAGACTGATGAGATGAACCTAATCAATGTTGCAAATTGAAATTTCTATGGCAGTGAACAATGTGTCCGCACCTTCAGCCGATTGCGTAAAGGTTACTTAAACATAAAAATTTGTAGCTTTTAAAAAATATTCCATGGAGGCGAACAAATTTATGTGTTTAAGTGGCGATGGGAAGGCACGAATACCAAGGGGGAATAAATTGTATATGAAAGAAAGGAAATTAAAATGATTATTGGAATGGGCTTTCGATAATCACAGAGACTGAAACTTTGCTCGAAAGGAAGAAGGACTGGAATTGGCTTTGAAGTATGACTAAGAATTCGAAAATTCCATTCAGTTCATTTGGATTGGATTCGTTGGTATTTGTTGAGTATAATGCGCTTGCCACAAGTATGAAAGAAGGATGTGTGCCTGCTTCTTACCCGGGGCCAAATTCACCTACAATGCAAATTATAAGGAAAACAAGTACAGCTTATTGTAATAGAGGTATAAATCATAGATGGAAGGAAGATTTACACTCTCAAAAAAACTTGAAGGCCTTGAGATGGGAAGCTATACATATAATTATGATCAAGATTGCGTGGTCCCTAAATAGAGTAAATAGCCATGTCTGCTTTCAGCGAAGGTAGTTCTCACTATGTACAGCATGTGTCATTATTTTTATAAATTTCTAAATTACCATGGAATCTGTACCATTTTTGGCATTAACTAATGTTTCGGAAAAATATATTCGTGCCCTTTTATTCGTTTTGCCCCCCCCCCCTGTTCAAACCTGCGTCCGGCGGCCCTGCCTATAAGAGCGCCGCCCCCGAATAAGCGTCGCATCAAAAGTACTTGGAATTAAAAGTGAGTACATCACTCGAGTGAATACGGTCACAGAATAAGAATAACGGTTATTCTTATTCTGTGATACGGTATGCAAAATTCCCTGTCTAGTATCACAGCCTCGGCTTGTTCTCAATTGGTTCTTCACTTTTGACCAATTTTAAAGCTCGTGTTTTTATAAAATTGCCCTATTCCTATTTTTAAAGTTGTTTTTTTTATAAAATCTAGCTTTTACAACAGATTGCAGCTTGATGGTACGAAAGAGCTTCGTGTGTAAAATTATGGTGTTAATTATGTTTGGTTCCTGAGTGTAATTATGTAGCGTAACCCCCTGATATTTATGTTATCAATAGTTATGAGCAGGGGGTAGCATGCAACTCGTCAAAATGCCAACCTGTGAACAATTATTATTACTGGTTACTGTGAAGAGGAGGTTGGCCGGGAGTTGATTTGCAAGCCGAAGGTGCTTACTCATAATCAGTTGTTAAATCTCATGGATAGCTAGCAGTCATGAAGAAGTCTGAGTCGTTAGGATCTGGTAGAAAGTCAAGCACGAGTGGCGTGTCTTCCCACAGCTCAAATCAGTCATCACCAGGAGCAATGCCACATCCTTCACCAAGTGGAGCAACACCAACAGGCCTAGTCATAAATGGCCTGTCGCCAACTTCACCAAAAAGCGAGACACCTCTAAATGAAGAATGCCATTCTGAGCTGCATTTACATTGTTTATCGGTTTTGAAACAGCTCAACGACTTTAGGAACTCCAATATCTTATGTGACGTTACCCTCTGCGTAGATGGGAGAACTTTTTATGCGCACAAAAGTATCCTAGCATCATGTAGTCCTTATTTTAAAGCAATGTTTTCCACTAAAATGAAAGAAGCAACGGAAACAAAGCCAGTTATACTCAATGACATAGAAGGACATAACATGGAAGAGCTACTAAAGTATATTTATACGGGTGAAATTGAATTAAGGAATGATAACATAAGACCGATTATATCCGCTGCAAACTATTTATTGATCACAAGCCTTAAAGATCGGTGTGTCAGGTTTTTGAAGAAGATGTTAACACCGGCAAACTGTCTTAGTATTGAAAACACAGCAGAACAGTATGACTGCGAATGGCTAAGAGCAACAGCTACTTCTTATGTTAAAGAAAATTTCCTCACAATTATACGAGCTGATGAATTTAAAGATCTTCCTGTCGAAAAACTGATCGAACTTCTGGCCAGTGATGAAACAAGAGTTGATCGTGAAGAGCAAGTTTTTGAAGCTTTGATGTCATGGATTAACCACGATATTCATAAAAGGAAACATTATTTTGCAGATTTGGTTGAACATATTAGGTTCCCTTTGATGTCACCTTACTATTTGATGGACCATGTTGAAACTGAAGATCTTGTCAGATCAACTCCTGAGTGCATTGATCTACTGCTAGAAGCCAAAAACTATCACATGCTTCCAGATAGAAGATGGCAGCTGAAGAGTAAGCGTACTACTCCAAGGGCATCAATGGGTATCGTCAATGGTGTTATTGCAGTTGGTGGAATCCAGGGTACATCGGTGGTTGCATCAACCTCATGCTACCTTCTTTGTGCCAACCAGTGGTTTGTTCTGGCAAAAATGAACACTCCAAGATGCAGGCATGGTTTAAGTGCCACGGGTGAATTCGTTTATGCAGTTGGTGGTCAATATAGAGAAGGTAACATTTATATTTATGTTTTTTAACTTGTCTTCTGTGAGATCATTCCCAATCACATGCTCATGTTCTTCCAGCTCTTGAGATACCAGCTTGTGTAAATGAATCTTATGTCTCAATGAATGAAAATGATCAGATAAGAATCATGTATAATCCTGTTTTTTCTATTTACTTGTTTCAAAAAGTTATTTTAGGGATGACAAAGAGGTTTTGACATAATGTTCTTAAACATTAGGTGATGCATCTAGGTGATGCATTTCTACCTGTAAGTAATTGGTGCAAACTTGCAAAACTTTGAGCATCTTGAATCCTAACTCTCTTAAACATGCATTCACTTCTGCTGGAAGATTTATAAACCTTTCATAATTTTTTTCTTTTTCTGTGAATATATTTAATAACAGCCCAGAACTGATGAAAATATTATCTTTTTAGTCATGGTAATCTGAAAAATCTTTCAATAATCTTATACCCTTCAATCTCAAAAAGATGTTTTACAATTATTGATGATTTTGTAATGCTGTAAGTTTTCCTTGTTAAGTTGCAAATGGAATTGTATTGTAAGGAGGAGAGCTTACAGGTGAAATTTAAACCTGCTGTGGGTCACAGTCCTTGCAACAGTTTGAAATGATTGGGATGATGGTCTCAAACTATAATATTTGGTTATTTAGTTTGTGCAAGCATGATTTTTGTGAGATCTGACCTAATATGATGCAGTTTTGACTCAATATGATTCAGTTTTGACTCCCTGCTGTAGCTTAAAAATGCTTCTTGTACCCTTGTTTGTTTTTATCATTTCTGAACTTCAAAAAATCTTTCTGAACCCTTAGCAAACTAAAGTACTTTAAGTTTCTTCACAAAGAGCTGTTCACATGAACTTTAATATATAAAAATGTTGGGTCTTTTGTGAATCTAATGAAAGCTATTAAGGATGAAAAGGAAGTTCTTGCCTATCTTTGCCACTTTTCCACCATAGTATATCAGCAAATTAAAAATTGGTTTTTAAACTGCAAGCTTAAGTTGAGCTGCTTTCAACAATATATCTAACATCTGCACTTTTTAAACTTTCATTAGTTTGTAAGCATTTCCTTTAATCCATCTCTTAAAAACATTTTACTGCTGGTTTAAAGTACATTTAGGGAATTTTAGTTCAGAAGTCTTATTTCAGCTTTGAAGACTATCTCCAGATGGATAATGTAAATGCAAGATAAGCCTGTGTATCCCTCACTGAAATCATGCGATAAGGTCCTTCTTATCTGGCTTTTTAGTAAGCTTCTTGTTTTCTAACTTACAAGCTTTAAGAACAGATATTTTTCTTATTTCAAGCAAAGAGCTTTTGCTGGTATTGTTGTGAATTATTAACAAAAGATTTAGGGTACAAATGCACAGATGTTTTCATGGACATTGCTCCCAGGAGATTAGAGATACCATCACAGGTCTTCTGAGACATATCAGATACACTAGGCAGTTTCTAAGTTTCTTTGTCGGACTGGTGAGCTCTGTATACTTGACAAGCTTCTGTGGTGTCTTGCCATAAGATTTGTGAATTAAACTATCCGATTGTGTATGAAATGGTAATAATAGCATAAGAAAACCTCATTTTTAGCATTCGTTATTTGCTTGTTTCACAAAAATGCAGAATGTAATATGCACAAATGTTGCATAATGAAAAAAATACCACCAAGCAAATCTCTGTTTTATTTAGAATATTTTTTACAAGATAGCAATGATGAACATTTTTCAGTTCCAAATTTTGATTCTTTATCAGAATATACAGAATTATAAAGGATTAATGACAGCTAACTAATTCACTTGCCAGTTAAACTGCATGCTCTCATTAATTTGAATATTGTACATAGGAAGTTTATGCCATCAGACTTATTAACCCCTGAAATTATATAAGACTTGCACAAAAATGGAATGTTTGACAGGTATGACTCTGTTTATTCATTTTCCTACCCAGAGCTTTTAACCTTTTGAAGGCTTTACTATCTTCTTGCTTCTTAATTTTTATAACAAGGCTTCCAAAAAACCAATTAACTTTCTCGTCTCACTTCACTTTCTTGTTAGCCCATTCCTTGTTCTCCATGTAAAGTTCTTTGATATAGGCCTCTCCCTAACATGAAACATTAAAACAAGAAGAATAAAATTTTCAGGATATTGCTAAATCAGCTTTTGCCTGTCCCTAAATTTTCCAACTTTAGCCTGTGTATGTTTATAAGATAAGTAACAACATGTCAACTTTGAAAAAAGATAAAAGGGCCTTTAGAGTAGATAAGAGATGAACTTTTTAGAGGCAAGGGTGAAAAGTATTTTCCAACCAATCACTTTGGTTTCCTTTGTTAGAACCAAACAGTTTTTCCTTCCAGTTTGGGTAGAGGTGCACCACCCTTCTATCCAAGTTAAGAAAGCATTTGAAAATGGATTGACTCCTTCACATTTCTAATGAGGAGGAAATTTACTGCTTAAGGCTGACTGTTTATGGGGAGGACATTTAATTTGTAATATACAGTATAATTGTCCAAACTAATCAATTATTAGGCTGCTGATGAAGCTCTAGAACTTGTGCTGTTAAGTTTAGTTGACAATTAAAAGGGATGGTCCTTTTGACAGTCTTGTTGATATAACACCTGCTGAAATATGTCATTTATATAAAAGACAAAATGCCAGTTACTGTTTGCCAGCCTATCATAAAGTGCTCAATGCCTAAGACAGAGCTGTACACACTATTTGGTTTATGGAGCAGGACAATTACAAGTTACTATTCTGTGTCTCAGACCTACCAAAGTCCAAGTCACATGCATTTTGCGTGCGACACAAGCATTTCGGTCCTTTCCCGCGCTCACATGCATCAAAGCAGAATTTTCACGCATTTTGCAACAAATTTCTTGGTTCATTTAAATTTTTCAATTTTTATTCCAAATCCAAGCAAAATCTCTCTTTCCAAACAAGGCAAATTAGAACGATAACAGCAACCAGCTAATAAGATGACTAGATAACAGCGAATTTGGACAGGTTCAGTGATGTTACATTTATTGGCAAGTCTGCATGAATGGCAGGTTAGCTCTATTGCAACAATTTCACATTGCAACTTTCTTTGAGATGTACAGGAGGAGCATAATGTCTTTTAAGTTGCAATCAGAGTGGTCAGAGTGATATTTGGGATACCAGCTACATTACGACGCTCCGCTTTCCTAGTACATTCCTTCCTCTGCATTCCTGGTCCACAGTGCTGTCAACCTTCTTTTTCAAAAAGCTCACTCATTTTCAAAACTGAAACTTGACAGGTCTGGTGTTTCATGCTTGATCCAATCACCAAAGTATCCATGAATAAATTTTTGCAGATAATAGACAATTTTTTAAAATCGTTCTAATCAAGGTTGTACTTAAACTCATATGCCTTTCACCATAGTAAACATGAAGTAGGCTTTAAATAGCTGCTTTTTGATAGCCATTGTTGTCTTAAATCTTTATCAGCTCCTTACATTTTTGTGTCAGAAAACAAATGCAATTCACCAAACAGGCCTGAGAAATGGAGTGAAAATTTTATCAAGCTTAACAATTATTTCACTCAAGCAAACTGCCCGTAAGCAGTTTTATTTGGCTGTCAAGGACCATGTAAGCAAAGAGCCTTGAATTTGCTCACCTTTTTCAAATATTTGAATACATTTTGAGTTTTCTTTTTCATCTCACTGCACTGTTGAATTTATCCTGCTAAGTTTGTTGATTGTATTGACAAATCTATCATTGTGTGTATTCATTCACAATTCCTTGCATTTGTCAATGTATTTCTTGATATGTTATGGAAACATATTATCCAAGTTGTTAATATCTGTGAATCATGATTCTATCAGTTTATCTACATCATTTGTTTCACACTCTTATGGTACATACCTGCAGACAGCCCAGGGAGGAAGCTGTGTATGTGAGGCCATTGATTTCCAGCATAGACTCTTCGTTCAGGCTGCCATATTGGCATAGGACTGAGCCTGTTTATATCTTTTTGGCAAGATGATCTATTTCTTCTTTTCAAAATCTTTGGCTCACAGACTCTCATTTACTTGCAAGCATCTTTTGCATCAATAGATGAAACACTTTTTCCACCCTAGGCCATAGCAAGACAAGATAAAGAATAAACAAACAAATTAGTCTCAAAATCAGCCTATTTCAATGGTCCCTATGTCAGACAATGAAGCACCATCTTATAATGCCTGCCAATAGTTTTTGTACCACACACTAGATTCTATTGCAATTTTTCAATGGCTTACCCTCAAAACAAAGTTTTTTAGTAAGATTTTTAGATATTCAGTGTTGTCCATGTGATTCCTACTAGATTTTTATGATAATATGTTGTTTTGGAAAGATTGGGTGCATTGTGAGCTTTTTTCCTGGCAAGAGTTATTTTCTGCAAAATATCATTTTAACAACTGGACATTCCAAAGACTTTTGGAAGCGATCGTATATATTGTATAAAGAAGCTCCTTTCTGTAGCAGATTCTTCTTAACTAAAGGCGCATAAAGAAAACAATAATTTGATGTCCTTTGGAGATAAAAAATTGTCTTCAAACTTGTCTTTTCTCAAAATACATTACTTTTTGAATAGTTTATTGCTATCAAAATCATATGTACAGTCATAGTCAAGAAAACTTAAATTTCTATGCTAAATCTTAACCTAAAACATATTTTTTATTGTTTATCATCTTGAATCAAACTAGACTGTCTAGATATTCATAATCGCTTTAATCCTCCTTAGAGATGCAAAACCTCTTTCTTATGATTAAACCACTTTATTATTAAACTAAAAGGTTTTGCACAGCTCAGTATTGCAATATTTACGGTAATTCATGGATTTATACGATTACAGCTTAATAGGATGTAATGCCTCTCTTAAAGGCATAATTACGTTAACGCAATAGTAGCTCGTTTATCTCCATTCATTCTACTTACTTCTCACTGCTTTTGCTTTGCAAAGTCTCATCCAGCTTAGACACAGGCGACAAAGATTTTCAGATGTTAATTAATTTCTGCAGTATTCAGAATTTTCAGCGAGTCTTTTCATCTGTATCATAACAAATGTGGTAATAAGGGGGGTGGGCAAAGGAACATTTTTGTGATTTCGCCCTTTGGATTGTCGAAAACGCCCCTTTTTGAGAAGTGATATAAATAAGCTATGATGTTGGTTTATGTCACAGGCTGATTGCAAATTTGCACTCTTCCTAAACTTCCCAAACTACCTATTCAGACAAATTTTCTGTGCCTGGCTTTCATTACCAGGTAAACTTAAAAGCTTCAGACCTTTCACGCTTTCTCTACTGCATAATGGTACTTTCTTTTGTCGAAGACCATTAAATTTATCGTGACCCTAACCCCCAGTCACTATAGTCTTGAAAAAAACTGAACTTACTCTTGTGCGTGTTCGTGTTTACTTACTTATCCGAGATACAAATGTTTGTTTGTAAGAAGGAGGTTTCTATATCGTATGCCTTCATCACGTCTGTCAATATATTACTGGTACTCAAGTTGCCGACAGGTGGCAGTGAAAGGCACAATTTTCCTGTGTCTTTGACGTTTCTATGGCCTGTCATATTCATGTTTTGTTAGGGAGTTGGTCACGGTTGCGAAATTTTATTTTTGTTATGCTAAGAAACTAAGGTCTTGTCGTGGTTGCAAGCATTTCATAACATAAACATGCAAACATCGAAGTGTAACATGCAAACTTCGCTTGATTTAGCAGAAAAGCCTCACGAAGTTATGCATTGGAAGGTGATTTCACAGAAATAATTTTAGGGCGGACGATTATAGCTAAATATATGATCAGTGCCTGAACTGGACCTATCACTCAGTGAAATTAGATTCTTCCTAATCTTCGTTCTCTCACTTTCTTTCTTGTGCTAAGAGATTGTTTCATAACAAGATCTTAGGAGTATATCCAAGAAGAAAACGTCTAATCCACTAATTATACTTTATTTCTTCAAGGTTTTATCTTTTTTCTACAGCACCTGCTTGACAAGAGAATCCTGTTAAATTTTCAAATTAAGACCAAGTTTCTAATGGATAAGCCCAAGCTATCACATTGCTTTGTCTTTCTTAGTTTCTAGAGCATCTGTCGTTACAGTATTCTAGGCATTTAAATATCAGGAATTTTCGAGATTTAATAACATTTTGGGTCTTTCTAATTTCCCTAAAGTGTTTACCCAGAATCTAACCGGCTTTACCTATATTGTCAGCCCAACGAATCTTTGTTTGATAACAAGAGATGATTTCTACGTGCTTTGATGGTAGCTCATGCAACCACAAAATCAAAACGAAAACTCTCTACAAATTAATCATTTCTGTCATTGTCAAAGAGATAAGTATCTTTTGAGCTGAGAAGAAAATTCAAAGATTGTAAAAGCAGCTAGAAATATATGTTAGATACAGAATACATCCCATTTGGTAATTCCTTAGACGTTAATGATCATTTAGTGCATATATCTTTATTATAAGCAAAGGTAGTCACCTAGATTGAATGATCTCTAAAATAGGAAAATTTCATAACAAATTAAGTTGTAGTCAGTATGCTAGAAAGATAATGTTGTAAGGTAATTTTACTTATATTGACATATCTATTTAGTTGCCTAATGATCACATTAAGCGTCAAACTCGGAGTTGCTTTGAGAACCGTCCAGTTTTATAAAAAGAGCATAATGTAAATCTATAATATTTAATGTTGATAATTGTAAGTTTGATTGAAGAGATTTTTAAAGAGGCATTCTTATAAATCAAGGATTGTAGACCACTGACTACGTAAATCACAATATTAAAAACCATTTTATAAATAAACTAACACAAAAGAAAGAAAGAGAAAGTAGATTTGAAGATTTTTGTTTCTGCATTTTCAAACCGTTTGAAGACCTGGATATACTCCAGTGTTGCCGTAAGGATTTTTGCATTTAGATCAAATTGTAACTGTTCTTGGCCATAAAGGATGTTGACCACTGATTTAGATAGCTGCTAATACACTATTTGAGTTATTCTTTCATTTACATTCTCGGTGAAAGAAGCAACGTAAATGAACATCCAGTATTTCTTGAGAACACTATGCAAAGCAAAGGTAACACTTCTGAATGAAGGCAATCACTTCAAAAAATGTATGTTAAATTTGATCCATGTGGTGTTAGTAACAGACGGAAAGAAGTATTTGTTTAAGTTACCGTCGTTGCATACCTGCTCACATCCCCTAAGAGAATGTATATGAGGGTCACGGCACCAAAATGACAATCGTAACTGGCTGTTTTTTCTTTTACTGTAACGGTATCTATTGAGCTTTTTTGTGAAGTGGCTGAGCGCAAATAATGATTGCTTCTCTTGTAGAGCACAAAATCAATTTGCAACAAGAGACAATCTTCTAAAAAATCTAATTTTCTTTCAGGAGCGGCTCAAAGTTCTCTTGCAAGTGTGGAGAGGTACGATCCAAAGACGAATACATGGACAAACGTCAGTCAAATGCAGTGTCGCAGAAGTTTACTAAACGTCGCTGCTTTGGAGGGTGAGTCCCGATTCATATTTTTTGAATCTCGTAATAAGTAAGTGATTCCTAGCGATCGAAATTGGAAGCACTTGAATGCCAATGAATAACAAGAATTTAGATGTAGTAGAATTCTCTCGGTGTAAAATGGAAAGAAAGGACAGTTTTACATCCTAACTTGTTTAATCCTTTGAACAAACATTTCATCGTAAAATACCAGTCCAGGCGACGTACAGCTGAATGTCACATTACCGTTACAGTCACATAGAATATAGGCCCAAACATGTAAGACTGTTCAACTTTGGTATGACTATAATGGGAATTTACTGAAATAATCTAATATGACTATAATTATTTCTAAGTCCATCATGATATACTCGGTCCTGTGTTACTGTTTCATTCTTAGGTTCTATAAATATACCTGTCTAATTGAGATGAAGTTTTATCTTAACGACCAAACCCCGTATGGTGTTTAGCCCTAAGCATGTAAAATTTAATTTTGTTTACTGCCACGCCTTGCTTACAGTCATACCATATATACTGTTATTTGATGTGATTACAACCGAAACCTCCTGTAGATTGTAAGGTATTTCTTAAATCTTAATTTTTGAACAATGTTTTTATAGTCTCCATGTTTACACGTACGGTGTATTTTCCAAAAGCCCTATTATCACGATGTGAAATTTTATGTGATTTGAATGTCATCATTTGTGCCACTGAGAATCGTAGTCATATAAACAATCTTTGTTTATGATGCCCTCTTCTCGCTAACAAGGCACACAGTAACCCACACGAGATGTAGAACATAAGCTATTTGTTAGCCATGTACCTAACCAGTTTGTCAGAACATAGGACGGAAGAGTTTCATTTTTATATTTTCTTCTGGGGATGTATTTCTCGAATGTTGAAAAACTGGAGTAGAATGGGCTGGAGATATTGTCTGTGTTGTAAAAGACAAAAGCTTTAAAAGCATGGTTTTAAAAACACGTTTTTGAGGCTATAGAGGCTCTTATTTGAAGCTAATGGGAAATCATGAAAAGCTGAGACGAGGAGACAAGGTGCGCAAGCTCGTCAGCATCGATGTTGGCGTCCTAATCTAACTTTTTCCTTTTCATTACCGTAAATCCTCGAATTGCCCCCCTCCTCGAAAAAGCTCCCCCTCAAATAAGCCCCCCATCATATAACCCCCCTCGAATAAGCCCTTATCCAAAAATATCAAAAATAAATAAGCCCCCGGGGGGCTAATTTGAGGATTTACGGTATACCTGGAATCTCTCAAAAATGTTTTAAAAGCTGTTGCTCTGCCATTCACATTCAATCAAAAGTTACAAATACTTGTTTACCGCTCTGTCACAAGCTCACAAACATTTGTTATTAGATCACCCTTCCAAACCTTTGTTGAATGTTTGATCGTGTTGGCTGTTTGATTCATTTCCCTCCTGGAGATGCAGGAAGAGATCGTTTTCACTATAGCTTCTTATTTAATGCCTCATGTATGATTAAATCATGTGGTCAACTTAATGATACTTCTTCATTAAAGGAAATTACTACAGAGTTGGTCTTCTAAGCTGGTAGGCTGGACTTCATCTTAGTGTGATTAGTATGCTCCACATTCAATACTGCCGGGTCATTTTCTATCCTTTGAATATAAGCAAGGCAAGCGTAGTTTAATTATATTTGAATACGTCACGTTTATTAATGGGCCTGGGTCAGATTTAATCCTTATATGCTGTACCTTTGAATGTTTTTATTGCCTTAGCAGGACTATCTATGTTGCAGCTTGAACTGCTATCAATTGCAGGCTGCAATAAACCATATTCCTTCAGACGCGTGAATGTGATTTTTGTTTTCTAAGCCGTGTGAATATGGTTTTGATGTGACATAAAAAGCGTAATTTTTTTTGTTCTACTAGCCCGTTTTTGTATCAGTAGTACCTTTTCATCTTCTTGATGAAATTATTTAAAGCTTATTGATACAGATTCACACGGAGTGATGATCCCTGTTATGTTTCGTTGTTCTTTAACGGCGAAGGAAGAAGACCCTTTTATTGTAGTTTACTTTGAATATTTCATACTGTTTGCTTTAGCCTTAATATTTCAATTTCTCAGCCGTTAATCTTCAAAATGTCTTTTAGGAATGTTGTATGCGGTGGGTGGCTGTGACGAAAATAATCTCCGCCTTCACACCATGGAAAGATACAATCCGTCAACAGACACGTGGTCATTCGTTCCGCCAATGAGCACTTGTCGAAGTAGCCCCTGCGTCATTGGAGATAAGTATCTTTACGTGATTGGTGGAGTTAGCTACGTTGGAATTGCACTTAACACTGGAGAAAAGTTTGACCCTCACACGAATACTTGGAGCAAGCTAGCACCAATGACCACAAAGCGCGCAAGTGCTTGTGGTGCCGTTGTCAATGGAAAAATATACGTCATAGGTTAGTAGAACTTTTTTCCAAAGCTCCTTGCAAAGCTCAGGAAACGCAGCTAGTTTTAAATGAAACCTGTTTGAGTAAATTCTTCTTTCTACGTTTTCGCACTTTAGAGAGTGCATAAGAAAACAATTCTAGTAAAGATGCTCCTTTTTTGGACTGCCGGTGTAATATGCGTTTTGGTACCCTATGCTAAAGTGTAATATTGTGAAATGCAATGTACTTCGAATCATGTGATTTCATCTTAGTGCGATGTTATGACACATTGCGAGTTAGAGATGGAACACAACGTTTTTCGTGTTTAAAATTTCACACTTCTCAATCACCCAAACTTTGGAGTCGCGATTAATATGGTACTTATTTGCATAAACTTAATAAAGAATATCACAGCACCGCTTCTTATTAGTACCCCCTTGTTAAAAATAGTTTGATTGTTATTTACATACTGAAAAATGTGAACCAGAACGTTTGTGTACGCGGACCGCTTCACAGTGTGTTTTATCATTATCTTAGTTGACATTTTGCAACTTGACAACGATAAAATTGCATTATGGGATATTGGAACTCGAGAATGCTCATGGTAGGCACAGGGTCCTTTAAGAAATTGTTTTATGCTACTGACAGGTGGTGCATGGTTTGCTTTCTCTTTGCGAGCTCTTCCCGTCTTAGGGGATAATCATCGTTTTTGTACTTTCGCTTTGGCTATGCGTTTGTTTGTAATATGCTTCGGAATTTTCTTTCGCATTACTTTCACAAGCTTCTGTTCTCATTCTGTGTTGCCTTGAACTTGAATAGTTTTCTTGGCAAAGCCACTTTAATCTTCCCATTGAACACTGCATACATACCCCAACAGCAACCAATATTTAAAGCCCGATGTTTTCAGATTTACCTTTAGTCTTCTTAGAAAAAGACCTCTTCGTTTACCCTAAAATTTTCAGTTCCCTTCTGATAGTAGTTCCATACCGGTCGTGTTTCTTGAAAACACTTTGCCAATACAGAGTACATAACCTCCTTCTCATCAATGCCTCTGTTTTAGTATTTCCATTTGCTTCTATATTATGTCTCTAATTTAAACCAAAGAAGCTTATAATTACAGCCGAAATGAGGACAAGTCGCAGAATTTCTGAAAATCGCTTGCCAATACCATTGTCTCCTGATTTTTTCAAATCCCGCCCAGAATGTCTCCATATTGTTACATGTGATGCATTTTCTTCTACTTCTTTTGACAATAATGTGTTCAGCCTCGTAGTTCATAGTTGAATCCGCTAGGAAAATGCTTTCTAATTTCCAAATATCCTGTCATCTCTATATCATCAAATTGAATATCATCCCTTGAAGGATGCAAAACGTATGCTTCCTTTTTGCGATTTCTTAGGAGCCTTTTTATAGCTGCTTTCAATTTCTTGGAATACTGATGATTATGATAGAAGAATCAGAATATAGGAAGTGGTTATTTGATTTTCATATAGATAAATGTATTTCATCTCCAATAGAGCAAATTTTATTGGATGCGCAGAAAATGCAATACCATTTGAATAATAGATCTTGGGGTTTCCGTATTTTCCAGACTCAGTAAGCACGTTGTACCCCCGTTAGAAAACATATCCCTGTGGAATAATCTAGCATGATGTCAAGATGCAATCTATCAAAAATGCATTACATTCTCGATGTTCAAGTATCTTCATAATTGTTTTGTCACGTCATTCCTAGAGAACGTTGTCAATGTAGACGTGTTTTATATTTAGCCAGTGTGCTCAGATCTCTTTCGATATTAAATGCCTTTCAAGGCTTTCTTTTCTGCTTTCCTTGATGCCTTGATTAGCTCTCGAAATACTGACATCAACTATTGAAAATTATTTCAAGAAGATGTTTCTATTTTAGCTGCTTTTTCAGAAGTTTACACATATGTTATTGAGCCCTTATAGCAAGAATTTAGAAGTAATGAGCTGCACAGGTTTTTGTACTGTAACCACTCATTTTTGAAGAGCTGAATGCATTTATAAGCATATAGTATGTCGCAAAGACTACTTTTCGAATAGCTCTGAATAGCAACTTGTAACCTTTGCTTATGCCTCAGCCATTTTATGTGCCCATTCTTTATATGGATAAAATATCCTGGTAAGATAGAAACTGGAATATGATCCATATTTTGCTACACCATGCATTTTTTTAAAAAAACGACGACGTACTGGCGGTTCTGGGTTTTACTGAGAAAAATCACAACTCGAATTTCTGTCTTTGAACAGCTTATGCCAGCCTAGAATGAATAATAAATGACAGGCTTATTCGAAAGCCTATACTGTAACAAACCCAAAGGAAGGTAATCAATGAACAAATAGGATAATATCACCGTACCTCGTAAAGAATAACAAGATTAGGGGATTTCTCCATGGTTGGGATTAAAAATGACCTGAAATGTATTGGTCATGTGCTCATCAATTCTTGATCCCCGCTAATTCTCTCATCTCCTACTTAAGGCGTGGAATTATATCCATAATAGAAACGGTCCTAATCCATAGAAACTATTACGTTAAAAAGCTTCTGGATAGAATCAAACGAATAGAAACAAGGCGAAACAGTGAGAATGTTTTGATGAGAATTTGAGGTCCATGCACCTGATTTGTAAGTACTCTGCTGGGAAGAGAGAATAGGATTAAGAAGAAAAGGTCTGGAATACGTTGACGTGTAGAATTTAACAAACAAACAAGATGCGAGAGATTGTCCCTCTACTTTTGTTTAATGTATCTGCAAAATTTATAGCTAGATACTTATAAGCCACGTTTCAGCTAAAATTTATTAACTATAAGAAAAGGAACTAAGTAATCTTTCTATTTTCCTCGTCAAATCCTGTGTAAATCAATACAGTGTTTTATCTGACTTGGGGTTTTTAAAAACTTCATTTCAAAGAAAGAAATTGTCAATTATGCGTAAGAACTTTTCTTACGACACATTTCATGTATAGACGTCGGATAATGGCTAACGTTAAGCAGAAATTTATATCCAGATGTGGATCGAATGTCTTGTGAGAGGAAGAATGTCGCCTTTGATTGGTTCCTTGTTTTTGACCAATCCGCGACCGTTATCTAGTTGAAAGTCCAAAATTGAAACGAACTTTTTCTGTCTACACAAGTCGAGATCTTTTGTTTTTATTGACAGATCTTTCTATTAGCCTAGGCCTGATTTTAGACAGAAATTTGGAGCTTGTTCAGTACAGAGATTCTCATTTGCGAACTTTATTTGCCACATAATATGCCAAGGCTCTATAGACATTATTCTTTTTCCCACAATGCAACCTTCTTTCGAATTATTAATCTAAGACTTTGTCACTACATTAAAACCCAGGAATTTTTGGTATATTTTTATTTCAGTTTCTCTTTGATCAAAAATAGATACCCAGTAACAGAAAACTTGAAAAAATAGAAAACTTTTTTTATTATCTGATGAGTTATTGATTGTCTAGTTAGTGTTTTATTCATCCAGTTAATTATGTTTACAAAAGCTGATTCTTCTTTTGCCATGAAATTGCTTGCCATTTTATTGCTTTCTACATGTACCCCTGAAAACAAAGTGCTTGATCTTACTGCAATGTTAAGTATTGGATGCATTTTGAATTTTTTGTGTAGATATTGTGAACTTATGTGTGATGATTTTTGCTTTCTTTGGGATTTTTCACATGGACTATTTAGTAATTGTAAACAAAATAAGCATGGGACAAAGGCAGATTCTTGTTAGTACCTGATATGTTGTCAAACCTGCCATGTGCGTGCTGTTCTGATATATCTATCACTATTAGCCTTGGTAAATTTTCAGTTCCTCCATTTCCTAACGCATTTTTAATCAAACTTTACCTATTATTTATTGTATTTTTTTTCTAGGTGGCTGGGACGGTACAAACCATTTAAATAGCGGTGAAGTATTTGACACGGAGACTGAAACGTGGAGTCAAATAGCGCCAGCTAATTGTGCTAGGTGGGATGCAGGAATAGCTGTCGATGGTGATAAAATATTTATTGTTGGCGGTTGTGATAGAAATGCTGTTTGTACACTTGAAACTGAATGTTACGACTCTGTTAAAGACACATGGACTCGAGTTGCCAGCCTGCCGGTTGCGACTCACGGCTTGAAGTGTTGTACCGTTCAACTCCCGAGCAAATTTGTTTAGATTTTAAAGCTATCTTATACTCACGTTCTCACACCCTCACACTCAAGATTCCGCCACAGTTATTCACCGACAGAGTTGCTGTCGTCCTCTAAGAGGCCCCCTTTCTCAATACAACCTCGTTTAGAGCTGTTGTGCGAGATTTGTGTATTCAAACTTTAGTATTAGTAAAATAAGTTCCAGGTGAATATGCTTTTAATCTTGTATTAACAGTATCTTCAGTTTTGTTTCTGTAAGAATTAGGTACCAGGGTAAAACTTTAAATTCAGCAAAAGCAGTCGTAACACAGAATAGGAATTAGGCAGAAGAGAAAATCCTGCCCATCAGGTGAAACTTGGAGATTCTAGCGCATGCGTTAACTTATACGAGGCTTAGCATGTATATGTCATGAATTTTTTGAAAAAAGGAAAGTAGACAACTTTATCGAGATGAAATGACCCTTATTTTATATCCTGACATTTATATCATAATTTGTTTACTATCTGATAAATGAACGATGATTTGTCATTGCTTAGTTCCTCTAATGAAATCGAGGTTAAAGGGAAATTAAGAAATACTATAGGTGATTCAGGCTTCAAAAATAATAAAGGAACCGATTAGAGTTACCCTTCTGCCTATTTCCTATTCTGTGGTCGTATGTGCAAGATATCATGTTCATAGAACTGCATTTAGTTAGGTTAACATGAAAGAGAGCTTAGCAAAGACAGCTTAAGTGCGAGAGGTAAGAACAGAGGTAAGAGCTTTGCTCGAATTCTCCAAGTTGTTGCTAAGTGTCTGTACTTAGCATTTTAATACGCTATACACCCCCATTTCTGTTTTCAAATGGCTTATGCTATGCCCAATTGTTGCTGTTTTGATAGGCATATCTTTTGGCTGCAAAGACGGGGATGCTCATTCTACAGAGACTTTCATTCGTTTGTCACCCCATCAAGTATTCACAATGCATCAACAATCTTTATTGGAAAATGATTTTGATGACTTCACTTTGAACAGAATGATAGCGACTAAGTTAAGTGGAAAACACCACGCTAGGAGTGAAGATGCGTGAAGATTGATGATTAGGACCCCTTGTTACACTTTTAGGCGGGTTTTCTCTTGTGTAAATACAGAGCTTTAGAAAAAATGTGAAGCAGATCGGCTATTTATCTTATTTGACTGCACGAAAGATTTCAGGCTATCTAACCATTGTAGAATTTAGTGACAGAGCAATCTAACAACTGTACAAAATAGAATAACTTTTGATAATATCCCGTTTTAATAAGAGACAGCCTTATCAAATTTTAAACAAGATAAAGAGAGACAGAAATGTATATTGTCTCGTTTATTACTAAATTTTAACAGATTATTCCAGTATAATGCATAGATTGACGAAAAGTAGAAACAGTTCCTTGCGTTAAGGTTTTGTTTATCACTTAGCGAGTTTTTCTTTTATTGTTACGTGCTTTTAATAGTAGTTTCGTCCAAATAAACATCTGAAATATTGTTAAAAAGATGATCCATAATTTGTTTTGCAGTTTTATCTTATTTGTCGTGTAATTATTTGGTAGTGCTCACGAAAGCATTTTATCTAGTAACTGTAGAAGTGAGCAGACAAATTTGTTAATAGCGAAACTTTCTAGAGTTGTATACAAACATAGAATAAGCGATACTAGATACTGTACATGCTATTGTCCAATAAATACCCAAGCGAAACCATGTTTCTGTTTTTTGGGTTTCAATGATTTTCCTGTTTAATTTGGCATACACACGACTTTTGAAAAAGTGCATTCGGCAAAACGACGAACAGAAGAGAAGTTCAGGATATAAAAGATTGGGACAGATTAAGTCAGGTCTCAACAATGTAGATACGCTACACATTCGGGATGGGGGCGGGGAGGGGGGAGGGTCGGTAAGCAGTGGCGGAGTAGCTACGTTTTCCCTGGGGTGGCCAATTCGATTTTTGCGTGTTTCTAGAAGTTATATAAAAGCACGTGTTTCTAGAAGGGAAATCAATTTTTGCAACTTGAATTCAAATTTTCATGAATAAGTTTTGATTAGAAATGCGAGTATGAATGGAAAGTTATGTAATCCTAACATTTGACCTTCTCGATCGTGGTTTGGTAAAATATCAAGCTATTTTGAATTTGCTTATTTTCGAGAGTCAGCCTATTTTCGAGGAAATACGGTAGGCAAAACATAAAATTCTAATCAAAAGACATTCTATTCAATTACACTGATGTTTCATATAGGCTGGCGGCTCCTTGAACACGTTTATTATATCTATAATAAACGGCTCAAGTTTGTCATTCTTTAGTAGTTATTAAATAGTAGTTTCTTTCAATAACATGACAGTTTCAAGCATTGAATCGTACCATTGAATTGGACAAAAGCGGCGGGGAACGAAATTGAATCTGGAGTTGGGCTAAGAATCAAGTTTAGTGAAATAAGAAGACCCACCATGGTTGGGTCCAAAAATGTTTGAAATCAACCCTTCTAGAATGGCTAAAAATATCTCCCAGACTAAAATTTAACAAATTACTACACCGCTCAGAATAGACAGTTCGACGATGCTCAGAAAAACATTGATTTTTTATTTATAGAAAAAATTTGGGAGGGGAGGATTCATGCCTTGGGGAAAGAAGGAAAGGTTGACCTTTGGTTCAGAGTGCACATCGATCGATGTATCCTGGGTTCCAGAGCGTCAAATGTAGCAAGTGGGGCGTCGACAGAGCGTCAAGTGTAGCATAGCAAGTGGGGCGTTGAGTCGACGCCCCATTTGCTACACTTGACGCTCTGGAACCCAGGGTAATATCGATGTTAATAACAAGAAGCTGCTGTATTGATTGCCAGGGTGCATTCCATGTACTTAGGCCCGAAGATCTTCGGCGTACACTTTTGGCATACGTAAAATCTTCGTTAGTTGGCGTGCTAAACATGAAGCTACGTACACAGTAAACACGAAAACATATGACACAAATGTTGATTGAGTCATGGCAAAGCAACGTGCTTCGATTGTAGATAGAATCGTACGTTTTATTAGATTGTTCACAGCAAGTTACAGCGAAGTGTTCTACCCATGTACGATCAAATATTACAAGCAAACAATTTTGGCGCCCCCTTATCACCATTTGCGCCCATATTCAGGGGGCATGCCCCTCTTGCCCCTGTCACCACGCCACTGTCGGTAAGTCTGCAGAATAAATTCTGAAGAATAAGATCCTAAACAGTTACTAAGCTGTTTTTCTAAAACTTCATCTTAAAAATTCAGCACAGTCAATTCCCGATGCTTCTAGGGACGGATTTAGGGGGGGGGGGGGTTTAGGGTGTCGACTTTTAAATTAAATTAAGAAGCTTTAAAATCGTGATAAAACTGAGAACAACGAAAAAAGAGGGTCACTATTTTGCTTCGTAGGGCCCAAAGGGAGTTTGTAGGGGGAAATATCAAAATGAAGACACATAGCAACAGCGTTTCCCAAACTCTTTTTCTTTGCAAAACCATGCAAAATAGTGACCCTCTGTTGGAGGCCCTGCTTTTAAGGGTCACTTTTGACAAATCAACTTTTCGACATTGGGAAGAGCCACTCTGCATCGATGATAAAAAATGAATTAATCATCTGCAGCTTTTGGAAACTATCAAAGCCATAAAATATTTGGATATTTCCATTTTTATGAACCGAATACAGCAGTTTCTGAAACTGTTTTAAAATACTGTATCATCAACCAGATTTTGTTCTATTTTTATCTATTCTCTTGGTACCCTGTATTTCTGAAAATTCCCGGATAAAAGGAAAGGGCGCCAAATCATCTGTCACGCCATTTTGATTTTGAACGCCATGGCACTAAAACCTAGAAATATGGAGAAAATGTTGAAATTTCAAATTTTGTGTAAAAGAATTGTTAGAATTTGAATTATTGGTGATGAATGCATGGAAATTATTGGATTCTTGCAGTATTTCTGTTTATAATTGTACTACAGTTGATGTGACGACAAAACAACCTGCCTAGGCCCGTTTTTTTTCAAGACAAATGGTATCTTCAACAATGCTCATTGACTGATGAATTGTTTCCTTGATCTAGCATAAGAGGGAATAATTGAATTTTATGCAGATTCGTATGCAATTCTAAATCACTGGAGTACGGCTGATATTTGTGTCGTTTTAATTGAATACAATCAACAGTAAAACCGGCGAATCCTTTTTATGGAACAGGTACCTCTCTCAAAGAAAGAAGAGATAACTGGCATAATTATAAAAACTCAAGCAGGAGGAGAAACCATTTATTTCATTTTCTAAGGAATAACTAATGGCACAGGATATTGAATGAACTGGAATTTCTGGTTTAAGAAAAAGGACATTCAAAATGAACAACAAACCAGAAAACGTGCCTATCGCTACATTATCTGCTCTCACCAGCCTCAGTGATGGTAAGTTTGCTATTATGGGCCTTAATTTGAAAAATACAATCCTTTGTTCAGAGTATGAGTATGAGTTGATGTAATACTTCATGAAGGTTTATGTTTGTGATTTTATGTGACACCAACAGCCTCATAAAATCAGTTTACAAGATGCTATTTTTCCTTGCATCTTACTTCTGAGTAAAATTGTTAAGGTTTTTTATATCAAGGAAAAGCTTTTGAAATGGAGCATTTTGCCCATGCATCCCCCAGTGTGCAGACCATGGCAATGGCACAACCAACCACACTGGTAACTTTGTTTCTTAGGCAGACAATTCCATTTTGAAAATTGGAGACTGGACACATTCAGAATTCATACATATTTTTAAACTTTGTAAAATGTAACATCTACCCCGCTTGGCTTATCGTTGAGACAAGAGTGTTGGTGATAATGCTTGTCCACAAAATACGACAAACTTTATACAACAGACACTTTTTGAAACATCAACTTGCCACATTTCAACCTCAATCACCAGCAGCCACTTCCATATATAGACACATTTCACTTGCACATCTTTCTGCCCTGTTTACTGCATTAGATCACAAAATGCGACCTTCACTACATTGGGGAGACGTCCAGGCCTCTCCATGAAAAAAACAACGCAAGCTATAAAAAGCCTTTGCCAGTTTGGCTGTGTTGGCTATTTAGCCCTTGCAGAACTGCTGTTCATATTTTTATATTTGAGTATTTACAAAGGCAAAGATACATTACCTTGCCAATTCTTTAAACACTATTTGCCTTAAGAAGACATTGTTGTGTCTATTACTAGACCTTTAAATTTTGTATTACCACTTCTTAAAACAAGACAAGAAAGGAACATAAATTTTTGGAATATAGCAAAGTTTTGTTAGTTTTTGCTGCTATATTTTATTCCTTTCGTGTGAACACATTTCCTTTTCCATTGGAAGTTTTAGCAAATAATACAATAGTTTGTTAACATGGGTTAAACACATAGTTGGTAAGACCTCTTTCTCTTTATTTGCTAACACCCTGATAATTAGCAGTAAGTAGTACAAACATTGGGAAGCTAAACTACGTGTGCCTGGAGACATCCTGTCAGTTTAATGCCCATTTTGGTAAACATCTCTGCAATTTAGAAAAGAAAGTACATCTTCATGAATCCAGACAATATATTCTGAATACCACAGTCTCCATTCTTTTAATCAAAGATAACCATACACCAGCTAACATGAAAATCAATGGACTTTGCTATATACCTAATAGTATCTTTCCTAATCCAGCTATTATTATTTTATATATTATCTCATCAATACACTTTCTACCCCATCACGTATTTCCCCCTTGTCTTGCATTCTATGTCATATTCCCACCACATTCCATATCTATCAGTTCTACTCTTCTATTCTCTTTTAACCATTACTACTCCTATTCTTTTTACCTGGTAAAGTGTTATGCTCCAAACACCATACTTACCTTTTATTCATGTTTATACCAAGTTATTATTTAATTGTATTAATAATTGCAAATGTGCTTTGAATTTTGAAAAATTTTCAAACAATCATTATAGTGTCTTGTCGTTTTAATTTGGTGACAGCAAGGGTGAATCATGTTTCAGTCAATTAGCTTTCATTCCATGCCAAAACACAAAAGGGCATGTTGAAAATTTAAACCAGCTTCTTAAGAAAACCTTGAAAATTTTTTCCTGCCTCTCTGATAATCCTGACTCTCCAGTAATCCCACATTAATAAACCTCACAGCAGGAACACAAAAGAGAGAACAGTATTCACCAACAAAACCTATTACACAAAGGGGTTATATATACATTGTTGTTGGTGCTTGAAGAAACATTGATCATGAAGAATGAAGTCTCTTCAACTTGCCAGATTTGCTGATTTTTGGCATGTTGACCATAAGAAGTTACTCAAGGTTGGCACAGAGAAGCCAATCATGATTTTAACCACAGTTTATGTCAACATTGCTGAATAGCAACCTAGATTAAAGGGGTTTTACTTAGGAATCACCTTTTTAATGCATCATGTGTCATGTTTTACAGTATTAGTAAGCATTCAAGATTTATAGGGATCTAACCATGTATTTAGAAAATAGTGTCAATACCAAAATATTGCCCTTTGCTAAGTTTTATATTCTTTGCACCATGTTGAGAAATTAGAAATTTAAGCTGATATGGCCAAGATTTATAAGCAAATTTTGTACCATATGCCAACATTTCTGATCTTCTCAACCAATCCAAGTCAGTTTGAATATATGAATTATGTATATAGATGTGTTGTCCTTCTAGACTGAGAATCTTTTGTGTCTTTGTTTGCAATCATTAACATGTATTGTATTCTTTCAGTTATTGGCATTCTACCCCTACCAAATGGACTTCCAGGTGAAGATCGACATTCAAACAGTCTCATTTCAACACAGGCAATATTGCATGATGCAAGACAGATACTAAATGGTGAACAAATTGACCATTCACTCACACAACGATTGCAAGCATATTTGAGTAAAATAAACACAAGCTATCTGTAAGTTTCATTCTATATGAAGAAAAACCATTCTTATAACATATACACTATTGATCTTTTCTTTGTTTTTGAATTCATCAATTTACTGAATATTGTCAGGCCTTGCCCGGAAAGGCGCTCGATTGAGGGCGCGCGCCTAGAGCGCACCCAAAAAGAGCCCTGGAGAGCGATTTATAGAGCCCCTCAAGACGTAAAAACAATATTAACGCGGAGCAAAATAAATTTTTGGAATTTGTTAAATCAACCTGATTAAGCATAAACAATCTTCCCAACAGACCGCAATATTATGATTTGCGTAAGATTACCCCTTGAGAAAAAATTCAGCAAATTTGACGTTGGGTTTTCGATATCATTTTTAATCTGAAAACCCTCTAATAACCATCAAGGATACAGGCCATCAAGCCTAAGCATATTCTCCGGCAGATTTATTTGATTTTCGAGCAAGCGTTAATCTTCTATTGAAGTATATATTATTTTCTGTTTTTTTAATAACTTAAAATCGCCTGTGCAAAGCAGCGATCACGTTTCCGTCCAAATTGTCGCATTGCTTTTCATTTTTAATTTGCTTTTGCGAGTAGTAGATGTTCTAGCGTTTCTTATAGAATGGATAACATGAAAAAAGGAAACAAAGTTAAATGTTCGATTTAAAGCCATGCGTTTTGATGAAGCAATATGTGAAGCTAAACATAACAGTAGTGATACTGACACTGATAAAAGCTCTTCGAATGATGGCAACTTACATATCTAGAAAAATCTGAACAATTTTGCGACTTTGTTTTATTATATTTCTATATTTATATTAACATAGTGTTTGTTGCATGTTTTATTATTTCATATTATGGTGCTTTGTGGTATCACCGTTGAATTTCATATTTAACATTCTTCCAAAGCTTTCGATTTGAAGCTCTCGATCTCCTAAAGCTCTCGAAGGATGCTCTCAAGGACATTTACTTAGAGGTGCGAAATAGAGCGCCTAGAGTTTCTAAGGGGCACTTTTTATGGAGCACCTTCATTTTACTTAGAGCAAGGCCTGTATTGTGGTAGCAGTTTGCTATTGTCTTGTTTTATGTCAAAGGTGAATTAATATGTAATGGAATCACAATTCCATATTCCTGATTAAGGCTTTGCAGCCTTGCAACTTAGTCCTCTGAAATCATTCTAGTGTCCACTTACATTCTAACAACTAATGAGAAAACCTTTTTTGAGTTGCATATATAATTTAAATGGAAATCACTGTTTCTCGGTCTGTCATAAAGTGAACAGTGCCGTATAGGCAGAGCTGTACACACTGCTAATTCAAATGGTATGAAATAAGCTTTCATTTATTTTATCAGGGCTTTTTTGTTCATAGAACTGAAAAGAACATTCCTCTTCTTGCACCTAACTCGGTCATATTCTGTTTCATTTGTTTTATTCAGAGACTTCAAGAACTTGTCACAGCACAAGGTAGCAGATTTGAATAGAGACCAAGTTCCTGTGTTACTACAGCAAATGCTTGTTACCACTCCGCATATTTTTACCCCTAATTATGAGCAGTATGGTATGGAAATTCATCTTTTGATTTTCAGCATTTAGATAGTAATAGTGTGATGATGTAGAGCAATTATTGTACATATCTAATAGCATACCTGTTTCACAAAACAATTCCCTAGCGTCTTTTTCACCCATCATGATGTTTGCAGCATAACAAGCCAGGATCAAATTAAATATATCAAAAACAAACAACATAACATGGGAGTGTCTAGACATCTGTCAATTTTTATTGATTTTTAATGAATTTCTAAAGTAGAGTAGATATTTAATTCTGCAAAAAACAGAATGCCTTCATATTTTTGTTCAAAGAATTTAAATAAGTTAAGCAATTTTTGTTTTCAGCATCTCCTTCAAAAATGGTTAATATTGACCTCACTACACCAAGGCATTCACTTCTGAGACCACATGGACCTCAAGTTATCTTAAGCCCAAGCAGAAGTGGTCACCACATTCCCGTTGCCCATGTAAGTCCACTAAGGCAAGATGTGCCGAGCCCTAGACAAGGTCTGCAAAAAGGAAATCCAGTTAGAAGTTCTTCTTTATTACATGAATGTAATGATCCCCAAAGATCAAGAAAAGAAACAGGAAATCAGCACAATGAGCTGGGTAAGCTTATGCATGCTTAAACTTCTCTTTCTTTTTTGAAGTATGTCCAGAAATTTTTTATGTGGAAAAATCTCACCAATGTCTGTAGAGATTTTTAAGAAAAAACAAAGAAAGCCTTAGCTTTGAACCTGCTATGCCATCAAAAAAGTAGCTTTCATTTATTTAAATGACTTGAGAACTGATCATGCATGCATAATGCTTGGCATATTTTTATCAGGCTATTAGTTTTGAAAAGAAACATTCTGGGTGAATAACAGGATGGCTCTAAGTTACTACCACAAGTTTCTGAAATTATGGAGCAAAAGTTAAAACTACTCTATTATTTTGAAAAGATACATTTGCAGTGCAAAATCACTTCTCTTCTTACTTGAAAATTCAAAATCTTAAAAATTTCTTATAATGTTTTAAATTTTTGATGGCTTTTTGCCTATTAATTTTTTGAAATAAATTTGCATGATAATGAATAAATTTGCATTCATTAATGATAAAGAAGTTTCATATATGAAACTTCTTGGGCTTGTTGAATTTCATGCAAAATGATTTTTTGCCAGAAGCCCAGAGAAAGCAAACAGAGCAGACAGCTGCAGCTGGCAATACTGGCTTTTTGTTACAATCTGGCTTGATACAAAAGAATGAAGAAGTCAGGGTTCAAGGTATGCTTCTAGAAATACAATATACCATCTTTGGTTTTGAACCCAGCCAATAATCTAATTTGCAGTCATGTCAAAGAATGGAAAATTTACAATTATTCACATTTATTCAATCAACTTTTAATTTATGGCTTGTTCATTTATCATGATATTAACATTTGGAAATTTTCTTTTTTCCTGCTTTTTAAATGTTACTTCTCTGTAGTCGCATAGATAAACTTTTTCAAGTAACATTTTGTATTTGCGGTATGTCAGTATAAATGTTTTAGAAAAATGATAAATTGGCAGATACCATATGATAATGTACGTTTTAAATAATTTATCTTTAGTAGTTTGATTTGTCTAGCGATGCGCGTTTTCTATTAGTGTGTTAGAAATCAAGTGTAATTAAACTGGATAAACATTTTCAGATGAGCACTCTACAAATTCTACATAATCAGTGATTTTATGAAGTTGCTGATAGCAACTTCTCATAGTTTGTCTAAAACGGTTGATTTTTTAGTTTGTTTAACAATAAATCCTTTTAATCCTTGTAGAAACGATTATTTTTCTGTTTAATGGACTAGTTTTCCTAATCTATCCGTAAAAATCGATTTTTAGAGGTGCAAGCGAGTAGCATTGTAAGAAGGAGAAAATCAAGCGGAAGTAAGGAGCATGTGAGAAGACAGTTATACGACCATGAGGAAAGTCAAATTAGGACAGAATCAGAAAAACCACTGAAAAATTCCCTAGAATCACGGACTGCAGAGGAGATTAACCAGCAGATAGGTAATGAGGGTCTTAAGAATAAAGAAAGTCCAGTTAAAGATGCATCTATCAGTCCGGGAAGTCTCAAGGTCAGCATCAATCGAAGTGATCTTAAGGAAAGTTCCAAAAAGAGCCCGGAGAAGGTAGGTGCAGAGGAGGCGCTACAAAAACGAGAGTATCCGAAGAGAAGAAGAATCGATCGCTTAACATACCTTGAGACAGGCCAAATGATAGTTAGAGATGAACATCAAACTGAAACATTATCTGAACCTCAAGCAAGGGCTGCAAATAGTCTAGCGCAAATCGGTGATGCCAGTGATGAAAAAGGGGGTTGGGCAGAGCAGATGTATGATGATGTTATGCAGTCGGATAGTAATGAAAGAGAAGCACGTCCCATTATACCGAAGCTTGTCTTAAAAAGGGTCAAGCGAAAGCAAGGTTCAAAAGAGTTTGATACTTTGGAGATAGTGTCTCCGACCAAAGCGGAATTAGGGCTTTATTATGGCCAGCAAGAGGAAAGTGTTGAGAGTAAGAGCACTGCGGAGGAAAGCGAAGTGCTCGGCCAGGAAGCAGTTGTATCATCATCCGAATTAAGACATGAAGAAACAAGGGTACAGCAGGAGATAAAGACAGGCGGTTTAGGAGATATACCTGAAATCGTGCAACCCAGTGTTAGTTCTCCTAGTATAAAGCTTGATAGACAAGTGGTTCCAGTATTACAAAGAATAGATGCAAGCATAGATAGGAACATATTTCAAATGATAGAGAAACGAAAAGCAGAGCAAGTTGTGACGGATAATGCTGAAGGAAGATCACTTAGAAGAAAGAGAAGAAGGGTTAGCAGTGAAAGTGAAGAAGGCGAAGAAATGTTCACAGATACCCTGCAAGATTATGGAGGTATGTAAAGATTTTTTTAGTGCAGATTTAGCGTTTGTGTTGGTGGTAATAATGGGGGGTTGAGGCATGGAACTGACCAATGATGCACCAAAGACGATGGAAACGAATCCTGGGCATTATTCTTGGTTGTTTGGAAGATTCTAGTGTACCAGGACGACCGACGTGTGGGACGGGGGGTGTTGAATGGGATTTCAAAGGCGCATTAATGATTTCTCTAATGATTGAACCCAATAGTGTTAGCAGAAACTCTCAGGAATAAATTGATTTCTCAGGTTCCAATGTATAAATGTAAAATGTTCACCCATGTTTAATGTTCAGTGGAATATTAAAGTCATATAGAAGCCACGATCATTTATGGGTTCTTGTGGCCCAGCAAGTGTGTATTCCAAAGAGTTCCTTCTTTTTTGCCTGTGAACTAGGTGACATATCACAGTCTTCAATAGTTCCTAAAACGTTCATATACCCTATCGATTTTTCTGAATTGTCCAATATTTATAGTTGTAGATTGTTATCGGTGTTCGTAGCTATTAACATTCAAGATAACACGTCTTTGCCGTCGTATAATATGCTTATCACCACTCTACCTCAGTGAATTTATATTCACAGCAGTTATTTCTCTGTTTCCATTTCAGGAATATCAAAGAAAAAGAGAACTAATAGAGTGTTGCAGTTAGATCAAGGTATTCTTTTGGTTAAAATTTGACAGAATAACCAGGAAAGTTCTAAGAAAGTATTGATTCGTTATAGGCCAAATTAATGTTTAAGCCTTGTTTATTAATTTATAGATAAATCTTAAATGTGAAACAATATCTTAATTGATAGTATTAGTAGATGTCATAGTTAGTATCATTTGGAAAAACAGCTATTGACTATATACTTGAATTTCTGGGCATTATATCTGAATTGCTAGTTTTGAAAAAAATTGGTCTAAAAAATCATTACTTCGCCCTTATACTTTACTTCGCCCTTATGGTTCTATATATTTGGCGTCCTTTTAGCAAGCTTTTAAATCTTAATCCTGACTTTTTCTCTGTTTATGTAAATTTTTCATTTCTTATCAAACAAATTACATTGGGTTTTACGTTGTTCCACGACGCTGTAATTACCAAGGCTGTTGCTTGAATTCACTTTGTTACCTTATCATCTTTATGCTTAGAAATTGAAATCAGAGCAGACACAAAGCGACTGATTCAACTGCTCCAAGAAATACTTAGCACCGAAGACGAGCTAGAATCAGATGGGGCATTAGATTTTGGCGATGATGGAGATATCCCTTTAGATGCGCTGCTTCCAAGGCCCCTTATAACTGATTTCTACATTGAATTGTCAAAAATAAAGTCTACAAGCTTGACGTCAGAGGTATTGTTGCATGACTTGTGCCTTCTCATTTCACATTGCTTAATGCCTTTCGCGGCCTTTTTTATATTATACTGTTGTGGGTTATTGCTGGGCATCATATTTCTTAAACATCCTGTATGTATGGAAATAAGAAAGGACATGTCTCTTAGAAGGGAATTATGGGTTTGACTTTGAAAAAAGCAGCATTTTTTAGATTTTTGCGTATTTCAAAGCCTTTTTAAAATTCGTACCGTCAAAAAACTTTTTGCACATTTGTCTAAAACCAACATAATGTTTAGTTAGCAAGGCCAGTTTTTTCCCTCTAAGCTATGAACTTCCTTGTCAATATTAATTCCCTACCTTTTCAAATATAAGGTAGCTGATTTTATCTCAGCTTTTGCATTATATGTCGCCTTCAATTTGTCTAGTTCAAATCTTCATTATCGTGCAAATGGCTGCTTCTTTTTAAATTGACTTTAGTTGCTGATAACAGTTGTTAAGACTATAGTTGCTGATAACAGTTGATGTTACTCACTCTCCTTCATAGCTTCCACATGATCAGTTGGTACGCATCGTTTCCATAATGGATCGTCATGTTAGAGCGAGTTTAGAGGTGCTCCTGAACCAGCCTAAGGTAACTAACTTATCCCTACATTCTTTAGCACCTTACGCTTTCACTGACAAGAGAAGCAGCACTATACCTGCTCTTGCTTTCATTAGACTCTTTCAAACTTTGAAATAGGCAAGATCAAGTAAAGAACCAATAAACCAACGCTGACTGTTTATTAATTTTATTAAAACATATCTTATGTATTATACATTATACATTGTATACATTATTCATAAGTTATAAGATAGAAGAACCAGGAAGCAGAAACGAAGGTCGTCATTCAATAATTTTTATTTTATTTTTATTGGTCATCGTGTCCTTTTTTAAACTGAATGCTGAAAGCAGGATGGGCTACTTTTTTATCAAACCAAAACCCATGCAACATATCAAGCCAGGACAGTGTAATCTTGTTCATTGTCTAATCTGTTTGCAGTTGGAACTTACACATTCTGCAATTGTTTTCAAGATATCTTAAAGATTATGATCTGAGCTTAAAAGAGAAAGTCTTTTCAAAACACAAAAAAGACCTCGAGAATATTGGTTAACACTGCTTATTCCTGCCTAAAGGCCGGCCTTTTTAATGCTTTGAAAGTTTTTCAATTCAATTCAATTTCATTGACAAATATAACTAAATACATTTTCAATACAGAAATAAAAATAATTAGCATAACATTACAATAGTTATCCACACATACAATCTAATAAATTAACTTAAATATAGAACATTACAAGACATTATATATTTAAATATATTTGTCTAAGGAGGAGCTCTCTGAAAGGTAGAGATATCTGCATTAGCTGAGTTGACGCGTATTCTTTTGCCGTCAGCATTTTACAAGTAAACTTTATTAAGATTATCTTTGTTGAAACAGGACGCGGAAGACGAAGAGGAAAAGCTGTGGAAAGGTTTGAAAATGGACCGTGTACTAAGAGCCTGTGAGGCATCGCTTATTATTCTGCATATAACAACAGCACCTGAAATGCCAAAGCAAGTGTATATGGAAGAAGTCATCGAGCATGTGGTGTCGTTTTGTAGATTCCAGTTAGAGAATACTATTTACCCAGAATATGATCCTGTATATCGGGTGGATCCCGATAGTAAATGTGAGTACAAGCTGTGTTATTACCAGTTAGACTTTTTTTGCCCCTTTTCGTTGCACCTGTCTTCTAACAATAGGACAATAAGACTATGGAGGACTTGTCTTCATCCTTGTCACTCATGATTTTCCTAGGATAAGAATGTGTGTACTGGAAAGCAAAAGAAAATTTTTTGCAGAGAAAGAATAGGAAATTTAGAGGCAATGATCCAGAGTAAAAGGCTATCAGTAAACTGTACCTGATACATTTGCGTTTCATTTTTTCAATGAGTAAGGATTTCATTGATTGTACTCATTTTGATGTGCCTTGTTCGTTTTATTCTCATTCAGTCGATTCGTCTATAATGCTGCCGAAATCTCGTCGTGCCAGAGGGGTGAACAGTACCAAACTAAAGCCGATTCTACAGCTTTATAATAAACTTTGTGAACTGGTTTCACTGATTGCCGACTTGGTTGCTTTGGAAAGCCTCAATGACATCATTATACTCAAGGTACTTTTTGCAAATGATCTGATATTTCAGTAATGTGTTTCCAAGTAATTTGTTCAGTGATCATTGACCATAGTCGTCAAGATTCTCTATTGTAATCGTAATGAATTGTATTCTATATTGTAATCGTGTTCTATTCTATATTGTGATTGTATTTTTCAATGTGATTATGCACTTTACCAGTGGTTTTGTAAGTCTTAACTTATATGCAGCCGTTTGATAGAATCTTACCGTTCTGTTCTTTTTGTTTTGAAATTTTGTTTAGTATAGGGAAGTAGTTGTGTTGGAAGCAGTTAACTTCTTTCATAAAACTTCAAGTCGTCTTTCGTTGAACTGGACATGTTTATGATATTTTGGCTAGATTTTCAAATGATTTTATTTTCAGCTCAGTTCTTTTGCACCATCTTGAGTTATGGTCTGTTTTGCCGCATTGATTGATGGAATCTCCTTCATATTGTTTGCTTATTTTGAATTCGTAGATATCATGCATCGGAACAGCTCCATTTTTCGTTGAAAATATCAGCATTTTGCAGCTGGAAGCGCTGAAGCTTGTTCGAACGGTATGCACTGCTTTCGGTCATGTCAAAGAAGTTTATATTTGCCCTTATAATTGTATATTACGCATGACTGGCATCTTCATCGTTTACAGCTGATTTATAGGGAGTCATGCCTGAATTGATTTTCAGTTTTGACACCACACTGTACATTTTGGTTCATTCATGAAAGAACTATCAATGAATTTATTCTATTTATTTGTCAAAAATATAGATGTCCCTTATCACAGGTTTGACGTCATTGCTCGCTTGACTGCTTTTTATTTCACGTTCGAATGATTTCCTTGTAGATTTTCAGAACGTATGTGAAACACAGGGACCTTATATTAGATGACATTCTGGCATCCCTTGCCAGGCTACCAAGCAGTAAAAGGAATCTCCGAAATTACAGGTACGTTTTTGTGCAAAGTGATTGATTAGGGTGAAATGATTAGAGCATATACCCTAGAAGCTGTTTGTGTGAAAGATAGCAATATTATGGGTATTCCATGGAGCAAGTTTTCTATGCTTCGAAGAACACTTTTAATTGGCGTACGTATAGTCATACGTAAAGGATAGTATAGCCATAATCTTCTATAGTATATGAAGTGAAATAGTATTCAGCATACTGAGTAGAAGCTGTTTGTACTTCAAAGGTTATGGTCTGTTTTACTTTCACGCCAATTTACAAGTTCTTCGAGAATAGATAATGTTGAATTTTCTCATTTCTGGCTGTTGGACTAGCACTTTCCAATATTTATATGATTAAGCAAAAGTATTCCGGAAGTGAAATAAAACCTTTATATTATTAAAGGTTGTTTAAGAATAAGAATAACAAATATTGCAAAGTGTCAATTAGTATTATTTCAAAAGATTATTTTTATAATTTCTCTAGACTAATAAGTTGTTTTCACATATTATTTCAAATTCTTATATTTTTATTATTTAGCAATGTGCATTGTTATAAAGTCTAGCTTTCTGCTTTTTGTTTTTCCAAACTAGAAAACATCGGTTTGTATGCAATGTGCTACAATTCCCAAAAGCTTGAATTTCAAAAACTCTTTTAGTTCTTGGTTTTTCTTATTGCTTTGAGAAGGAGCTACAATAAAGAATATTATAAAAGAACAAAACGGCAGCATGTCTTAAAATCGTTTCTATGGTTAAAGCCAGCGGCCATACTGCAATTTACAAACACTGTTTGTAAGAGAATTTCCCACAACAACTGAGCCTAAAAGTCAAGTCAAGGTGCTCTGCTCTTTTGTGCACGTTTTTAAAGCAGTCTTTATGATTCATTCTCGTTGACTCTTTGTAGGTTATACGAGGACAGCTCGATTCAGATGGTTACAGCGCTGGTGCTCCAGCTTGTTCAATGCACCGTTAGCATACCGGATTCATTTGACAAGAAAGAAGATACACTGGTTTGTATACATTTCTATTTGAATTTTCAATTGGTGTTTGACTCTATTGTTCCTAATGTTTACTCTTGTGAAGCCCTGTATAAGTTCACTTATAATTTTATTGCAATATTTTGGCTCTTCACATTAGTTTTATTTTCATTATAGTAGATTGATTCTCTTTGTTTTGCGGCGTTTTCACTATCATTTATTCCACGGTCAAAAGAGCCTTGGATTTTCTTTAGTAAAGCAAAAATGGTATAGACATTTTTAGAAATTGAGAGCTGTTTTCAATTCATCTGTCACTCTTACAGATATTTAAGTCTAAATTGTTGGCGTTGCATTGGCAAGTTCGTTTTACCAAGTAGATTTTTCAGACAATAACTAAAGTTTCGTTACCCGAAAATTGTTATCTTGCCCATCGCTCAATTGTTGTCTTTTGCCTCGTGTATTTGTGATCATTCCCCTCGTTCAATTGTCCTACAGTGTTGTATTTCATTTGCTACCTAGCATCTAAAGGTAGGTTTTAGGGCACTGAGAAGCTGAGCTTATTTAGCAGTGTCCTTTTCCTTTCTCACGTGATTTCTACGCCTGGAGTTACAGAGAGCTGGAGACTCTCCTCACTCTAGGCGAAGGTTTGGTCATGTAAGGGACTAGAACCACAGATCCTTTAATCTGCAGTCATCGCCTCTAGCCATTGAGCTATTCTCTTACCTAAGCCCTAACCACTGAGCTATTCACGTCTACAGTGCTTTAGATGAAAAAACACGCTTCAATATTTTGTTTATATTTTAGGTTGACATAGATGTCATGATTGTCACGTCGTATGAGGATTCTCTTCGAGCTGCTCAAAATTTTCTGGCGACGTTTCTCAAAAAGTAAGTACTTTCTTAGTGAGATAGTAGGCGAAAATTCGTCTACCTTTTCGTTTCCTGGCTGGCTGTTTCCAAGCTTTTTTCTTTCAACCCAATTCACTAGCTGTCACATTGGCAAAGAGAGAATCCTGAGTAATAGTGCTAAGCTTTAATGAATACCTCATTTTCATTTTGGTTAATTTTAACTGTTGCTCTTCGCTTAACAATGGTCGGTCTAGGCACAAACATATTTTGCTCAGCCTTGACTGCCAGACTGACATTTTATTGGTCCTTTTAAAGAGATGATAATGGGTTTTACTGTCAGCTTTGGCACTCTTAAATCGAACTCATGTATCTTCTACAGATGCAGCTCGGCAAGCAAGGATGAGAACGACTTTCGGCCGTTATTTGAGAATTTCCTTCAAGATATTTTGACAACCTTAAACAAACCAGAATGGCCTGCCGCTGAAGTTTTGCTGACCTTGCTCGGAAAGCTACTGGTAATTTTACTATTGTACTTGATTTTTGAATCGGTTTTTTGCCTCTTTTCAGCAGCATTTGATGCATCTAAACCAACAATTGTTTTTATATATCACCTAGCAATGCATCTTCTTTTATTAAACCTCTCTCGTTGTGTAAAATCACTTTGGACTAAGATGATAAGTTGCTCTGGCTCGTTGTCATTACTTAAGCCGGTTTGCTGTAATGGAAGGGATTCCAGCAAAGTAAAACAAAAAATTTCATTCACAGTTTGTAAAGCAAAAGCAACAGTCTGTATTCTAAATCCACACGCGACAATGTTCGAGATTACGAAGCTGAAAGGTCACTTTCTATATAACAATAAGATGATTGGAAAATTTTAGTTTTATCTATTACCATCCTCATGCTGTGTTGTTAGCTGTGTTGCTTGTTACTTCTAGATTGTCACGTTTAACAACAAATCTAACGAAATGAGTTTACGAGTTGCGGCAATGGACTACCTTGCGTTGATAGCATCGCATTTAAGGCGAGATGCAGTCGAAAGTAGAGGAAGGGACAAAGAAGATTTGAAGGAAATCATTGGTCAGGTTGGTGGGATCCGATCATCCTCGTAATCAGTCATTGCCACCATTATTGTTATCATCAACATTTGCCATCAACATAATTAATTGTCATGATCATTGCGATCATTGTATTGTCGTGTTGATGATATGATCTGTTCTCTAAGATATGATTACGACATCAGCATACTCAAGCCTTTTTGCTATACCTGTTATGGCCTACTTGTAGTTTTCGCAGGGACTAACGGTTAGAGTAATCTTTCTCCTTACTTATGCTTACAGGGCTAGAAACATAGACGATAATTATCTCATCAAAATTCTGCCAAATAATCTTGATTATTGTCTGTCATAGCTACACAGAGATGCTGACATTGAAGACAAAGATGATATAAGTGTCGATGTAAGTTTGATATTTATGTAAGAACTATTTTCATTATTAATTTTTTCACAACTCCTTCCGTCTGCGTATATATCTATTTAAAAGAGTTGAGCATTAGTTTCATGATGATCAAATTCAGGATGAAACTTGGAGTTGCAATTTATCACTGTCTTGTTCTATACCATTAAGAGGACAATTTTTCCAAGGATGTATGTAAAAGTTTACCTATACCATTCTGTAATATCTTGTCACCAGATGATCGATGTTCACATAAACACTTTGCGAAAGGCTCTTCTCAGTTATTTGGCTTACTCAGCTGAAAAAGACGTATCTTGCAAGGTAGGCTTTTGCAATTCTTCTTATAGCAGTATCAAGGAAATTTCAGGCTTGTCATGAGATCTCACAGCATATTTGTGATCCTGATGCTTTATTTCAACCCTTTGGACTGACATTTTTTTCAATGGCATTGAAATCGGCTGTCTTCTCAGCGGAATGCTTGTTTTTGTTTCAAAATATTGTTGCCTAATGCTGGAAGCATCTTTGCCTGGCCGAGAATCTTTCTCGTTTCATGCCTTCTACACAGTCCTTTGTAAAGAGCTTAACGTATTAGTTGTCGCTAGTTTAGCTCCAATCAAGACTATTGGTGCTTTGTTTTATAGTTCCTAAAACACCGAATACGACCCTGTTTCTTTGTAGTTCGCAAGAGAGTTCTACTTAGGCCAATGGATCAGGGACGTTCACGTGGAAATGGAGAAGTGCATGAAAGCACCAATGATGTCAATCCCGGGTGCTGCTTCTACAGAAATACCAACCGATGCAGGAGAAACCTCAATTGAAAACCTTCAAGAATTAGATGAAAGAAAGAGATATTATCATGCAATGGCTACAGATAAATCTAGTGACTCCCTAAGGTACCTTTCTCAATTGTTGCAAAATGCATTAATTGTTGACCGTCGAAGTTGCCAATTATTCTTCAAATGGTATTTTTTGTAGGAGACATTTATGCAATTGATAGCTTGATTAAAAAAGGACCCTTTCAGAAAATAGAACCTTCAAGGGTGGAAGTATTGGTCGATGAATATATGATATTGTTCAACTTGATTTCAACTTCGACAAATATATGAGAATTGGCAATCAGTTTTAATTTATTGCATGGTTGAAAGATAGGCTCAGTGTTTACCCTGTTGTACTTTCATAGCTAATGATTTTCATTTATTCGGATTAAGTTTTTATTGTACTTTTTTGCAGATTATCACAGCAAAAAGTTACCTACCAAGAATCATGCATAATTACCAAATACCTTACTTCTTCAAGGTCCTTTTGCCAAAGCTTTGATATTTATCTTCAACAGGCATGTCAAATTTTTTATTCAGTCGTATATTTCATTTTGATGCTGTTTTGCTTGCTTGTTGCGACAGACTGCCACTTTTGTCTTTGCCATATACTGGTATAAAATTGCCATATAATGATACCAGTTTTGCTAACAGTTTTTTGTTGATATAATCCCTGCATTTCATATTTTAATAAGCAATAAATAACATCAAAAAACTCACCAAACCCACTTTTAAATTCGCACCACTCTGTACACTTTTTCAACCTTGAATGCTCGCATTCATTGAGTTTTAATGGACAAATAATGTCTTATGGTTTACCAAACCCTTGCTACATAATCAGTCTTCACTAGCACGAGGTTCTCTATTCTATTGCTCCATAGTATTAATTTGTATTTGAAATAAACAAGAAAAAAATTCTTTTTCTAATCACTTCAATTTCGGATATCTGACAATTCATCAGTCAACTGAATTTTCTTTTGCAGATTTTCAAGATGTTGAACGAGCCTGCAGTCGCCCTGAGGACCAAAGCAGTGAGAGCGCTCACTTCTATTGTCACAGTCGATCCAAACATTCTTGGCAGAGTAAGTCATCATTTTACGGAGTACGCCAACCTTGGACTCTTAGATTAAGACTCTCAAGCATTTTTCATTTCATTAAGAACCCTTTTCGTGATTCATGTATGTATAATCTATTTTTCTGTATAGAAGTCTTTCCTCTGTATCCTAAATTTTATCCAGTTCTTCATATAAGCTTCAAGAACTTATTCCACTATTTTCCATATTTTGTTCAATAGATGGCAGGTCTTCTTTGTCTTGAAATTGAAATTGTCAAATTTATTCTTCTTTTGTATATACTTTGTTATAAGACCTCTTGCCAAATTATCCTAGAAGACTTGCAAATTCTTTCTTGGAAAAATCACAAATGATAAGCTAGTTTCTTTATACCCTGCTAGGTTTTCAGAAAGACAATGATAAGATCTTGTTGTTTCTTTTATAAACAGGAAGATGTGCAGATCAGCGTGCACTGTAGATTTCGTGACCAATCGACTCTTGTGAGAGAAGCAGCTGTAGACTTAATTGGACATTTTGTTTTGAAATGCCCGGATATTACAGATAAATACTATGATATGATTATCGAACGAATACTGGTGAGTAACAAACTGAAAACTGCAAAATTATGAATTTTCTTCAAAAACTTTATTGTATGGTTACAAACCTGATGAAACTACATAAAGAGGCATACCAAGTAAAGTGGTAGTGCAAACAGCCGTTCCCAGAAGTAGTTAAGTGGCTAGACAATCTTAATTTTGTGTGTCGTCTGGAATGCTTTGGATGTGCAATAACATGAGTTCGCTTTTCTTGCTATTCAGGGACACATTTTGTATTGTACACTTCAGTCATTATATGATTTGTCTGACTTCGCCTATTTGCTTGTATCTTAGGATACTGGAATAAGTGTTCGAAAAAGGGTGATTAAAATTCTGAGGGATATTTGCATAGAGCAGCCTGATTTCCCGAAAATTCCAGAAATTTGTATCAAAATGATAAGAAGAGTAAACGATGAGGAGGGTATTAGGGTGAGTTTGGTTTCATTTTATTGTGCTTTGGCATTAGACATTTCCCATTCACAATACCACGAATGTAGACAGAAAAGCTGGAAATGTTGCAGCACCATGGCAATTATACTTTGGTGGCTGGCCGGAATTCTTTCAACATTTTTCTGCCAATTTTCTACCCTTGATCTTGTCATCTTATCATTTCAAATGTTTCTCCTTGAATTTTCTTGTATTTTCTTTTTTCGGCCTTCTGCTGATTTTTATTCGCCTTTACTTAATGTCTGAGAACCATTCACTTTTCTTTCTCGTATTTATGATATAGTTGAATCTTTAATAACATTTTTGTGTTTTATCTCTCCACCGAAACTTCTAAAGGGCATTTAACTTAAAATTAGTTTTGGGATGCGTCTTTTAGAAAAACGGGAAAGTCTAACTTTGGAAAAAGGTAGTATTTATGATTTTACAAATATTTTCAAATATTCTTCTCTTAGGATCTTGTTACAAAAGTTTTTCAGAAGATGTGGTTTACCCCTGTTGCCGGAAGCTCAGAAAACAATGCCGAACTGACTAAAAAGTCAAAAAATATCATGAAAGTGGTGAGTCTATTTTCTATGGTAATTTGCATTCTTTATTTATTATATTTACCTTTGTAGATTAATTTTTATCATCTTTTTTTCCTCTATTTATTTGTTTATGTGTTTGGAAATAAATTTGCCCAGCGATTAAAGCCACATCTACAAAACCTTATCTTTTTTAAGAAGCATACTGTTGAACAATTGGCCAACATTTTTTGTTTTCAGATACATTTATCATTCAGGGTCACCCCAACTAAAATCCATTACTATATATGTTGAACATGTTTCAAAGCCCTGAACCAATGGCGATGATAGATCTTAAAAAATAATGATTTCTCTGCAAAAAGTTCACCAATAATCCTGATATTAGTAGAAATAAAAAAATGTAATTCTTGTTATTTTGACATAGGTTGCTATGTGCAAGGATTGCGGCTACGAATGGTTTGAAAACCTTCTTGATAACGTAAGTAAACTAACTTTTTTCATGAATTGAATGCTTTCCCATATAGAACTATGTAACTTTCATTAGCACTTCTTGCGAATTCTCCGATATTCCTAAACCTTGATTATTATTTTATCATTCCCAGAATATCAAAAATTTTTCTTATTTTATATCTCAACAGTCCATTAATGCTTTACTTTTGTATGCAGCTTTTAGATGGTGACGATGAAAGCGTGAAGAAAACAACCGAGAAGTCATGTCAACAATTGGTCGCCTCTTTTATCCAGCGACTTATAAAAATGGAGCAAGAAAATGGTAAGTATCTTTTCGGAACAACCTTGAGAAAGAAGTTAAAAAGCAGTGGATAGAAAAACTTTCTCTTTCAACGTCTCTAAGCAAAATTGCTAAGGTTTTGGAACCCAAAAGATGTGCTATTTTTCTCAAACATTTTATATAATTTTTTTCACCTTGAGTTGGAAAATTGGCCTGCATTAAGTGCTCGTATCAATCTTTGAAGCAGATCAAATGGATAGGTAATTTCAATCATTTTTTGCTGCAATAGATGTTGAGTGCTTCCTTTTCAGAAGGTTAACCCATTCTTCAAAGGTGATTAAAAGTCAGCTTGATTTGTCTTTTTTACCTGCTATTTCCTAAATTCTATCTCTTTTGGGTTATGTTCCAAGACTTTTGGCAGGCATTGTACCTAAAGACCTGAAAACAATTAAAAATGTGTCTAGTCTAGTCCTATTAACGGTAGCATAACTGCCAATCTTTCTCATTCTCACTTCCTTTGTTTTGTTTTGATGATCCAATGACTCTTGTTAGGATTCCTGCGCAGTTAGATTCTCAGATTCTGGTATTGTAAATTAACTTTTCATGATTAAAACTGTCAATTCAGCAAGTGCATTGCCTCGGTATGCTATACGTGTGTCTGCAAACTTTCTTTTGTTTGTCTTAGGATCAGAGCTTGTTGCCTGCCTTACAACATTGTATCTGCTTTGCAAAATTCGCCCGCAGCTGTTGGTCCAACATGCGACAACTTTGCAGCCATATCTCAGAATCAAATGCAGTGTAAGAATCAACAATACTTTTTCCATTTCTCGGCTTTGAGCTGCGATGAACAAGTTGATTCACTTGTTTATCTTGTTTATCTAGTAAAAATTAGCATGCGCTGTTTAAAATATGAATGCATTTAGAATATCAATCAATTCCAAATTTATGTAGAATCAAGATGACTGGAATCGCAATAAAGTATTTTTGCGATTTTGAGAATATTGTGAATTTTAGATGTACTCCTGCATGTTGTATATATGCCAATTCATTTGTTTAATAATCTTGATTTCTTTGCACAAAGGTTAAAAGCCATCGTTTCTGGCAAAAAAATTACCACAATCCTTGTTACTAGAAGTTGCGTTCGATATTAACTAAGCCGCAATTAGAAAGACTTTAATTTCCTTTGCCGTTATAAATTAGGCAGCTTGAATATCTTTATAACTTTTAGCCGATTAGTTATTGATTAAAAACTGATGAAATAGATTATAGAATTTCTCAATCTTTTTAATTTTTCTGACCTAAATTTCTGAAAAGGGATTTACGTGTATATGCATAAGGTGTCACGATGTAAATTTAGCTACAGTTAAAGTATCGCGAAAACACCTCTCTACCCCAGCCTTCAATGAACGCGTTCTTTGAAAGAAAGCCATTTCAAAGTACATTTAAAATTAAGTATACTAGCGTGTCGCTATTTTTTCATATTTTTGAAATTGTTCATTTAAAATCATACTCTTCTTTCTTTCGTAAAGACTCAAGGCGATGCGCTAATCATCCAGAATGTTGCCAGAATTTTGGAGAACGTAATCCCGTTGGTTGATCATCCGAATCCAAAGTTCCTTGCTGATCTAGAGGAAGACCTGATGAAATTGATCATCAAACAGGGACAAAATGTAAGTAGTGGAGCATAATATTTACTCGTGCCCAGAAACTAACCGTACATGAGGTGTTTGCTGGCTTCAGGATTACCTAGCGACACCGCTCGAAAATTGATGTAAAAGTGGAGTTTAGTGGCACGACGCAAAACTTTTGAGATCAATGTATAAGAGAAAAACGGGTAAGGTATGTAGTGTGACATCACATCCCTCTCCCACTCAAAATTAGGGCTTATGCATTTTAATTTAAGTATGTTTTAATAAAAAGTTGCAAAAATCTATAAACTCGTGTCATTGAATTAATGAATTTTCATAAATTAGAATTTCTGGTTTTTTGGTATTTCAAGTAAGTATTTTATCTTTTACTTTTATTGTTTATCTAGACTTCCCTGTTTATAATTAGTAATTATATAACTTCTTTCCTGAACACAGATCGTTCAAAGTTGCATCAGCTGTTTAGATGCCGTTGTTAACCAAGTCACGCGAAATTACAAATTTGTTTTGGACTGCTTTGAAAAATTCCATGGTAAGTAAACTGTTGTTAATTTCTTGAAGGTTCTTCAAACGTTGTCATCGTGATATTGTAGTTTCAAATTTTAAACACTGAATCCTCGAAGAGCGGCGCTAATAAGAATGACACCGTAGACAATTGTCTAGAGCTTTACGGCTGCAAGTCATTGTTCCCATTATCGTTATCATTTAAAATTTCATTATTGTTTGGGTTATTTGCAGAGACTCGCTTTTTGCAGCGTCTTTTGTGACCTGAACAATTGATTTGTACCATGATACGTATAGACGAGCCTGAAACGTTTTTTTTGAAACGATCCTGTTTGAGGATCGTTGAATATGAAAACCTGGAACGAAATGCGCCCAGGGCAATGAGCCATTCCTCTCCAAGTTAGTGAATCATTTCTGTGAATTCGTTGCAGTGTTTTTAGAGAAATCAAAGAAAGACCTCAGTGACAATAAGCAAAGTGCCAAGTTCGCGGCAACCCGGCCTGCTCTTCTAAGGTCTTTATTTATCGCTGGCCTGCTCTGCAAGCATTTCGATTTTGACAGGCACATGGAAGAAGAAAAGAAGGTGATTTTTAGAACTCTTATATTTCTCATCTTTTTAGCACTTTTTGTTCTTCCATCTCATCTAGTCAAAATTTACCGGCAATATTTTTGTTGCATTACATTTAGGAAATATTCAGAAAATTTTGGCAAGCTAATAGCAATCAAATCTTCTTTCATTCTTCCTTCAAACTTTTTTTACATTGTATTGCTCGACATTTAAATGGTATTTTGACACAATGCTGCTACAAATTTCCAATGTTCAAATTAATATAGAATTTTTTCAGCATTTGACTTATATTCCTTTTTCTAGGGACCTGTGAGTTTGAAGGTTTTGGAAACTTGCTTATTTTTTGCAAAGCATTCTGATCAAGAAGTTAGATTAAAAGCAATTATGGCTGTCGGTAAGAGCGTGTTTTGTTTTTATTTTATGTTATGTTATCTCCCTTTAAAAAAAGCTCTTTCTCATAAGAAGCAGAAATGAAAATATTTATTCTTCATGCTCTAGAGATCTATGTATTCAGATTTATATGGCCATTTATCTATAATGTATTCCAAAAGTTCAATCTGATTTCCACTGTGTAACAATTTTTCGTAAAAAATCAAAGTGAAATTATGGATTATGCAACCGTTTTATGTGTCAAGAGTGGGCTGTATCAGTACGGTTAGCATGCGTGGATTCAGAACCCAGATATTACTCTTGGACAAGTATAGATTTCAAACGTGATCATTGCTTTATCTTTTTCCGCGTTATGTTTTTATTTGCTATGTATATAGGTTTCTCTTAATCGACAATTGAGAAATATTCAAATTGCTTTTTTCAGGTTTTGTGTGTATGACAAAGCCAGAATATCTATTACGGAACGACTGCAAAAGTTTGTACCAACAGATACTGTCAGACCAGTATCAATCAGCGAGAGGAAAGTGTATGTTGTTGAAAAGCTTGCAGAATCATTTGATGGAAGAGGAGGCCAGAATGACTCAATCAGAAGGTAAAAAAAATTGGATGCTACTTTTTGCTATAAATAACTTGATATCCCTTACCTCGACCAACTTCCATTATTGCAATACGTCGCCAAATGTGCATTAGAAAACTATTAATTGCTAATTACTAACCATAATTTTCCAAATATTAGCTTGATTGTTCGGACCGGAAAGAATATTTATCACTAATTTTTTTTATTAAGGCCGCAAGAAAAAGCTCAAGAAGCAAAAAGTTAAAGAAGAAGATGGAAATATAAAGGAGTTTGGAGATACACAGGCAGGGTCGGTTGATATACTATAATTAATCTAAATTCGCTTTATGTTAACCGCTCCTTTTTGAGTCGTGAGCATAATCATTGCTCTTCATCCGTCTTTTGTTATTTTCTGAATGAGATGGTAGTCTAATCTAAGAGCTTATTAAGGCTATGTTGAAAGACAGAGCCATTCTAAGACTTCGGTTAGAAGACAGAGCTATTATTTGAACTTTCTGTGTATATTATTTGATTCAAAACGCACATCGTGACCGATGTTTCGTCTTGCGTTTGTTTATTACTCTTGCGTTTGTTGACTTACGAGGATCAACCTTAAAAAGAAAATCAACAAGTGCAGAAAATACTTCTAATAGATGAATAAAGGGCTGAAACATTATTTTCAGCATTCCATGAAACGTTGCATGCTCTGGTAGTCCCGACCTACGCCTTGCAGACACTGGTTTAAGAGCCAATCCTTATGGATATTTGCCAGCTCTGCAAATATTAAATCGCTAATAATGCAAAAAATAGTGTTTAGATTTCCTATGTTTATCAGAAGTATTTAAATGAACCATTGCCAGTTAGAGGGTGATACTTATCGTCTTTCCCTCCATCAATTAGAACGACGAGTGCTTTTATGCAAGTCATGCTAAAGAGCATCCTTGACACGTTCTTCAATGCTGATGCAATGGTGAGACTTGCTGCAGTTCAAGTCATTGGTCTTATTTTGAGGCAAGGCCTGATTCATCCAGCACAGGTAAATGTTTTGGCGACTTGTCCTCTCACAAAGTATACATATACATTTGTACACATTTTGAAGCCGCTCCCAATAAGCAAATGACAAATTGAATATCCCTCTTTTTTGAGCTATAAATGTTTCGAAAAAACATTGATATTGAGCTGGTAACCATATTTTTATCGTTACTTTGTGATTGTTAGAGATCTAAGAAAACCAAATGTTGATTTACAAGTTTATTTTTGTTCAAAAGAGAAAAAATAATTCCTTTGTCTGACAGCTTATAAAACAGGCCTTACATTTGAACAAGGTGTTCCCCTTCCCCTTTCTTCAAAATCACCATTAATACTTTATCGTTCTAGCAATTAGGTATGTTTTAACTTATGTAACCCACTATGCATTGAAAGATAACTGGACTGCTAATGTTATGCTAGATTTATTGAATTCCCTGACTGAATTTATAACATACAGTTTCATTGCCAAGTAGCAGTTTTATTTCACTCCGAAATACTCTAGATAGAAACATTACCAATGAGCACCTTCGAAAATGGAATTACTCAGGTCATTGTTTTGATAAATCCCTGCTTGCGTTTAGTGTGTTCCGTATTTGATTGCTGCTGGAACTGATGACGACAAGATGATAAGGGCCAAAGCAGAACAAGCTCTAGCGGATATTCACAAGCGACATGCTGCTTTCATTCATGTATGTACCCTTTTCATCATTGCATCGCTTGACTAATAAATGTCTTTTAATGCTCAATTTTTGCTGAAAATATTTTGAGATACTTAACACTAGTTAGGAACTTTTTACTGGTCTAAAATTGTTTTCATTACCCGTCATATCTTGAGGGATAGACTCTATGATCTCAAATCCTATTCTCAAAAGGCGTTAAACTTATTTCCTTTTCCTGCATATTAAGTTTTATTTTCAAGCTTAGCTCTCACGCGACAGAGGCTCTAGGGTAATATTTGTGGACAAACATCAGCAATAAATTATTTTTCAAGTCTTCAGTTTTACGAATTTTCTTCCTTCGTTATTTCGTCAGTTTCTTCGATATTCAAGATGTTAGAGGGTTGTGTCATTGTGTAACTGATTCCTTCTTTTATCGTATTATGATTTTATTTTCATTTTAACCATAGATGAAAGCCGTACAAGGAATAAAACTCTCTTACCAGCTACAGAAACTGATTCAATGTGTGAGTTTTGTCTATCCGCTTTATAATTTCAGTGTTGAAATGGCTTCTACCACGTAACCTATGATCTTCTTTGCCTTTGAAGAAATATGGATGCATAGTTGTTTCGACAGAAAACGTTACTTTGAAGACTGTTTAATTTATTCAAATGTAAAACACTATACAACGACTTTCGTGTTTTTGCAGACTAATGGAGGCTATTTACAAGGATTCCGAGAGGGAGATCCGAGAAGTGCCTTTACAAGTCATGTTTATTCCATGGTTAGGCCAAATAAACAGTACAGAAGACCGTTATTGCAAACGATGCTCAAACAATTTGACGACCAGGTAGTTCACTTTAGTTTTGTGTTCAAAAGCTAACCATTTTAAGGAAACTGATGCCTAAACAGCTTCTAATTTTGTCCTTATGTTACTCGTTTCTTTTGTGGTAGGCTTGTGATACAATGGCAGTTTTGCTCCTAGGGTTTTGCGAGCCCAATCACATTTTTTCTATTCCTTGTTACCACTCACTAGCATTGTGCCCAACTCCGATAATTGGAATCTTTATCAGTACATAAGACGATATGTCATAGAAGCGTTAGGACGACTAATTTGACATATTCTATTGCTGAATTTTTATTTTTACTCTTTTACTTACCATGTATGTCCCACGAGTTTTTCTCTGTTGGGTAAATAGTCTTGACAGTTTATCATTGTTTATAAGTGCCTTAATGAATACCTTAATGAATTTTAGTAAGTGCGAACAGATACTGATGTAAGCTAGATTTTACCTGACTGTATATACCAAATTCTTTCAAAATGCCTTCTATTATTTATTAATTTCAGAAAAATGAAATCGACTTCCTCTATTACCTGGCCGAAAACCTTGCATACCTGCCTTACGTCACTCAGGAAGAACCCTTGTTTGTTATGCATCATTGCGACATGGTTGTGTCAGTGACAGGGGCTGGGTACCTTCAGAATTTCAAAGAAGTACGCTCTCTTTTTTCATTCATTTTCATTTTTCCTATTTACATTCATCATTGAAAGCCTTGATTATGACTGAGATTGATAAATCTTATTCAGTTTTGTGGCATGGCCTTCTAGTGTTGCCCCTTGTCAGGAGACGTTCGCGGGTCAGGAGACCTTCCAGTGCTTTGCAACTTGAAGTTGCTTAACAAAAAAGGCTTTTTCTTTGGTTGCCATTCTCAGTTTTGAAGCGACCTACCATGTTTCAGGTCAGACAGCTGTCAACAATGTTACTAGATCGAGTAGTAATGTAACTGCGAAATCAAAACAAACGAGTTCAATAAAGTGTATAAACTCGATAGGCCTACGTTGTAATGCTTCTTTTTGTCAATTGATCCATATAGAATAAACATTTTTGTTCGTTTATTGGAGCTATTATTTCCAATGATACTGTTTGATTTTTATGTTTGCCGTTCAATAACGCTGACTATGATAGCCAAATTCCAGTATGTTTCTCAATATCTTAACAAAGAATTGGCTCATTCCTACATAAAAAATTACAATTTTCTAAAAAAAACTGCATATTTTTAGGTGTTTTTCCCAGCAAGAAAAGGAAAGGGTAAAGGAAAATCTCCGTCTCATGCGATGGAAGATGAAGAAGATCTTGAGGATGCCGAAAGGCTTGGAGGTTTGTTACTGTATGATATTGAAACTGTTACCGGGAATCAAAACTACGATTATTTGTTGTAAGATTGTGCTGAGCTGTACAACAGACAGGGACGGTGTTCGGCTCCCTGGGTATAGCTCTTTTTCTGGCTCTTACAATACTGCTCCTTTGTGAATAGGGGTAGCATTAAACTGTTTATTAACAGTAAGATTTAAAAGATGATTTCAGCAGATATTTGATAAGCTCTGTAGACCCCAAGCTTCCAATGCGTAGTTTTGTTAAAACCGTTGGATTTCCCGTGGCATGGAAAGCATTGAGCCAATGATGGTGACATTGACTGTTGTTTCCAAATATGTTGTTAGTTGTATTGGGCCGTACAACTTCTAAGTAAAGTCACTGTTGAAGTTACAAATTTCTTGCTTTACAGTTCAAAACACGCTTTTTACCACAGGTGCAGAGATGGATCTGAAGAAACTGGAAGAAGTTGTCCGGGACTCGTTTTCTTGCATGCTGTTGTTGGAGTTAAAACAGCATTTAAAACAACTGTATGGCTTTGCTGACAGGTATGCCACTTCACAGTATTTATTTTTAACAATGATAAAGATTTACGAATTAGATAATACGCTCAACGTCCGATAATTCGGCTACCTTATCAATCGGTTTTCTTCTTATTCGATCACAATTCTTTCTTTCATAATTGTCTCTTCAAGGCAAAGTTTTGATGATTCGAACTCTTCTTGATGGAAATTAATTTTATCTTGCCTTGAAGTTCGATGTATCAACTGTTGACTGTGTATATAGTAGCTAGCGGTTGTGAGCAACAGGAGTAATTGGGCCTCTTTAAAACCCATTAAGAAAATTAGAGGTATCCGAACTTTTAATGTTTATGAAGCCACTGGTAAATCAGTCGTATGGCTGATGAGAGAGGTTGCATTTTAGGGTTTTGTTAAACGAAGTATTGACATTGAATTTGTAAGGACGTTGTTGCCCACAAGTGGTAGGACAGCAGCTTTAACCATTGGATAGTTAGGCCTTTTCTTCATCTCCATCTGGATTGAACTAAGACTTCAGCAGCTGGATCGCAAAAGCTATAGTCTGAACTTTTTCACGAGGACAGGTGTTGCTTTTAGATTTTTGTGGCCTCCAAAGACTTTGATGTCACTGCCTTGAATTTGGCAGAGATCACTGCATTTTAACCACCTACCATATAAATGTATATAACATTTTAAATTGTGATGTTGATGGTAAAGAAAAGATTTTCAAACAATTTTTGTCCATTTAAAAGTTCATCTAATTGGCGTCTTATGCAAAATTAAATATCTTATGGTCCCTCTTACATCATAGTAAATGCCAGAAGTATTCACCATCAGAGCCATCGAAACTGTATGACAAAACAATGACAAGGCGAGGAGATGTCCACTTCAACTCGCACTTCAAACAGCTAATGTTCCATAAAGACGCACTAGAAAAGGAAGAAATGATCAATTACTACATAGAGGTAAGAATGCCTGCTGAAATATCACTAGTTTTTTGATAGAACGACACTTATGCTCACTGCTCATCCATCAAGCAGCAAATAGGGATACTGTGTTAGCGTAAAGGAGCCTAAAAACAGCTACAAAAGGAAGTGTCTACCCTCAATCCTCATGTGTTACCGGTACAGATTGAACAAATATCCTATGTAACACGCGCTACCCTTTCTGAAGTACCGCTTGCGAAGCTCTTTGCATCATGTTACACAAATCGCTACTAACTTTTGCATCATCATCTGCTTGGCTTTTATTTTGAAAAAGAATTGCATATTAAGCTGAAGACATGGATGCTTCTATTGGATGCTGTTGTTTGTTTACAGTCTCGGACTTTTGAGTCGTTTAATGTTAGCCTCATGCAAATACGTTGAGATGAATCAACCCATTGCACCAAGTTTGTAATTTTTTACTTTGGGTTGTTACTTATTTCATTCTTTTCGAACCTTTCCATTGCTATTGTAGTTCAAACAATTGATGTTGAGTCTGGATGCAGAAGAAGATAGCGAAGAATTAGAACCACAGGAAAAGCCCGTAGAAAGCAAGCCTGAAGCTAAGAACGAAGAGAAGGCAGCTACTGATGGCGTTCAGATGATGACTGATGAGAGGCCTGCTACAGTAATGGAAGCAAATGTAACACTGCAGACAGCTGTAGAACAAAAAGAGGCAGAGGAAATTGTTGATGCCAAGTCAAAAGATGCAGTTTTGTTTACAGAAAAGCTTCCTGATGTACGTTATAATTATTTTAGTTGCTTTGCATAAAACATAATTCTGGGATGTTTTTTCGTTTTGTAGTTTCGAAAACACTTTTATGTGACCTATTTTTATGTTTTTCTTCACTCTTTCTTAAAGTCCAGCCAACTTTTCCGCAATACAGTGGAATCATTTCTGATAAACAGCAAAATCTTTCCCGATATCTAGCGGAATCTTTATTTACATTCTCAAGGCTCTATGTCAACGGTTCTTGTCTTCAAGTTGATTTCTTAATCGGGGAAGCAACACTAACAAGAGAAGTTCTTGAATTTTGAATAGCTAGCTCATAATTTGCCATCCCTTATCAAATCAAGTTGCCAAACAACTTAGGATTCTTGGCAAGGAATGGACAAAAAAGGCTCACTCTGTCCCACCAGAGAGACGATGCACCATTCCTACCTCGGGATCTTGAGGTATGTGAGGGAAAGAGAAAAATAACTTACTAACAGAGCCGATTCTATATTTAAGTCCAGTAAGAACTGTGAATTAAATCCTGCTGTGAAATTATACCCCACAACCCTTTCATGAAAAAAACTTCGAACTCCTCTAAATACTCCTAAAGCATTAAAATCTGCTAAGAATAAGCTATAATATAAACCCATGTGAAATCACACTACTACCACACCCTTATTAAATTAGCTCTGCTAATCGCCATTTTAGTCATTTCATTGGATCGCCATTTTAGCCATTCTTCTTTTTCCTTTTCGGAACCCAATGCTTCGGAAGCTTTCCCATGCTAGAATAAATCGATTGAACTAAGATTTTTCGCCTTCCTGCTAATTTTGTATTCCATTGCTATGATTTACCAATATCTTTGTATTTTCACAATGATAACGTTTTTTATGGTTGTAACAATTAATGTTATATCTTTTAGGATACCGGTAGTAAACAGATTGAAGAAGATTGCGCGAGTGACGGCTCATCTGGTTCAAAGACAAGACGGAGAAGCTCTAGAGGCAGAAAATGAGTCTCAATGCCTGTGTTTATAAGGTATGGAGATATTTTAGCTGTTGTCAATATACATGATTAATCACTGTTGGTCATTAGACTGCTAGAACCGGTAGTACCAATCCGATATTTCATTTTGATAAACCTTAATAGTGACACCAATATTCAACTTAAAGTAGGGACTTTAAGAATGTTAAGGTAAAACTTGAAAACCAAAATAGAAAAACAAACTTGAAAGAATCTGTATAGCTTTCAATCTAAAATGCTGCTTATTGGAAGTATTTCAATTTGTGATGTTATCTTAGGATTTCTACGGCCGTATGTTAGCTTTCTGCGAAGAATTCTTTTTAAGTCTACAATGCCTGCCAAAAGTACTTGAAACACTCGATAATTTTCGCTGTGTTTTTATATTTTCAGTTTATTTTCTGAATACTTCTACTTTCACACCCCTTCCCCCCAAAACAATGTTGATAGTATAGACAAACAATATACCAGTAAGAGGGAAAAACGTACTTCCTGATCTCCTACGTTTTTTGTAGTAAACCAACATTGTTCATAGGGGGGAAGGGGAATCGCCGAGTTTGGCCTTGAAAACTGACGTAAGTGTGCCAAGATATTTGGCAGGCATTGCAGGATATTTGCCTGATGTCAAAAGGCTGCGCAGTGTTATCATCAGAAATGATTGTGTATAGTGTCATAATGAGAAGTCTTGATATTTTTTTTAACGTGTTCACCTTCAGAATACCAGTTTTCTTAGAATCGTTTTTGCCCTGTTTCAGGAATATCGAAAGAAAGGACAAATGGCTTGATTCACATTACACGTTCACGCATACATATCTCCAGACACTAAAAAGGATATTGTCAGCATTTGCTGAACCAACCTTCTTTATCTTCTCTTTTGAAAACGAAGATAATTATGTGCCCCAAGTAATATAAAGTAGAAGATACAAAGGAATTACTTTACAAACCAGGCAAATTGTGGGGGATATTTAGAATTTTTCTGTTGTAAGAAGCTTTTGATATTTCAAGGTTCTTGTAGAAAAAACAGAAATTGGAATTTGACAAAAATAGAAAAAAGGCCAAACTCAAGACATATTACTGTTACTTATTGGGTGGTTTACTTGTTGTTTGGTGTATAAATTCATTTTATCCCCAAAGGCCTTTTCCATGCCTGTCATTTCTAGAGTGGTATGCCTTAAAGTGTTCTGTATTTATTTCTCGTTGTACATGGGTGGTTCCAGCTTAAAATATCAGGGCTATTGCATTCGGTTAAATTTATCAAAACTAACAATTCGTTTTAAACGAGAAAAAGAAAAGCCAATTTGGCTAGAAAATAGCATATAGATGAATTAAAACAAAGTTTGATGGAGCAATATTCGTTACATTCAAAAGCACACATCCCTCCCAAGTAGAGCAAGATTCACTGCCCGTATTGGACGCCCCTGTAGTTTTACCTGACTTTGACGTTTTCATACACGGTGTATAGTTATCCATTTCATCATTGTATTATAATGTAAATTCGTTGCAAGTTTAATGATTAATATCAACATGTATATTGTTGTTTATTCACCTTTTGCCAGCTTAGTATTCTTGTAGAAAGGTGTTGGTTCCATTTGGTACACGATGGGTTTCAAATTATGTACATTTTACCCCCATTTGTAAAGCTATGCTCGATTTTTATGCTGGCTGCTGGACTGACAGATTTTAGTCTTGTGTTCGCAAAGTTGTTTTTTCTGGCATCTTTAGCTGTTTAAGCTGCTAGGTTTCCCCTTTGTTGTCGTTTTTTATGTGCTTCTATCCCACCCTAGGCCTTATTCTTGTCAAAATACTGATCCCGCTTGAAGCTTGCCTTTCCATCATACATCTGCGATTTATTCAAATGATGTCAACTGAAAGCTACTATGATACAGCTATTCCAATTTTTCGATAGCAATTTAATTTTCGCTTTGCGGACCATTTATTAAACCCAAATTAAGGTGAATTTTTAGCGAATTTTAAAGAAGATTTTTAGTTTTGTTGTGTATTAGCTTTATCCCTGTAATTTATTTTGAGCATCATTGGTAATTTACAACATTTGGGAAAAAAGGGAATTAATTGTGTTTTTGTATTCTTCTTCATCTGTTACAAAAGTGGATAATTTCTTTACTGTCTCAACATCAATTTCTACTTCAGCTTTGATAAAAGCGAAGTGTTCGGTTTTGCCTCCTCTTTTATGCAAATTTGCTAACCACTGAGTGGCTCAGGTAATTTGATTAAGAAGCGCCACGAAGGAGCAGTTGATAACGAGGCAGATGTACTGGCGGGATTTTTTAATGTCGTCAGCTCTAAGATAGGTAAGTTGAAAAAATCTTTGTGATCTCTATATTCAAATAATTTTGACTTGTAACTATTTCTTGTTTACAAAAATTTTGCATAGAAAGTGATCAAGAATGAAGGCTTTCAATTTAGTGACGTTACAAGAATTTTATTGCACTCCAAACTTTTTGGTAGGCCTAAAAAAAAGACAATCTGTAAGTAAAGATGAAATGTTACCGTTATTATAAGAAATAAAGAGAATACTTGTTGAAGAGAAGCATTTATTCTCCTCCTATACTTTCATTTCCAGTATCAGCCAATCATTCTCCAAGTTACATATCAAAGTAATAAAGAATATTGCAATGCAGAATGTCTTCCATATCGAAAAGAACATTTGCAACACCAGGTTCAAGATCATTTGCAACTCCAAGCACTGCAAGTAGATCGTATCATGAAAATGGTTCTTCCTCCCATATAAGAAAAAAACATGCAGAGGTCAATACTTCGGGGAGCTTTAGCAAGGCACCACAAAGCAAAATCAACACAACTGAAATTATCAACCAAACTCCGGAAAATGGATCAAATTTCTATAAAAGATCGTTACTGGACTCAGTAGCATATGCGCCTACAAAAAGATCAGTTATTTACACTAGCCCAGATTCTGAAATATTGTCATCAAGCCAGAAAAGCAGTGCTAATTTTGACAAAACGTTGCAACCCTGTAACTCAGAAGAAAGCAGTACAGGTAGGAGTAATTCTTATGAAGATTTTGAAGAAATTATGATACTAATCCATGATTAAACGACTTTGTAGAGAGAGACAGATATAACTGATGCTTCAACAAGTTTATCTGCTTGTATTCCTATTTAGTTTTCTTGCCAGGAAATCAATTCTCAAAATTGTACATATTCAAGGCTAATTTTTATTCATTTAACTTGATCTTGCATGCCTTGCAGAGACCTCTAAGACACCTTTGGATTCACAAGCTGCAAACAGAGATCCATCAATAAGACAGAACAGTACAAGCCTACCACTGGGAGTATCTTGTGGTGCTTATAATGTTAACTTAAAATCAACAAGTTCTACTTCTTGTAAAGAATCCTATGCTTTTAGAGGTGTTCCAATGTCTGCAGACAGAAGGTGTAGTGACTCTTCTTTAGTGCAGAAACAGAGTTCTGTAAGAGATGCTTTAGATCTGAGCCAAAATGAAAATCATCAACCTTCTAAGCAAAACACCATTTGTTCTGAAAGAAGTGATGGTGATGCTAAGGTGAGAGCATTAATACTTTTTTCATTATTTTTTGAGATATATTAAAAGCACTTCAAAGTGGTGATCTAACAGGTTTTCTAGTCTCAAGTTTCTAGCCTTTGTGAAAGCTTTATAGATTTATCATAATTAGTTCCATTCTTATGCTATACTGAGTTCATAATTTTGAATTTCAATATACCAAATCCTTATTTTTCTATTTGCTCTGATATTCTCATTTCAAATTAAAGGGCAAGTAGCTAGAATATTGTCTTAGCTACCCAGCACATTTTACATTTATCAAATTTTTTGTCAATTCATTGTCAAGTATTTCTAAATAACCAAACTCGTGGATTTTCAAGGTTAAAATATAATTATTGTATTTGGCTTATTTACTTGTAGATTTACATGTGTGCAGTAAAAAGCATTGGGAAGATTGGAATTGCCTATTACGATACAGATAACTGTCAAATCAAGATGATGGAGGATGTGGTGGAAACAGCTGACTATCATTTTCTCAAACTCAGTGAGTTCTCTTAAATGATTTCTTATAAACAAAATATAAAGGAGATTGACTTATCAGATGGCATTCTCATTACTAAACAAGATTCAGCCTTATAAGCTGATGTACTTAGGCAAAACCAGTGTTTTAGACTAGATTTTTGATCACATTTCCTTTTTTGGTTACTTATTTTATTGTCAGTGAAAAGACGCATACAGCCTGATGTAATTATCACCAATGCTAAACAAGAAGAAAGCTTCCTTCAAGCCCTGAGAGAAGAAGGTAAGGCCTTGTATATGTTTTTCTTTATCATAGAAGCAGGTAGAAAACATCAACCAAAATTATTCTTCAGTTTTATTATTCTTAACTTTTCATAACATTTGTGAACGTGTCAGTTTTGTAAAAAGTTTTTTAGGAATAATCATTTTCTGGAGCATATTTAGGATTTAGCGTATGTCTTATCTTGCAATTCTAAGCATTCCAAAAAATTGTCAATTTATCTTTTGCAGATGAAGAGGAGGGATCTGTTCTTGAAAAGCATGTGCATATAGAAATCATTCCCTGTATGATGTTTGGTGAGTAAACGCATTTGTCAGCTTAATATTGCCATTCTTAACCTGATTATGTCGCTTAACGGAACATTGTATCGAAAGCGAATTTTATCGAACACCCGAATCCATCTCAATACTTTAATGGGTGGTTGATTTCTTGACACTTAGTATTTCTTCAGAAAACCAAATAGATAGAATGATGTTTTGGTAGTGTCTTTCAGAAAAAGAATTTTTTAGATATTTCCATAGTTCTCAGAAGTGTATGTCATTGTGATTAAATCCCTTGATTAAATCGGGTTGGGTCCATGCCAAACCAACCTTTTTATCCTGATCGAGTACGAC